GCTGGAGTCAGGAGGCTGGACAGGCCTTTCGCCGCGTCGCCTCGCTCGCACTCACGGCGCGTTCCGAATGCGTGAGAGCGAGACGGAGTGACAAGACACTGCTCGGGACCAGCCTCCAGGACCAGTCCGCCAAATGGCCGCAGGGGCGGTCGTGGCCGCGTGGTGCAGGCCGGGCCGGTAGCTGGTGAGCACCATGGGCACCACGGGCACCACGGACACGGCCCGCGGCCAGCCCGGGTAACGAGGCAAGCTCGGCCCCGCCCGGCCCGCTGAGTCAACCGAGTCAACGCGGCCAGCGCCTAGACGAAGGCCATTTTGGCGGCACCCGGCAGCTTGCAGTGTTCGCTGTTTACGGTGCAGGCCCTGCCCTGCCCTGCCATGCCGCTAACCGTGTTCGCGACGCGCTGCCAGGGGATGTGCAGTGCAGGTCGTTCCATCCAGCGCCCCGCCGCGCCGACCGCGCCCTGCCGCGACACGCGTCGCCACTTCCGGTTGTTAACCCGCACTTCCGGCGATTGAGTGTCGCCTCGTCACTGCCAGTGTGCTGCCAGCGGGCTGGCCGACAAGCGGACACGCCCTGCTCGAGGGGGCGGCGCGCGGCGCGTGGCGCGAGCTGCGCGAGCCCTCCCCGGCGGCCGTCCTCGTCGTCGTCCTCCTCGCCGTCGCGAACCTCGTCCTCGTGATTCATACTTCCGGCCGCGAGCCGCGATAAGCGCGACGAGGTGTCATTACGGCGCGGCCGGGCGGGCCGGGCGGGCCACTCAGCGCGCCGAGAGCCGCGTCTTAATCCCGGACGGACGGGGCGGCGGCAACGCGGCGGTGACGGCCAGCCCGCCATTTCTCATCCTCGACGCGCCACGCGGCACGCGGCCGCGCGCCCAGCCGAAACACCGTGATGTATGACGGGCTCCTCCCGAGGCCACAACGCCGCAACGCCGCGGCCCGATTCGCCCCTCGCCTCAAATTTCCCAACCGCACTGTCCGTCAGTCCGCCCGCCCGTCCGCCTGACGGGCCGGGCGCGTCAACGGAAGGCATTCCTAACCAAATAAACGCCATCGGGACGGGGACGGGTCGGCCCGGGCCGCGCCAAAGGCAGTGCAGTCAAGCTGCAGTTCGGCCCGGCGCTGGCGCTCGGCGGGAAGGCAGGCGCCGACAGACGCGGCGACGCGGCGGCAGGGCCTCCAGTTTGATCAAGTCGTTGGCGACACCGCGGGACACGGGCCGAGGCGGGGCGGACCGGGGCGGGGCGGGAATCCGGGCGACGGCCACCTCTGCCTCTCTGCTCCGGACTCTGGAAGGCCCCTCGGAGATACCCATCACCGAATTTCAGACGCGCGCAGTATATTTACAGCCCGAGGGCCGAGGGGCGCCCCGTCCCGGCGGGATCATCGGGCAAGGCGATCTGCATGGCGGGGCGGGGCGGGGCGGGGCGGTGTCACCCTGCCGGCGGAACGCCGAACGGCGCCAGATTCAAACGAGCCGCCGCGCGAAACGCGACACACTCCGCACACTCGGGCCAGCCTGCCAAAACAAGGCGTTTGGCGGCGCTGCCAACACTCCGGGCATAAATTCGTCGCGCGGCGAGGAAATGAGGAATCCCGCACCATCTCCGCTCGCGCGTTCGTGTTGGTGTGTGCGTGTGTGTGCGTGTGTGTGCTGTGCGTGTGTGAGTGAGCACACACCTGAAAAAAGAAGAGCGCCGTGCCGATGACGTACGGTGAAGAAAGCCAAAGCGTTTGTCCGACTCGTCGCGCCGCGTCACTTTGCTACTTTTAATGCCCGCCTGCCACATAAAGCTGGCCGAGCAGAAGCCGCCTGCCGCGCCGCCGCGCCGCCGCCACGGGGCTGAACGCCGGCGGGCCACGGCGGGCCGCCTAGCCGGTGCGAGCTGCAAGCGCTGCAAGGGGAGTGCAGCGGGGGGAGGGAGGTTAATCAGCGTGAAATATCGCAAACGGCTCAGAGCGGCGGACTGGCGGTCCGCGTCTCGTGGCTTTCATAATGCCGCTGCCGTACGTGCGCGCGCACAGGCCGCACAGGTGCGCCGCCCCTTCCTTGTGCTTCCACTGGCAAAAACAAACAAGCGCACAAACAACAACAACAACAAGCCGCGGCGTGCAGGGCTGCCTACCGGACTCCTCGCCATCCAGCATCCGACCCGAGCCGCAATTAAACGTCTTCATTAGGCACTGGCTGCCGCGCTGCCGCCATGCCTCTGCGGCAAACTCCGCGCTCCGTCTCTCTCGCACCCCCACGGTACGCCCCGCGAGTGCGAGAGAGACAGAGGCCCGGCCACCGCGATGGATCGCCGCGCTGCCCCCGTAATGAGAGCGAGTGGCGGGCCTGGCGGGCCTTGCCAGCCTCGCCTGCCTGCCTTGGGTCGCGGCGCCCCGTTTTGCGTAGAGCCTCGTAGGAGCGAGGCGACAGTTCGGGAGGCTTTGGCTGAACCATAGCTATATCAAGTTAAGGAAAGAGAGGGTTTTGAGCCAGCGCTGGCGCTGGCGCTGGAAGGTGAGGGGCAGGGAGGCGGTCGCGCTCAAGCTGGCTTAAGCCAGACGCAGCGATACCCCTCCCTGCTCGGCAGGCTGAACCATCCAATGAAAGCGTGATGACGTCACCGAGTTGTCACCCCTATTTCTTTCTACGAGTCTCTGTAGTCTCTGCAGCAACTAATGAGTCCGTTTCTCTCCGCGGCCGTCGGCCGGCCTGCCCCTGGCCGCTGGGGGTCGGTCGGCCGCGGTGGGGAACGCCCGGCCCGGCCCAGCCCAGCCCCCTTTGTTGGGTACGGCACGGCGGTACAGTATGTGGAGCGCTCCTAATGGCTCCGCCGCTCTGCCGCTGATTGTTCAATTATGACAGGCCGTGTCTCTGTTGCCCTTTGAGTGGGCCGACGGGCCGACACTGCCGTCCCCCATTTCTCTCCTGTCGAAAAAAGGCGCCAAGTACGAATCGGTTGCCGGCCGGCCGCGTGGATGTGTCGACGCGGTGGACGCCGTCAGCGCGATGGGGCTGTCATCCGAAGCACGAGGTACGACGGGCACGACGCCAGACTTGGCTCCGCGGCTCCACTGGGACTGAGGCCCTTTGTCCCTTCTGGTTTAATTCAAAAGGGCCGCCGGGAGGGCCATCTTTGTTTCCTCTCATAATTCCGCTGTCGTTGCTGAGATTACCAGGGCGTGGCCCCGTGGCCCTACGGCCGGCAGCGCTTCGTCGCCCTGTCTCTCTCGCGCCTCTACGGAGCGCTCCACTGGTGCGAGAGAGACAGAGCGACGAAAGCGCCGTTCGGGATGGGCCTGCTGGCCGGCCCAACGGCCCAAAGGCTGCGGCTGGCCCCGCGGGTCGTCCCCGCGCCGTCCCGGACCGTCCCGGACCGTGAGGACGAAAACAAATTTGCCCCCCGCCGAGCCAAAGACACCTCCCCCCTGCTGCAGCGCGCTGGAGACAACTCACTGCAACCGTGCCATCCGTTCCGAGGATGAGCGCGTGGACGGGATTCGAACCCCGGACCCATAACAACTCAGCTGCCGCGCCGCGACGGCCGACAAGGCTGCCGAAGCATCGGCCTGGGAACTAGACGGCTGCTGGGCAGCATTTGGCGCAGAGGCACCAAAAGTTACTCCCTTTTATTATTTCTGGAATTTTCTTCTCTTTTCAACCAGTTCTTTCGCGACGCCCGTTTGGTCGTGGTGCGTAAAAAAAGATCTTCATTATCTTGTAACGACAATTATTTTCGCCCAAACGCGCTCCGAGAAAAATATTTCCGATTGTGGTTAAGAAAAGCGCAAAGCGCTGCGGATCGGAAAGCACGCCTTCTTCTTCCAGTGTGCCGCTCGCTCGGCTCGTGCCGCGTGTTTCTCGGTGCTTGTTGCCCCACAGGCAAGTCAAGTCATTGTGTCCACCGACGCGCTTCCGTTCGCCCTCCGCGACTTGCCCGTAACCCAATCGCACAGTCTTCGGAAGCGGCGAGCCGGCGAGGCGGCCGGCTGCAGATACGGTTTCCAAACGGGTAGCTAATTGGCGGGATTTATTGCAATGCTCAGGGCCGCCCCCCGGTGGGCACGCCTGGCCCCGCCTCGCCACACCTCCGGGAGCCGCCGGGTGGGCAGGCCGGCCCGCCACGCAGCCCCAGCCCGCCTGGTGGCCTACCCTGCAGGCTGATTACGAGCACTGCTTTCGACGCCCCACGAGTGCGATAGAGACAGAGCGATGAGAGCAGTTCTCCAGGCCTTCCCCTCTCTCCTATGGCTGTGCCCGCAGCCGCGTCTCTCTCTCTGCTCCTGCTCTCGTGGCGGCGGCACCCCGCACCGACGTGCCGCGACGCCCACGCACGATGTGGAAAGTGTCTCTTCTTCTTTTACGCCTCCTTGATGGCGCCACGACGCGCCACGACGCGACGGCGACCCCGGGATAAATCAATCGGCAGTGCTGACCGCGACTGGCCCCGACTCCGGCGACTCCGGCCGGGACGGGCAGCGGGCAGGCCACAGAGTCCCGGACACGGGCGGCAGGGCGGCATGGCAGCGGCAGTGTCCGGCACGCGGCACGCGCGGCGCCGCGTTTTACAGCTCCTTGCTTCCTCCGGCAGCCCCCCTCCCCCTGCGCCGCCCCAGCCCTCCATAAAGTGGGTAATTTATGTGAGTTTTGTGGCGTTTCGGCCTTTGGGGACCACACGGACCACACGCGCAAACCGCCGGACGCGGCGCGCGGCGCGGGCGACACGATACGACGCGCCGCCCTTCGAGGCGCTACTGTGTGGTCCTCACCTGCAGGCCTGCAGGCCGACCCCGAACAGTGGTGCTTTCGTCGCTCCGTCTCTCGTGCGCCCTTAAGGAGAGTGCGAGAGAGACACGCTGTCCGCAGTCAGACAGCAGCGGCCCCGGCCAAGCAGAGCAAATACTGCCAGCGGTTCAGGCGCCCTCTTGGGTTGGGTTGGGACGGACTCTTGACTCATCACCACTCCTGGTGTACCGGAAAAAAAGCAGGTCAAAAAACTTTTTAAAAATTCCTTGATAGATTATTTACTAATAAACAGACAGCAGACAAATGAATATACAATGAATTCAGTCACTTGCTTTCAAATGGTGCAGTCACAGGTCTACTGAGATCACTGGAATGGATACAGTTACTTTAACATCTAAAAAATAAACAACTTATAATTGGTGAGTTAAAATTCAATCACAGTGCAAGTTCACAGGCGCATCGCCTTTCCATTGTATATGGACCTTTGGTTTCTTAACTTCTGTCTGATAGTGTAGATGTGGTCAAATCATCATTCACATGCAGTTCAAGAACACACTCATAAAATCACTTTCACATATGCAAATAAAATCACACACATTAAGATACACTCACAGTGTGATCTGAATAGAGGCCATTCCCTTCTGCTTTAAAAGCTCCCCTTAAGGAGCAAATAGTTGAGGACGTTGAGGAATGGAAAATATTCAGACCTTATACCTTGGGCATGACAACTTAAAAAAATATTTTACAAAAATTACAAACATCTTTGGAAATGAAAATTGCAGTGTGGCAATGAAATCATACATTAAATAAACAACAAAGGAATAAGGAAAGCTGCAACAAGTGCCATTGAAGTTTTATGGATAGAAGCCCCAGAGGAACCCTCAGTGGCCATGAAGGGATAGAAAAAGTCTGGGGGTAGGCGAATGTGAATGGCTGGTGGTTCAGCAAAGCGTGTCACCGCAGGGGAAGATATGTCTACAAACTTGACAGTGGATACAACCCTCAAGTAGAGGGCATCTTGTTTCTGGGGGCATGCTGCAGAAGTACATGGCCATCCAATGTCTTGCAAGGGGGTGAATCTGAATAAAAATAAAGGAGAAAGTGAGACAGATGAAAGGTACACGTCATGCTTCTAGAGTCTGCCTCATTCATCATTCACTGAGAGTAAGAACAAACTGCAATGACATACCTCATGGCAGCACCAAAAATTTTTGATTGTGGATTTGATGGGGATCCTACACGACCATGCATCAATTGCAGTTGGATCCCCAAAGGTACATTTTCACACATTTGCAATGGATGATCTATTGACATGTCAGATAGTTTGTCTTCATTGGAAATTTTGGACTCTATAGTTGACATTGAGTCCTCTGATAATAGTGTGAAGGGTGGCTGGCTATCCAAGAGTAATGGCACCCACTCTTGAGGTTTTGACACATTTGCACTTCCAAAAGCTGCAATAATTCTAAAAAGGAAACACAATTCATCAGGTTAGGATTACTAGAAGCTAAAAAGTGGAAAGCCAAATACAATCAAGGCAATTAAGACATAAAACCCACAAGAATCCCTCACCTTCCCCAATCAGCATTGAAACTACCATTATGAAACGACTTTGCAATGTCTCCTAAGAGAAGCTGCAATAATCTAGATCGAAGAGCATTGCAAGAGAAGTGGGATGATATGTTTCTCGGAGAAACAGCAATGCCACAGGACATGTGCAAGTCCTCTCCAAATGTAACAATGTGCCTCTGGGCTAGTGTCACATCACACATACCTGTCAAAAAGAAAAGGAAAAATAAAAAAAAAAAACTATTCACACTGAATTTTTAATTATTTTTGAATGAAAAATTACTCACCATTCATATTTGATCCAGGTAAAGTAAGCCATTGCTTGGGGTCATGGCTAAGATCTATAGTATCATGCTTGGCCAGTTTAGCAGAATCCTTGGAAGTATCTTTGCTTGAATTAGCACTTAATTTTTGTTTGACTCTGAATGCTGCTATAACTGGTTGGCCAATTAAATAGCCTGGGTTCCCACTTCGTGGAAATGGTGCATGTTCGACCATAGAATTCAGAGTATTGTTTTTTGTGATTGTTCCAACCGTTTTATTGAGCCTTGCCCATTTAAATTGTACTGAAAATGATTGGTGTAATGGTTTTGTAACTGAATAATCGGACAGTGATATGTTTGACAGCCACATAAAGGCTTCGATATGGAGAATGCCATCAGTCCCATTGTGATGAAAGAGTAATCTAAAAAATGCAGAAATACAAGAATTAAAACCAGAATGGGGATGCAAAATTTAGAATAAATGACCTGATCAACTTGCCTTAGTCTTTTGACAACACCAAAACAAACGCCATTTTTCAAGCCAAACAATACATTTTTACTTGAAATATTTTTACAATTATTTGTGTAGTAATCTTCTTCCACTTTTGAGCCTGAGCAAATAAAGTATGTTACTGGGGCACACACATTTTCTGGGCACAGCTCCTGGAAAATTTAAAAGAGAAAAAAAAGCTTTACATAGATAAAATAAAATTTTAAAATACGTACATTACAGTAGTAAAATAAAAACTGATTTAACTCACAACTGTTTCTGAGGGCAGTTCAGTCTGATTCACCAAAAGTGGTGAACGCACAATGTTTTGTAGCTGATAATGAATGTATGAGCTCACACTGTCACATTCATGTTGACCATCAGGTGCTTTTCGCATACATTTGGATGACCATGGCAACAAATACAGCACTGCATTTTTAACTGAGCAAGCTGCAGTGAGCCTTGAAGCAGGAAGATCTGAAAAAAAATTGGCATAACTATTATTATTGAGCAAATCAAGAATTTGAAACTCGTATAGTATAGGGCCAACGTACCAAAAGTTTCACTTTGGCTATTGCGTATCAATAAAATAGGGGATCCAGCTGAATATGGTTTTGGCTTCTCAACTACAGAAATGGGTGCTGCTTGTAATTCTGGCCATACTGGAGTATGAGTTCTATCCCAGTGCCTTAAAAAGTCTTGAAGACTTAAAAAAACCTGCAAAATGTAAAACCATTCATAATAGAAAGCCAAAAAAAGTTAAGAAAAAAAACAACAACAGAAAACAGATAGAAAGAAATGTTTCAAATTGAAACAAATACATACCGGATGGGATGGGTACAGAACAGATGCAGCTAGGTTGGATCTTACAATGCAGAAGGCTCCACTTTGAGACTGTTCCAAAATATGCTCAGAATTGTTTAAGAAAACCAACTTAGAGGCATAACAATATCGGTTATCATAAGGTGGGTATCCTTCAACTTTGCACTTTGAGAAGGCAGCATGTTGGAAATTTGTGCAGTCTGGATCACAACAGCAGTTGATATCACAAGAAAATGCCTAAAAATTAAAATTTAAAAATATTTTTGATTTTTTTTTTAAAGCAATAATTAAAAAATTCATATTGTTACAAAATATTTTCAGATCATCATACCATTAAATCGCAAGCACATGTTTCACTAAGAGCATAACCAAGGATTTGGCCTTCTGGCTGCTTCACAGTTGTTGGTAACTTTCTTGGTGGTGACCGAGTTGTGCTGGAACCCTTGTTGGGTTTGGAGGAGGTCACCATGGGTGACTGGGTTATAGTTTCTTGTGCAGTTGTGGCAACAGATGGAGTGGTGCTGTCATTTCCAGAGGCAGGCTCTGTTGATGTAGAAGTTGAAGTCTCAAGAGAGACAGGAATTTCTGTTGGGATTTCAGTTGCATCCAGAGCTGGGTCAGTGGGGCAGTCAGAACTCCCCACTCCACATGTAGATCCTGTTGAAGGGGAGACAGAGAGAATGCCTCCAACAGTCTGACTTGCAGCTTCTGATAAAACAAGTAACAATAGAAATCCGGCAACAGCCTTGGCAATCATGTTGAGGCTGTATAATTTAACCCTCTGAGAGCTGAATCTGTCAAGTTTCAACACCAAATTTGGTGAAGTTACGGAGAATGACAGATAATTCCAAATGAACAGTGCCCATAGTTTCTGTCTGCAAGCGATAGCGGTCTGTGGCGCTGTGAACAAGGTCTGGACTTTTCAGTTGAGCACCACCACCCAGGAAATGTTGTTTAAACTGTTCGGTGAGAGAACCTGAAAAAAAAATGTATGCAAAGGCATTTAGTTGATATTGTAGTACTATGATAGATATCGAACAAATGTATGTTGTTGAGGGACAAAATTTAAATGTGTAAAATGTGCTCACCTATTGGCCTCCATGTAACAACATCCACTTTGTGAGTTCCTGGTGAAGATGGAATAAATGAAAATCCATAACCATACACTTCACTCCGACCAAATCTGTCATAATGGTATATCTGTAGGTTGATTTTGGGCCAGCCTACAGAGAAATTAGTACATGAAAATTAGAAAACAGGTCTAAGGATAGCAAGAGAAATTGAGCGTTATTTACAAGTACACTTTAAAACTGAATTATTTTTTAAAATGTCTTTCAGTGTTACCTTGAACTCCCTTGGTAGCAAAGTGCACATCAATGGGGTGGCACCACACAGCAGCTTCTTGCCATGACGGATTGTCGACGTGGGTCTGCCCTTCAGTAAGGCCTTCGATCACTCTCCAGCCACCTCCTGTGAAACAAAAGCAATTAATCCACAAAAATTTTAGTGTTTTCAACAAGAACAGTAGAATGACAGACATCAAACAAATCCCATAGAAAGGATGTATTCCATAACCTGGTACAAATTAAGCACACCTGCATGTATACCCCACTTGCAGAACAAGTTATGGCTCGGAAAACCACTGGCACTAGCGATTTGGCCAATGACGTGAAGCTCAGCCATTAAGAATAGCAAAATTCTTGCCACTGTCTCATTATGGGGCTGAAACAACTTTGACAACAACTTCGCATGTATTTGAATTTGGAACCGAGATTGTTTACAATACCGCCTTTGAGAAACTACCATCAAGCATAAGGCGGTGAGATGAACCGGACCCGCCATCGAGATTACCGTCAACATTTCCGGTTCATTTCGGAGATTGTCTGATGTTGTTTTTCTTGCCACTGCCCTTTGTTATCGTCGTCTGTAGTCTGTTTTCATGCAATTTTCTGGATAAATTTTGCATGTGCCTTGTTTCAAAAGTCTTAGCGTCGCAACAACTTGCGTTCAAAATGTTACTGTGATGACGTCTTTTCGATGAAGTAATTAAAGTTGATGTTTTTGGCTGAGAATGTGTAAGTGTACGAGAAATAGTTTGCCGAAGTTTGACATAACCTTACCTGTGGTGATAAAATCTGTTTTTAGTAACTCTCACTCAAAGGACTCGACACTGACGAAGTTCATTTTGACGTTGTCTTGCATCTTAAATGGTTAAAATGGCTATGAAACAAGTTTCTGTTTGAATAATAATCATTTTGTGTTGTGCCTCTACTTTTCTTCCAGTACCTGAGGTTGCGGTTTGAGGATTTTTATCAAAATGACTGGTGAACTGTCAACATCCCACCTTCTTACCATTCTTAAAGCCTTTGTTGTATTTAATATTATTGTAACATCCCATGCTGAAAAATATAACCTCTATGGTAAACCAGGTGATGGATATTACCTAGAAACTCTTATTGGGACACCTCCTCAAAGTGTAAGTAATCAGGTCTCTTCTTCAATCTAAAGTTGCATTTCTGTCCAATGATTTCAATATGTTCTTTTTATTTTTATTCTGTATCAGTTCAATGTCCTTGTGGATACTGGCAGTACAAATTTTGCTATAGCAGCTGCACCTTTCCTGAGTGTGGACTCGTATTTCAATATGTCATTGTAAGTATTTTTCTTGTCTCTTTGTAAATTGCACCGGAAGATTCGTTTGTTAATGATTTGCTTCATCTCTTGGTTATTTATTGTGTTTAGGTCAAGTACTTTTGTCTCTCAGCATCAGGAAGTATCAGTCATGTACACACAAGGTTATTGGAAGGGAGAGTTGGGCAACGATGTTATTGAATTCCCTTCCCTTGAAATTCCTGGCATCAGAACTGCACTAGCTGCCATTCAAACGTCCCACAATTTCTTCCTCAATGGATCTCTGTGGCAGGTAGAGTATTTCAATTTATGTACTAAGTATAACTTTTTGACAGAAAATTACCATTTAATTGGTTTTCTAGGGTATCCTTGGGCTTGCATATCCTATGATTGCAAAGCCAGATGACAAAGTTGTTTCGTGGTTGGACTCATTTGCTGCTTTAAATAATTTCAATATTGCATTTTTACTGGAGCTTTGTGGATCAAAAGATGGAGAAGACTCTCATGTGGGAAAGTTTACCATGTTACACTCAGGTAAGAGGACCATAATATAGGTTTCTGCTTACCCATTCGTAAAATTATTTTCTGTATAATGTCTTTTTTTTTTTAAATTTTTCAGATGACATACCACATCCTCCAGTTTTAAAGTCACCCATTATTCGAGAATGGTTCTATGAGATTTTGCTGACAAAAATTGAAATAGGTGGTGAGGTTGTTAAGTTACCTTGTCATGAACTGAACACCCGTCGCACTATTGTTGACAGTGGTACAACAAATTTACGGTTACCAGAAAAGGTGTGTAGTGCCTTGCCTCATTTGACATATTTTAATTTAAATCTCTGCGTAAATAGGTTTTTATTCAATTTGTTTTATCTCTTTCTTTCACCTTTATTCTCACTCTTTCAGGTATTCAACAATGTTTTGGAGCTGCTACATAAGCAAGTTCCCCAAAACTTGTCAGAAGAATTTTGGACACAACAAAAAGTGACTTGTATTCATGAAGATTCAGATCCCCACCACTTAGATCTTCGACACTATTTCCCCCTTGTTCGACTGTCTCTTATGCAGACAGCTCATTCTTATTTTACACTTGAATTAGAGCCCAAGGTGTGTAATAGAGTTTTCTGCATCAGAAAAAATAAATTATGGTTCCTTAGTTTTTAACAGTGTTTGGTTTGCTTTGCTTTCAGTCCTACATTCGACGTGTTGAAGGGCCTGACCATACTTACTGCTACAAGTTTGGCATACAACCATCTGATTCTGGTTCAGTACTTGGTAAAGTTCTCACATTTTCTTTCAGAAAACATTTTCTCTGACCAAGTGTGTTACATACATTACTATGTTTTATTCTTTTCTGTTCTTGTTATTTTTGCAGGTACTGTTGTAATGCAAGGCTTTAAAGTAGTTTTTAATCGTTCCGATAAGACAGTAGGATTCATGACATCTCTGTGTGGTCCATCAGTGAATATATATGGACCTACAGAAGTAAAAGAAGGTAATTGTTTTGTCTTGTCATTCATTTATAGGGTACCTGTACGCAATATAAAACTTAGCATTTACCACATCTAATTTTGCAGATCTCACTAAATGTGCCCATCAGCCCCCATCACCAGTTCTAGGGGCTCTTGCAATTGTGGGTTATGTTGTATCAGGTAATGCATTTGGAGCTTTACTACTTCTTTCACAAATTATTGTGGAAAATATAAGAGTGCATTAATTTTTTTGTTTTAATCTTTTGCAGTGTTGTTGAGTGTTGTAGCAGTAATTGTTGTCTACTTTCTTATCAAGTGGTTGTGGGAATCATACCTTCAAAGACCAGATTGGAGTTCTGTCAGCCAGTCAAATTTGCTGTCTCAAGAGTGAATGTTGTCACATGCTCACATCTCGCCTTAATTTTCTAAAAGGGCTGTATGTGAGATGCAATCATTATCGTGTTCTTTCTCTAAAACAATATCAAAAAGTGATAAATATTTTTTACTTCATCACTTGCTGACAAATAAGATAGTTTTGTTTTTGTGTGGGTTAAGAGTTGAAGCATGGATTTGATCCATGGGTTTTATCTGAAGGTAGCTTCTTTTTCTTTGTGATTTTTTTTTCATGTTAATTACACTTATGATAATTTTCATGTCTTTGACGCCGTCTAGTCTTGCTTGTTGGACCATGTTTATTCTAATTTATGAATAATATAAAACAACATTCCATGATGTACTTCTACGAATGGGTGAAACTTTTATGAACAACCCTTGCCTTAAAGGCTCAGAGGCACCTGTGGTGTAGGCACAAAAGTGGTTTAAATGCTTTTTTTTTCCAATTTTTTTTTGTTTGTTCCAAAACTTTTGGATACTTTACCATTAGTGATGCTCTAGTCATTTTAATCTGAATGTTGTGAACATTATAACTAAATATTAATTGCTGTGAGTGTCTTTTAAATAACATACAATCGTAAGAAATTATGTTGGACACATCCTCTCAGATTGGTGCTTTTCTTAATTTTGTGTACAATTGGACTGTTAAAATTTATTGATATCTAACTTTATTCACTGTGTTGTGCGTTTCTATAAGTAGGGGGTTGAATGCTCCATAGGTCTCCTTCATTGTTAGTGCAAATGCCCTGGCAAAAAATGTGACTGATTATCTAGTCCACTGTGTCATTGTGGACTGAGTTAGTGAGATTGTCATCAATGAAATTTTGTCTCTTAAGTTAATTCTATTGTTGGTAATGGTAAGGGTTCTTCAGCTTTTTTTTAATGGCTCTAGAAGCTTTTTCCTCCCAAGCTTGCCCATTAGATAGGTATGGGTAGGAGCTCGCCCAAATATTGATGCATTTCTGTAGATGTATGTACAACTGGCATCAGTTTCCATACGAATTCTCATATCTGACTGTTAATACTTATAAAATTAGAAATACTCCTGTAGATTTTTCTTTCTTGAAATTACTGAATGGAATATTGTATGATATAATAATTGTTGATTGATGTCTGTTTTCATTGTTTCCTCTATCAGTCCAAATGAGTAATAATTCAATGTCATTGAAATGTCACTTTTGAGGCTGTTTGTATTATGTGAGCAGTATGCTCATCGTTTCTTGCATATCAGTATGTCTGACCTTTTCGCTCTTTAGCAAATCACAGAAAGCTGCTGCTGCCTTAATTTATGTCTGCAGCTTTCTTAGTTCTATTAAGTTGTGCCAAGATGCTAGATCATTACACTAAGTGATGGCTGAACAGGGTATTTGTCTTATTAGTTTTATTATATGTATACCTAAATTACTTGTGTTTCACCAAGTAAACCCCCTATGTAATCTGTAAGATTGTGAGAAAATAAAATCTTTGTGTGATAGCAACCATGACAAACCTGTAGTCGTTACTTGTCGCCGCCCCCCGCGGCCACCCCGTGGCCCCGCGAGTCGCGATGCGGCCCGCCGTCCTCACGCGACTTTTTACTCGGTTTCGTGCGCTAAACGACTTGACGACGTGACGCTGTCTCTGTCTAGTCGGCTCGGCTTGCTCCTTTTCCCCCGGATGAGGATGAGGGACGGGCTGCCGGGGGCTGCCTGGCAAGCCGCGGCATTACGCGATGCCTCGGGCCCGGCCCGCCCGTCGCCAAGCCCGTCGCCAAGCCCGTCGCCAAGCCTGTCGCCGCGCAGCCACGGCCAGCGACGCAACGCGGCAGCGCCGGGCGACGCGCAGCGACGCGCCCCGTCTCCGCGCTCTCCGCCGTCGAGGCGGACGAGGGAAGACCGCCGCGGCGCGGCAAGGGCACGCGTCGCGGGTCGCACACGCAGCCGAAGTCTATCCAAATATTACGGTACTTGACACACTCTGATTACACCGGGTGCGAAGACTCGTCAGACTCGAGTGGGTGGCCGCTGGTCAATTCTGCGGGTGAGCGGGCGGAAATGGGAGAAGTGACACGTGAGAAGAAAAGAACTCCGCGGAAGTAGCTGCTGCAAAAGCTGTCTGGCTTACCAGCCAAACTCCTTGGCTTGCTTGCTCCGCGCCGGTGGCGCCTGTGAGGTAGGCTACCGGTCCAGCCCGCAGCGCACCGGTGTGGAGACGGTGGCCTACCCTGCCCCTGCCGTCTTGACGCCTGTGAGGTAGGCCACCGGTCTACCACAACGCACTCGTGTGGAGACGGTGGCCTACCTTCCCCCCGTCGTACTAAGAAAGATCGCACAGACACGGGCCGTCGGGTTAACGACCGCTCGTTGAGTTTGTGAGTTTTTAAATATTTTTATCTTTCCCTGTCGTTATACATGTAAAGGCTTTGTTTTTCGAGAAAACATCCACTGTACCCGCCGGAAGTTTATTCAAAATTTAAACATTTAAGAGTTTGGCATTTCTCCGGAAATTTCCAAGTTCTTTTTTTCTTTTCACAGTGAGTGCGCCCGCCGAGTCGGGCATCGGCAACCCGCTCGCCCAGCTGGAAAGCGTTGGACTGTAAATCTGTGACCGTCATCTACTTCTCGCGGCAATGATTACAGCACGCATGTTTGGTCTCCGGTTCGCAGCCGTGCCGTCCGCGGGGCGCGGGGCCACCCTCTGAGGACACCGAGCGCGACGCCGAGCCATGTCGCGGCGCGGCGGCCCGGGGGTACGTACTGCGGTGCATGCTACGCGATGCTACGCCACGCTACGCAACGCCGGGGGAAGGAAGGGAGTGCTTTGCCGGCCCGGGGCCCTCCGTGGGGCTCTTTCCCAGTCGAGTCCGTTGCGTAGGCGCGTCTCCGGGTGTGTCCGGGACGAGCGGCGCCGGCCCGCCGCTCCGCGCCAAGGGTTATCCGGGGTTATCCGCCCCCTCGAGTCGAGTGGGGCTGCTGTCGAAGTCGAAGGGCTCGGCAGGGCGCGGTGGCAGCGGACTGGGGCTGTCGCCAGGGGGAAGCAAGGGCCTTGAGGACCAGACGCCGAGTGCACTCGCGGAGGGCGGCAGCGGCGACCGCGGCCGCAAGGACCTCGACAAGGCCCACGACATGGCCCACGGACAGACGCAAGGATAAACGCGAACATGTTGCTGGTGAGTGGAGGCAGCACGCCTGCAGAGTGGAGGACTTGTGTGTGAGTGTGTTCGTGCGGGCACGAGGGCCAGGGCGGGCCAGGGCGGGCCAGGGCGGGTAATGATCCCGATAGATTTGGCCGTGGAGCAGCCCCGTTCCCCGACCCGTGCTTCCTGCTTCCCGTGTAGGTGGCGTGCCGCGTGCCGCGTGCGGTGGCGTGGCACTCCCAGCAGACGTCACGTCCGCCCTTTTCCCCCCGGGGCGGACGGGCCCCGGGGGGGTGGCGGGCCCCCCCCGGGGCCCCCCCCGGTATAGGGGCCCCCCTTTGGAAAAAAAAAGCCAAAGTATTGTAAAGTTATGAAACTCCGAGCTATTTGCTGGGAAATTGTTCAAAATGTATCAAAAGTAACGATATTAGGTTTTTAAAGCTTAAAAAATGTTTTTTTCCCCATAAAAAAACCCTAAAAAGAAAGCAAATGGGGGCCCCTAGGGCCCTTTCCCCCCGCCGGGCCCTTTAGGAGCCAGTCCGCCCCTGCCTTCCCCCCCCGGCGATATGTTGGCCCCCAAATTTACCCGTGCCCCCCCCGTCCCCGATAGTGGCCCCAAAGCCAGCCTCCTGGTTCGTTTTCTGGAGGCGACATTGTACTCCCCCCCGACCCTCGAGGGAGGACATGCTCTGTCAGTAATGTTAAATTCAAATTTAAATCATCGTTCTTGGGCGGCCGGTTGGCTTGCTAGAGGCGCTTCCATACAAATTTCCGTGGGTAATTCTTTTTATGAACTTTTTTTGGATGAGGTAATGTACTTGTCATAGACATCAAGAACGAAGGGCGCTCCAGCGTTTTGAACGAAAAGACAGGTTTAAAAACCCCGGTGGAACACAAGGCGTAAATAAGTAGTGGTTTGTCGTTTTTTGGCACGGTGAAAAACGGGGGGGAAAAGGACCCAAAAAACGACAAATCTACGACAGGGTTTTACGAAAAATAACAAAAACCCAACCCGGGCACTTGGTTTGGGAAAAGCGGTGAATTTGTCTTTTTTTTATACCTTGAAGGGGTCCTTTTTACCATTTAAAAAACGACCAAAACGACGGTCCCCCAAAAGGCCAGCGGGGCGAAAAGAGAAAAAGAAACTCTGGGGAGTTAAAACCCGGGGCTTTGGACACGGGTGTTCTTGGAAAATGTTGTACAGCCCCAAAGCCACCGGCCAAAGCGACTTGGGGAGTCGGGGGCATCGCCGCGAACTGCTACGGCTGGGCCCCTTCCCGCAGCGAATGAGCTTTACGGACTGGGCAGTTAAAAAGGGGCCAAGTCGTTGCTAGAGGGGTCACTTTCTTCTCCCGGTTTGAGTTGGCCAACTGATTAAAACCCATTTTTTTTGAAGGGCAGACTCGGGACAGTTTGGGCGCGAGAACATGTTTAGGGGGGAAAAAGCGCGGCCGTAGATTCGCGTCGAGGCCCCCCGACTCCACAAGCGCGGGGGCCCGAGGGGGGGGAGGGTACCCCACTTGTCCCAAGAGACGCTTCAGTGTGGGCCTCGGTTCAACTCTCGCGGGTTTTGCTTTTTTTTCGCTCGCGGGCCTTTGGATCACCGTCTTTTTGGGTCTTTTTAAAGGGTTTTAAAACCCGGAAACCACTTCGGTTTAAAAAAAACGAAAAATTTCCAACGCGTTAAAACCCAAAAACCAAGGCCGGCTTTTTTGTCTTTATTTTATTTTAAAAAGGGGGCTGGATTTTCGTTTTTGATCCTTTTTTCTTTTTCACGTAAAAATAACGAAAACGCCTAAAATTTACGCCTTGTGTTAAAACGGGAAGGCGCTGCAGTTTGCTAGGCCCGAGGGGTGCCCACTGTAAGTTTTGGGTGTACAAGAAGGGGGGAATGTTGGAATGGCAAGATTTCTGCGTTTTTGCACACGTTTGCCTAACAGGGGGTTTTTTCCCCCGAATTGGGAAAATGTGTTAAAATTTTGTCAATGAAGGGGGGCAGTTTTTCCCCCCTCGGGGGAAACCCCACTACGGTGCACATCAGGTGGCCGAGGCAAACGCCTCTCGCCCGGCATTCTGTTTACGTTTTTAAAAAAAGTTTCCGCCGCCCCGGCTTGGCGGTTCGGGAAGCGCAACCCGCGGCAACCCGCGCTCCGCCACAAAAATAAAACTGAAAGGGCGGTCCGTATAATAAGCTTCGGCCTTGTTGGAGGTCGATGCCGATGTTCGCCCTCAGTCCTCAGTCAGTGGGGCAGTGGTGGCGGTGGCGGGGACGGGGGCGAGGACGCGGGGGCGGCTGGCAGAGGATGACAAAGACGACGTTTACTTGCTTCATGGCCCCGCGGCACGCCACCGCACGCCAGGCAACGCCTCGCCCCTCCTCCTCGTTTCCCCGTCCCCCTCCTCCCCCCTTCCCCGCCCCCCCGTCCCCCCGCCCCCCCCCGTCCTCCCCCCTTTCCCGTTTTTCCCCCGTCCTCCCCGTCCTCCTCGTCCTCGCCGCCAGTCGTTTATGGGCTGGCGGTCTATACTGTTACCAGCGGCCGGAGTGCGGGACCCGGTGACCCGGTGCCGTCACGGACGAACAACCAAAGAAGCGCAAAACAAAAAAAAAATACATTTCAAAGAAAACCAAAGAAAGGAAAGGAAACAAGAAGTGCTGTGAGCAGACTGATTCCGAGAGTCATTTTCGTCGCTCTGTCTCTCTCGGACCTGAGCGAGACGCCACATGAGTGGGACAGAGACAGAGCGACGAAAACGACTCTCGGAATCAGTCTGAAGGACTGCAGGACTGGAATACACGGCCCCACTGCAGTGCAGGCGCATCGCCTCGCGGGGACGCGCTGCTCGCCTGCTTGCCATTTTGTTCCGGGGACAGCTCACGCAAACACCCACCCCCCTGATGCAGCACCGCCTGTTGTCGTCCGCGCCCAGCCCCGCCCCAGCCCGACCAACCCCTCCCCCCGGCCGCGCTGCGCCCCGGCCAGGCCGGGCCAGGCTGTCCAAACGCGTGGCGGGGCACTGCGTGGGACGCGGCCACGGGGAAGGGGAGGGGGAAGGGGGAAGGGGGAGGGGGAAGGAGCGCGACGACGTCGGGGTGGTGCTGGACAAAGACCGTCGGCCGCGACGATTAAAATTAATGAATTTCTCGACACGCGATGCCTGGGCTGAGTCCGGGTGGACCGACAGGTACCTACACGGCGATGCCCCTCGAAAATATACACACTTGAAGCGTGGTCTTCTGGCCCTAGACGAAAAATCTAACCTAACCTTGCAGGTACTTACAAATGCATATTCGGCTGGTATGAGTGCATAAGCGTAGCCTATGCTAAACATGCAATTGTAAGTGTGCACCCCCAACACAGTGCTTCGCGTCCCCCAGCAATCATGTCCCTGGGGGTGCCATGTACCGAGGAGGTATCATTCACTTCTCCTCGGGTTAAGAGCTGCTTCCGAAGGAGGCACCGGAGGCACCTCGGAAGCGCGCAAGCAAGCCTTTCTGTTTTTCGTTTGACGCGGAAGGCCGCGGGAAAACGAAGGCAGTAGTCACACCTCGTGACAGGTGGAGCTGACTGGCTGACAGGGCCGATAAATGGGCCTCTGGGACTAGCAGGGCACGGCAGGGCAGGGCAGGGCACGGCAAGGCAGGGCAGGAAGCACAGGGGCTAACGGGTGTTTTGCGAGGTGTGGCATTCTTCCTCGCTCCACACGTCGGCATGGAGCTGGCCCCAACGCCGTCGTGGACAAGCTAATAGGCAGGGCGATGACGAGAGTCGGCGGCGTGGTTCCCCCGGGGGAGCCGCCTCCCGCCGTAAGTTTGGCAAACGGGAAAACCGGGAAATCCGGCCGCGACATCGGGATTCGAACCCGGGCTGCTGTGGCTGTGCTAATCACTGCGCTGTCTGCGGCAGGTCGAGCACGCCCCGCCCGACCCGCGCCTGCCGGTGCTCGGCAACTTTGTGCAGAAGACGCTGAAGCTCAAGGCGGAGAAATGGACGCGCCTGCTGGCCACCGAGGACCTGCGGAAGTGCGTCATGGACTTCCTGGACAAGGCGGAGAACATGCTGCTCATCGTGATGCAGGTGAGTGGCGCGGCCGCCGTCGTCCCGGACGCCGTCCCGGTCCTCAACGAGGTCCTCAACGAGGTCCTCAACTTGCTGCTGCTTGCAGAACAACGCGGCCCAGCTGCTGCCGTCGCTGGGCTTCCCCGTCAGCCTCAAGAGCAAGGCCGCCTTCTTCGTCAAGAAGCGGCGCGCCGTGGTGCCCAAGGAGAAGGAGGCCATGCAGGACCTGCTAATCATCGGGGACATGGCGACCCGCGCCATCGAGCAGCTGGCCGCGCTCGTCGACGAGGTAATCCAGGCCATGGGCGGGGAAGCACAAATAAGGTGGACCTACCACGGCCGTTTGAACACTTGCGTGCACGCACTCGATGTACTCGATGTTCCCCAGGTGGTGGTGCCGCTGCTGTCCAACCCGGGCAACCAGGCGGGCTGGCCGGCGGCCGTGGCGCAGGACGTGTGCCGGCACGTGCACAGCCTCCGCAGCACGGTGTGCCAGGTCCGCGGCCAGGTGGCGGGCCGCACCGTGCTGCCGCTGCCCGCCGGCGTGGAGCGCGTCCACCAGGCCGAGCGCGAGCTCATGAGCAGCGGCGGCGAGGTGGTCGACCTGTACCTCAAGTCGGCCATCGAGGGCGTCGTCATCAAGTGGGCCACGCAGATCAACGACGTCCTCATGGAGGACTCGGGCGACGCGTTCAAGGGCGGCCACAACCCCACCCCGTCCGCAGGTCAGCGTGCTGCCCAGTGCCCCTGCTGTCCACCAAAGGCGCCTTATAGTCCAACCCCTCACCGTTCTGTTCGGCAGAGGTCCACTTCTGGAACTCGCGTCTGCGCAACCTGGAGCACATCTACGAGCAGCTGCGGGACGAGCGCGTGCGCAAGATGGCCGTGATCCTGGAGCGCACGGACAGCGCCTACTGGCCGTGCTTCAAGTCGCTGTTCCGCAACATCGTGGCCGCGCTGGCTGAGGCCCGCGACATGGCGCTGTACCTCAAGCCGCTCATGAAGCACTGCCAGCTGCTGGAGGACACGGACTTCGCGGACGCCACGCCGCTGCTGCGGCCCCTGCTGCACACCGTGTGCCTGGTGTGGGCGCACTCGCGCTACTACTGCAACTCCAACCGGCTGGTGGTGCTGCTGCGCCAGATCTGCAACCTGCTCATCCAGCAGGCCAAGCGCTACCTCGACCCGTCCTCCATCTTCCAGAGCGACGTGGACGAGGCCAAGCAGCGCGTGCAGCTGTCCATCGCGACGCTCAAGACCTTCCGGTAAGGCTAAGCCGGGCAAAGCCTCCGGATCCAAAAGGATAATATTATCTCTGGTCATGTTATCTTTGCAGGACAATTTAAAATCTAAATTCTCGCTAGTGTCGTCCCTGCATCCGTCTGTCCGTCCTTTGCAGGCAGTACTTCGACGAGTACCGCGACAACATCGCGTCCTTCTTCAAGGACCGCGAGCCCGTGCTGTGGACGTTTCACCCCAACGTGGTGTTTGCCCGACTGCAGCTGTTCGTGGACCGGCTGCACACCATCCAGTGGTTCTTCGACACGGTGCTGGAGTTCCTCAAGCTGGAGAAGCTGGAGCTGGGCGGCCTCAAGGGCCGCGTGCTCAGCACCAAGATCACGGCCGTGTCGCAGGAGTTCAACGAGCACTTCACCATGTTCGCCAGCAAGAGCTACGACGTGCTGGACCCCGAGGACTCCGCCTTCCTCCAGGACTACAACGTGTTCCAGGGCCGCATTTGGGACCTGGACCGCCGGCTGGCCGCCATCCTGTGCCAGGCCTTCGACGAGTGCTACAACCTGGAGGCCGTCTTCAAGGTGGGCTGCGCGGTCAGGTGGGGCAAGGTTGAGAACTGCAGGGAGGATGACTCGGTGCTCGATTTCGCAGCTCATCTACATCGCGGGCTCGGTGCTGGACCGGCCGCTCATCAAGGACGAGTTCACGGCCAAGTACAAGGACATCATCGTGATGCTGCAGCGCGAGGTGGACACCGTCCAGAAGGTGTACGAGGCGCAGATGGAGTGCGCGGCGCGCGGCCACATGCCGGTGGACGAGCACATGCCGCCGGTGGCCGGCGCGCTGCGCTGGAGCTACATGCTGCGCCAGCGCCTCACCGCCCCCATCAAGAGCTTCAAGAAGCTGGACCACCCGTGAGTACTGCATGCGCCTGCAGTGCGCCTTGCGAACGGCGGTGACGCTCTATGCCTTCTGGCCGGCAGGATCACGCGCGGCGACGAGGCCGCCGAGATCTTGAAGCAGTGCGACGGCATCCTGGAGGACCTGGACAAGCTGGAGCGGTCCATGGTGGACCGGTGGGCCGCCGAGGTGCCGGAGCAGTGCCGCCGCAACCTGGCCAGCTCCCTGTTGGCCCGCAACGACAAGACCTTCGAGTTGTCCCTCAACTTCCACCCGCAGCTGGCCGCTATCCTGCGGGAGACGCACTACCTGCAGCAGATGGCGCGCCAGGAGATCCCCGAGGCCGCCAGCCAGCTGTACGAGCGCGGCGAGACGTTCCGGAAGTACACCAACAGCCTCAGCGTCACCATCGAATGGTGGGGTAAACTAGTGGCCCGGCCGTGCGCCCCGCGCCCCGCCGTCTGGGTCGCTAAACAACGAAGGTCTCTTTCATCGACAGGTACAACAAGGTGCGCCGCTGCACGCTGCCCGTGGAGTTCGACCTGGTGCGCGAGCTGGTCGAGGAGGTGGACGCGCTGGTGGCGCGCGGCCTCCAGGACGGTGAGCTGACGTGGAGCTCGAGCGGCCTGTGGGACTACATCGAGCGGCTGCACGCGCTGGTGCACTCGCTGCAGAGCCGGGTGGCCACCTCGCAGGCCAACGTGAACCTGCTGAGGGCCGCCCTGGCTCCAGCCGCGCGCTCGCCCGTGTTCCAGCGCCCCAACAAGGACGCCCTGCTCGTCCTGGAGGAGCGGCAGGACCGCAAGGCCAAGAGGTGACTGGCGCGCCCGCGGGACTCCAGTTCGAACCTTCGAGCGCGAGGCTGTCTCGTCTTCCATGACTGTTCCCTCTGCCGCCAGGTACGCCGAGATGAAGGCAGCCGGGGTGGAGATCGGGCGCCTCGTGGCGGACAACATGGCCCTGCTGGGCATGACGGACGAGCAGAGCTCGGTGCGGTGGCGGAAGTACATCGAGTACCTCGACGGGCTGGTGGGCCAGGCCGTGCTCAAGGCCGTGGGCTGCTCGCTCACCTACCTGGCCGACAACATGGACGCCCAGGAGAAGCTGCCACCGCTGTTCGAGGCGCACCTGCACCTGCGCGAGCCGGACATCGTGTTCGTGCCGGCCCTGGACCACTCGCCGCAGGGTTTCGCGTCCATCGTCAAGGAGCTCATCGCCGACGTCCTGGCCATGGCGGGGCTCATCCCTTGCGTCGGCGACCACGGCGACACGTACGAGGTGCGCGGAGCGAGGCGCGCGGCCGGCGGCAGCACCCGGCTGGCGCGAGGATCTGGATTTGGGCGATGTTTGCTTGCAGGCTGAAATCTGCGACAGCGACGACATCAAGGAGATGACCAAGGACATGATGGACGGCGTGGAGACGGTCATCAGCCAGGCCAACGACTTCGTGCTGGGGCTGCAGGGCTACTCGTACCTGTGGCTGGACGAGCGCAAGGCGTACCTGGACAACTTCCTGACGTACAGCCGCCAGCTCACCAGCGAAGAGCACGACCTGCTGGCCCTCATGGACCCCCTGGCGCCCACGCCGTCGCCCCCGAAGATGGACCACTTCCGGGAACAGGTGCGGATAACACCCCCTCGAGATATCCGTTTCGAGATATTGATTTTTGCCACGCCTTTCTAATCGGCATTTGCCGTGTCCAGATCGACAACTTCGAGGCGCTGCTGACCGAGGTGGAGGGGCTCGTGTCCGTCAAGACGTTCTGCTCCTGGTTCCAAGTGGACCTGAACCCGTTCAAGCAGGCCCTGGTCAACACCGTGTGCAAGTGGGGCGACATGTTCAAGCAGCACCTCATCAACAACGTGACCCTGAGGTACCGCCGCCGTCCCGCCCCACCCTGTCGTTGTGGGTCTTATGACTATGTTTCTGTTCGTGTGTGCGCAGCCTCGCCGACCTGGGCTCGTTCATCCAGAAGGCGGACGAGGGCCTGCTGCAGCCCGTGGAGGAGGGCGACTACGACCGCCTGGTGTCCGTGATGGGCTACCTGATGAACGTCAAGACGCGCGCCGAGTCCACGGACGACATGTTCGAGCCGCTGCGAGACACGATCGCGCTGCTGCAGGGCTACGACCAGGAGCTGCCCGAGGAGGTGAACGTGCTGCTCAAGGAGCTGCCGGAGCAGTGGGAGAACACCAAGAAGATCGCGCAGACCGTGAAGCAGCTGGTGGCGCCGCTGCAGGCCATCGAGGTGGCCGCCGTGCGGCGCAGGATCACGGCCTTCGACTCGCAGCAGACGCAGTACCGCGACTCGTTCCGACGGGCGCCGTACTTCAAGTAAGTGGTTCAAGCCCCACCGAAGTACGGGCTTTCCTCGCGGCCGTGACGGTGCCCGCGTGCTGCCGCAGGTACGAGTGCGAGGACCCCTACGGCCAGCTGGACGCGGCCAACGAACGCATGGCGGAGTACGAGGCGGAGATGCGGCGCATCCAGGACTCCGGCTCGCTCTTCGAGGTGTCCATCCCCGAGTTCAAGCAGCTGCGGCAGTGCCGCAAGGAGCTGCGCATGCTCAAGCAGCTCTGGGACTACGTGTCCATCGTGCGCACCAGCGTGGAGGACTGGAAGACCACGCCCTGGCGGAAGATCGACGTCGAGAACATGGACATCGAGTGCAAGAAGTTCGCCAAGGAGATTCGGGGTGAGTGCTCGGTGTGGCGGTTGCCTCTGGTTGCCTCTGGCCCTGGCCCTGGAGCGTCGCTCTAACGGTGGCGGTCCGGCGGTGTTCCAGCCTTGGACAAGGAGATGCGCTCCTGGGACACCTACACGTCCCTGGAGGCCACCGTCAAGAACATGCTGACGTCCCTCAGGGCCGTGGGCGAGCTGCAGAACCCCGCCATCCGGGAGCGCCACTGGCAGCAGCTCATGAAGTCCACGAAGGTCGGGGGTCCGCGGCCCGTTTCGATCGTTGCATTTGTCCCTATTGTGGCCCCTGGTAACGTTATAGCGGTCTACCTCCCTTGTACATACAAACTAATGAAACCCATACTAAACAGTTTCCAGAGCCATATACGCATTTAAAGCTGTACATACTGTACATATAATGCCACGCATGGTGCATGCATGAACCGCCCCCCACTGTCCTGAAGAAACGACTTCAGTGTACACTGCAAGAAAAGAAACCTCTCTGACAGAACGGTGGACCCTGCTTTCACAGAGCTTGGTATAGCCAGAGGGGAGTCCCTCTAGGACTCTAGGTATAGAGTACCCTCCCTCCCCTCCCCTCCCGCTCCATGGTTCCTGCTCACCGTCTGCCTTTCTTTTTCCGAGCAGAGTTTACAGTCACTGCCGCCCAAGTACACCGTGAGTATACAAACAGTGTGTGTCCCCCGTGCGCTCCAGCCTGACGCAGCCTGGCGCCCCCTCGGATAGCTCGCTCGCGCTGTCTAGTTTCAATTATCCTGCCGCAAAAGTATCTACCGTGAATACTAAAACGAGCACGTTTTCCGAGGGGGCGATACAGAACACAGCCTGTTGCAAGCCATACTTCTCTGTGTACACTGTCCGATACCAACAGTTAAAAACTGCATGCTGCACGATGTAGATTGAACCACTCGTCGAGCTGGACTCGATATTTCATGCAAGCTCAATCAAGCCTCCTTCTGAAATGTCTCCTTCTCGTATTTTTCTCACTGTCCTGCTGAAGGAACTTCTCGCAACTGACGCATTTGATTCACACTTTTTCGCAACTGCTTCTGTGTCCTCGTCGACATCCAGTCTGCCTACCTTTGACTTATATTGCCTTGTATGTGTGCTGTGTCCGTTCTTATCTGCCTGTCGTTCTTGTAGTAGTCTGCTAATCTGTTAATTAATATCTTTCATTTAACTAAAACATGATTTTATTGAATATTTTTTCTCGGAAACGGAATGATAGCGACCGTCTAATCGGCCGGCTTAACCGCAGGTCCGCTTCGTGATGGACGAGGGCACGACGCTGGCCGACCTGCTGGAGCTGAACCTGCACGAGTGCGAGGACGAGGTGAAGAACATCGTGGACAAGGCCGTCAAGGAGATGTCCATGGAGAAGATCCTGCGCGACCTGCACACCACCTGGGGCGCCATGGAGCTGGAGCAGGAGGTGCACCAGCGGACTGGCACCACGCTGCTGCGGGCGTCCGAAGAGCTGGTCGAGACCCTCGAGGACAACCAGGTAGCCGTCGCGGCCGTCGCGGCCGCGGCAGGACCAAGTTGAGAAAATGTGGATTAACCGAAGCACTCGACTCTCTTTGGCCCAAAGGTGCAGCTGCAGAACCTCATCACGTCCAAGTTCGTGGCGCACTTCTTGAACGAGGTGTCCGAGTGGCAGCAGCGCCTCAGCGTGGCCGACCAGGTCATCACGGTGTGGTTCGAGGTGCAGCGCACCTGGATGCACCTGGAGAGCATCTTCATGAGCTCCGAGGACATCCGCAAGCAGTTGCCGCAGGACTCGGCGCGCTTCGACCGCATCGACACCGAGTTCAAGGTGGGCTGCGGCGCGCTGCGGCGTCAAGTAGTGCTGGTGCCACGGTCTCGTGACTGCCGCGCGCTGCTGCAGGTGCTGGTGACGGAGCTGGCGCGCACGCCGAACGTGGTGGAGGCCACCAACAAGCCGGGGCTGCCAGGCCGGCTGGACTGGCTGCAGAAGGAGCTGACGCTGTGCGAGAAGGCGCTGGCCGAGTACCTGGAGACCAAGCGGCTCGCCTTCCCGCGCTTCTACTTCGTGTCGTCGGCCGACCTCCTGGACGTGCTGAGCAACGGCAACCAGCCCGCGCTGGTGGCGCGCCACCTCACCAAGCTGTTCGACTCGCTGGCCAAGCTCAACTTCATCATGTCCGACGCCGGGGAGCCCGTCGGCGCGCTGGGCATCTACGCCAAGGACGGCGAGTACGTGCCGCTGGAGACGCCCTGCGACTGCACCGGCCCCGTCGAAGTCTGGCTGAACCGCGTGCAGGCCTCCATGCGCGGCTCCATCAGGAACTTCTTCGCCGAGGGCGTGGTCGCCTACGAGGAGAAGCCCCGCGAGTCGTGGCTGTTCGACTACCCGGCCCAGGTGAGCCTGTGCGGCACGCAGATCTGGTGGTGCACCGAGGTCAACATGGCGTTCGGCCGGCTGGAGGAGGGCTACGAGAACGCGCTCAAGGACTACCAGAAGAAGCAGGTCACACAGCTCAGCACACTCATCTCCCTGCTGCTGGGCGAGCTGAGCAAGCAGGACCGCCAGAAGATCATGACCATCTGCACCATCGACGTGCACTCCAGGGACGTGGTGGCCAAGCTGATCCAGGCCAAGGTGGAGACGGCGGCGGCCTTCCAGTGGCAGAGCCAGCTGCGCCACCGCTGGGACGAGAAGGAGCGCGACTGCTTCGCCAACATCTGCGACGCGCAGTTCGGCTACTCGCACGAGTACCTGGGCAACACGCCGCGGCTCGTCATCACGCCGCTCACGGACCGCTGCTACATCACGCTCACGCAGGTGGGGCTGGCAGTGTACCCTACACAAAACTAGCTGTCTTGGGTGGTTGCTAATGCTGCCTGCCTGTCCGTAGTCCCTGCATCTGGTGATGGGCGGTGGCCCCGCGGGCCCCGCCGGCACGGGCAAGACGGAGACGACCAAGGACTTGGGGCGCGCCCTGGGCATCATGGTGTACGTCTTCAACTGCTCCGAGCAGATGGACTACAAGGTGGGCGTCGAAGTCACTGCTGCTGCAGTGGTGGCGGACGGGGTGACGACGGTGTCTTTGCTTGCAGTCCTGCGGCAACATCTACAAGGGCCTGGCCCAGACGGGAGCCTGGGGTTGCTTCGACGAGTTCAATCGCATCTCCGTGGAGGTGCTGTCCGTCGTGGCGGTGCAGGTCAAGTCCGTGCAGGTGAAGGCAGCTCGCAGGCAGTAGGAGGAAACCCCAGCTAAAACCCTCGCGGTGTAACTCATTGGTGAATTGCTGAGCCCCTCAGGACGCGATCCGCGACAAGAAGGACGTGTTCAACTTCATGGGGGAGACGATCAACATGGTGCCCACCGTGGGCATCTTCATCACCATGAACCCGGGCTACGCTGGCCGCACGGAGCTGCCGGAGAACCTCAAGGCGCTCTTCAGGTACCTCGGCGGGAGGGGAGAGCGCGGGGGTGGGCGTCCCCCGGGAGGTCCCCGCCGTGCGCCCTGAACAGTGTCTCTTGCCGCAGGCCCTGTGCCATGGTGGTGCCGGACTTTGAGCTCATCTGCGAGATCATGTTGGTGGCCGAGGGCTTCCAGGAGGCGCGCATCCTGGCCCGGAAGTTCATTACGCTGTACACCCTGTGCAAAGAGCTGCTCTCCAAGCAGGACCACTACGACTGGGGCCTGCGCGCCATCAAGTCCGTGCTCGTCGTGGCCGGCTCCCTCAAGGTACCGGCACCTTACACGTTTCCATCTTGTCTTATTTCTCTTTTGTCTTTTTAGAGTACCGAATCCTTCATGGTCTTTTCTTCTTAGCCATTATAGATTATTTTGAATTTCCTTTTCAGCTTTGTATTTATATACTTCAGCCGCTTTAATTCATTTATATTTAGAATTTGTATTATTCCTCTCTTTTTCTCTCTATTTTTTTCTGTAGATTTGGTTTTCTTCTCATCATCGTACTTTGCCAGCAGCTAATCGCTGTCCATTCTCCATTTTTTCTCTTCCGTATTTTGTGACATAGCGGCAATGGAAAATAAGACTTCACTTGTTTCTGTGGTGACGGAAAGGCTGTGAGTGAATGAATCAAAGTGAGCAGGACTCACAGTGGGGCGGCACCCATATGCGGAAACTGGATTTGAAAATTTTTCTTATAGTCTCAATGTTCCGTGCCTTTTAGGCTCAATTCATTCCACAACAACGAAATTATCTTGACATGTTACGTACAAGCCACACCCACACGTTGTCAGGGGTGGCACTTGAACGCCAAAAGTGACGATGTACTCCATACCATGACATCGACTGCATAGCACTTGGGCTTTCCGCTTCGCGACAGAAACAAGCCTTCCATTTTGTGCCACAGCTGAGTCCGTCCATGCTTTTGGGCCGGGGATGGAACGAAAGTGCATTTAGTTGTTACTTGGTCAGAATTTTAATGTGAGAAGCAAAAAAGTGAGGAAATGTATTTCCTCTAATAGAAAAAGTTCCTCATTTTATTAAAAAAAAATTATAATAATACGACAAGTACTTTGTGTTGCAAAAACAAGTGATCGTTCCGTTTCCATCCTCGTCCGCGCGTACGCAGTATGAGTTGACCTTGCTTCGTGTTACTTGTTGAGAAACTCATGCCGCGCTCTGAGATGATCGTCGAGTTGGACTTGGAGACGGGCCGGCCGCGCAGGGGCGCCGTCACACAGGTAAGGACAGCCACGTTTTAGCGGCCAGTTTCAGCATCGGTCGAAGTGGCTCTCAGTTTTGCCGTCTTGTTCAAAGTTGTACTGATGTTCACCGTCAAGCGTGTCGATCGACGAGGTCCACGAGTACAATTCTCTTTTGCCTGACGGACGTCAAAACTTTGAGCCACTTTCGCCGCAGTTCAGTCGAAGGAAAGCGAGGGGTCGGGTGGGAGCCCGTTTGTGAAGCATGAGACTCATGTAGTTTGTAAGTGTAGCCCATAGACGCTTGCGTTGGTTACTCTATGCACGCATGCATGTGGTTCTGCTTGCGATATTTGCCATGTTCACGCTGCTAAACGCCTCAAGGCGCTCTAAGAAACTGTCTAAATGGCACAATGTTGCATGATCGGCACGACGCATGACATATAAATACTCAAAACATGAGCTAATAATCGAATAAAAAAGAGTTTCACCACCCACGCAAGTGAACGCAAGGTGGAAGTGAAGAACAACCCTCAAGTGGCGCCACCATTGACAGTCTTCGATTGCCCCAATGCCGGTGCCTCGGACGCCTCACCATCGCACTCCACGAAGAAGAACTCTCCTCGTTTTCTTGCTGATTTTATTTTTCACAGCGGATGGATCAGAAACCGCCAAGGTCAACAACCTCGGTTTCCGTTCTCCAATGACGTTCAATTGTTTAGCCGGAACTGAATCCGGTGGTCCTGATTCCTGAATGTCCCCGCCCCCTGGCGCTGCCAGTGCCGCCAGTACGCACACTGTAACTCGCTCGTCCTGCGCAGCGCGGCGACCCGGGCAGGCCCGAGGAGGAGGTACTGATGCGCGCGCTGCGGGACTTCAACATCCCCAAGATCGTGACGGACGACGTGCCCGTGTTCATGGGGCTCATCGGGGACCTGTTCCCCGCGCTGGACGTGCCCCGGAAGCGCGACATGGACTTCGAGCGCACCGTGAAGCAGGCCGCCCTGGACCTGCTGCTGCAGCCCGAGGACAACTTCATCCTCAAGGTGCGCTATCCCCCGCACACGCAAGGCCGCAGAGTCACTGACTCACGCCGGTGGTTGTTCCAGGTGGTGCAGATGGAGGAGCTGCTGGAGGTGCGACACTCCGTGTTCGTGGTGGGCAACGCGGGCGCGGGCAAGACGGAGGTGTGGAAGACGCTGTACCGCACCTACATCAACATGAAGCGCAAGCCCGTGTTCAACGACCTGAACCCCAAGGCCGTGACCAACGACGAGCTGTTCGGCATCATCAACCCCGCGACCCGCGAGTGGAAGGACGGCCTCTTCTCCGTCATCATGCGCGAGCAGGTCGAGTATAGCGGTGGCAACTTCCCGTTGTAGTCGAACGTTGTGAGGAACCTTGATGAAATGGAACGTCCCTTCAGGCGAACCTGGTGGGCGACCACCCCAAGTGGATCGTCCTGGACGGCGACATCGACCCGATGTGGATCGAGTCCCTCAACACCGTCATGGACGACAACAAGGTGCTGACGCTGGCCTCCAACGAGCGCATCGCCCTGTCCGCCACCATGCGACTGCTGTTCGAGATCTCGAACCTGCGCACCGCCACGCCCGCCACCGTGTCCAGGGCCGGCATCCTCTACATCAACGCGCAGGACCTCGGCTGGAACCCGTGAGTACCGAAGCCAGAGCGAAACGCGCCGTGCGCCGTGGCGGTAACCGGGAGTCGAACCCTGCCTCAGGTACGTGACGAGCTGGATCGAAACGCGCACGTCCAACTCGGAGAAGGCCAACCTGCTCATCCTGTTCGACAAGTACATCCCGCCGTGCCTGGAGGCGCTGCGCACGCGGTTCAAGCGCATCACGCCCATCGTGGACATGTGCCACGTGCAGATGCTGTGCCACCTGCTGCGCTGCCTGCTCACGCCCGTCAACACGCCCTCGGACTGCAGCAAGGAGCTGCACGAGATGTACTTCGTCTTCGCCTGCGTCTGGGCCTTCGGTGCCGCCATGTTCCAGGACCAGGTGAGTCATTTTCGAACGCCAACAACGCTGTACTTTTTACCTTGACGTTCCTCTCTCATTGCCCTTTCAGGCGATCGACTACCGCATCGAGTTCTCCAAGTGGTGGGTGAACGAGTTCAAGACGGTCAAGTACCCGACGCAGGGCACCGTCTTCGACTACTTCATCGACCCGGAGACCAAGCAGTGGGCGCCCTGGTCCGAGCGGGTGCCCAAGTTCGAGCTGGACCCCGACATGCCTCTGCAGGCCGCGCTGGTGCACACGCCCGAGTCGACGCGCGTGCGCTTCTTCGCCGACATGCTGATGGAGCAGCGGGTGCCCGTGATGCTGGTGGGGCCGGCGGGCTCCGGCAAGACGGTGCTCGTGGCCGAGAAGCTGGCCGCGCTCTCCGAGAACTACGCCGTCACCAACGTGCCCTTCAACTTCTACACCACCTCCGGTGAGGGCAGCCTCACCGCAGTCTGGGAATCCACTCCCCGCCGTGGTCTTGAATGTGTCTTTTGGCGCCCTCCAGAGATGCTGCAGAAGATCCTGGAGAAGCCGCTGGAGAAGAAGGCGGGCCGCAACTACGGGCCGCCGGGCAACAAGACCCTGGTGTACTTCCTGGACGACATGAACATGCCCGAGGTGGACGCGTACGGCACCGTGCAGCCCCACACGCTCATCCGGCAGCACATCGACTACAGCCACTGGTAGGGCAGCTTGGTCTCTTTCGGAACGCAGGGTGAAGATGGAACTGATGATGCCGTCCGTGCAGGTACGACCGCACCAAGCTGACGCTCAAGGACATCCACAACTGCCAGTACGTCTCGTGCATGAACCCCACGGCGGGCAGCTTCACCATCAACCCGCGGCTGCAGCGGCACTTCTGCGTGTTCGCCATCAGGTAGGCCCTCGTCCTCGTCGCGGATCCCCCGAGGCGTCCGGAGAGGCGGCCGGCTTGAAGTGGGCCTTCCTGTTGCAGCTTCCCCCACAACGAGTCGCTCAACTCGATCTACTCGCAGATCCTGTCGCAGCACTTCTCCAACCCGGAGTACCGCTTCCATGCGTCCATCGGCCGCCTCGTCAACGCCGTGGTCACCGCCTCGCTCGCCGTGCACCACAAGTGCTCGCAGGCACGTCCTGAGAGGGGAGGGTTGCACCGAGTGCTGGCCGTGACGCTCGAGGTGACACGGTGTGCGTGCGTTGCGTGTGCAGGTGTTCCTGCCCACGGCGGTCAAGTTTCACTACATCTTCAACCTGCGCGACCTGTCCAACGTGTTCCAAGGGCTGCTCTTCAGCACCAACGACTGCCTCACGCAGCCCACCGACCTGGTGCGCCTGTGGATGCACGAGGCGCAGCGCGTGTACGGCGACAAGCTCACCGAGGAGAAGGACATCGACGCCTTCTACAAGGTCCAGGTCGACGTGGTCAAGAAGAACTTTGACGTGAGTGTGGCGCCCCGGGCCGCGGACACTTGTTTGCCAGCTGTCCATTTCCGCTCCTAACTGGATCTAACCAACTGTCTTTCTCTTTTCGAAATCGCCGTCCGCATTGAGGGTTGGTACGAAGTAGCCTTAATCGCTCTCATCTCATTGCAGGCGGGAAATAGTAACGGAGACAATGCAGCGCAGCAACAGAAAGCCGTAACGCCTTCCTTTCCGCTTGCTAGACTTTACCTCACGCAAATCACAACCACATTTCTTTCTCTTTTTCTCTCTCATGTTTCTTCCACATTTTCTCGCTTGTGTGATCGTCTTAAACTGCGTTCTTTTTACTCTCCATGTTCTCTTTCTGTGTATGTGGTGTACCTTTGACTGTGTTCGTCTCTAGTATCTCCCAACCAACAACTAACTGTCAGAAAGTCTTGGCGAGACTGACTTGTTACTTGGGCGATCCTTTGTGCTTTGTGATGTGACATGTCTTTTTTATTGTCTTTGTATTATTCAAATTTTCGTGTTTTTCACTAGGCTAATAACTTATTTTTAGGTTTCTAAGGGTTGTTGTTTTTTCTCACCTCTTTTACTCTTCTCAAGCCTTAGTCTTTCGTATGTCCCCTGCCGGCTCACGACTCTTAACCACGCCCGTCCTCCGTGCGCAGGAGCTGGACGAGGGCATCATCCTGGAGAAGCCCAACATCTTCTGCCACTTCGCGCAGGGCATCGGCGAGCCCAAGTACATGCCCATCTCGGACTGGACGGTCCTCAGCAAGCTGCTGCAGGAGGCGCTCATGTCGTACAACGACCTGGTGGCCGCCATGAACCTGGTCCTCTTCGAGGACGCCATGATGCACGTGTGCAGGATCAACCGCATCCTGGAGTCGCCGCGCGGCAGCGCCCTGCTGGTGGGGGTGGGCGGCAGCGGCAAGCAGTCCCTGGCCAGGCTGGCGGCCTTCATCTCCAGCTTGGAGGTGGCCCAGGTGCAGCTGCGCAAGGGCTACGGCGTGTTCGACCTCAAGGTACGCTAGACCGTGGTCGCGGAGCTCTCCTCTCCGCCCGGCAGGGACCAGCCGTCCAACGTGACTGCTGGCTTATTGCCTGCTGCAGACCGAGCTGTCGGCGCTCTACATGAAGTCCGGGCTCAAGAACGTGGGCATCATGTTCCTGATGACGGACGCGCAAGTGGCCAACGAGCACTTCCTCGTGCTCATAAACGACATGCTGGCCTCGGGGGAGATCCCGGACCTGTTCCCCGACGACGAGGTCGAGAACATCATCGCGGGCGTGCGCAACGAGGTGAAGGGCTCGGGGCAGCTGGACACGCGCGACAACTGCTGGAAGTTCTTCATCGAGCGGGTGCGGCGCCAGCTCAAGGTGGTGCTCTGCTTCTCGCCCGTGGGCTCGGCCCTCCGCGTCCGCGCGCGCAAGTTCCCGTCCATCATCAACTGCACCGCCATCAACTGGTTCCACGAGTGGCCGCAGGAGGCGCTCATGTCCGTCTCGAAGCGCTTCTTGGAGGAGCTGCAGCCGCTGCCGGTGAGTGAGTGAGGCTTCCAGTGAGTCCGTTGTGGCCGCAGGCTCAGCGAACTGTGCTTGGGTGCTGCAGGAGCCACTGCGCGACTCGGTGGCGCGGTTCATGGCCTACGTGCACACGTCGGTGAACCAAGCCTCGCGCCAGTACCTGCAGTCCGACCGGCGCTACAACTACACCACGCCCAAGAGCTTCCTCGAGCAGATCTCCCTCTACTCGCGGCTGCTCACCACCAAGAACGCCGAGCTGGCGGCCAAGGTGGGCGAAACGACGACGAGGGCGTGCGGTGTAGACCATGCGCGCTGTTAAAGCAGACGCTTTTGCTGTCCAGGTGGCGCGACTGGAGAACGGTCTGGACAAGCTGCGCTCCACGGCGGCGCAGGTGGACGACCTGAAGGCCAAGCTGGCCGTGCAGGAGGTGGAGCTCAAGCAGAAGAACGAGGCGGCGGACGCGCTCATCGAGATCGTGGGCGTGGAGACGGAGAAGGTGTCGCGGGAGAAGGCCGTGGGTAAGGCGGAGGTAGGCAGCGCGGCGTGGGCCTCGTGCCGCCGGCCTGCTGACGTGCGCCGTGTGTTGCAGCCGACGAGGAGGAGTGCCGCGTGGCGGAGATCGCCAAGGAGGTGGCCAAGAAGCAGCAGGACTGCGAGGAGGACCTCGCCAAGGCCGAGCCCGCGCTCGTGGCGGCGCAGGAGGCGCTGGACACCCTCAACAAGGCCAACCTCACGGAGCTCAAGTCGTTCGGCTCGCCGCCCGGGGCCGTCACCAACGTCACGTCCGCCGTCATGGTGCTGCTCGCGCCCAACGGCAAGATCCCCAAGGACCGCTCGTGGAAGGCCTCCAAGATCGTCATGGCCAAGGTCGACTCGTTCCTCGACTCGCTCATCAACTACGACAAGGAGAACATCCACCCCGAGATCATGAAGGCCATCCAGCCCTACCTCAAGGACTCGGAGTTCGAGCCTGAGTTCGTGCGCTCCAAATCGGCGGCAGCTGCAGGTAAGATCGTCTCGGGCCAGCAGTGCTATCTCTCTCGCACTCTTGAGTGGTTAGGAGTGCGAGAGAGACAGAGCAGTCTGCATCATCATTATCGGTGTGCGCAGGGCTGTGCGCGTGGGTCATCAACATCATCCGCTTCTACGAGGTGTACTGCGACGTGGAGCCCAAGCGGCGTGCGCTGGCGGCGGCCAACGCCGAGCTAAACGCGGCGCAGGACAAGCTGGCCGTCATCAAGCGCAAAGTCATGGTGGGCAAGCAAGCCTTTTCTAAAAGCGCCTTCAAAGGAGAATGTCTTTTAACGCCAGCGGGCTGCTGTTCTAGTCCCTGGAAGAACAACTCGCCACGCTCACGGCGGACTTCGAGCGCGCCACCGCCGAGAAGCTGCACTGCCAGGAGCAGGCCGACGCCACCACCAGGACCATCCAGCTGGCCAACCGGCTGGTCGGGGGGCTCGCCGCGGAGAAGGTCCGCTGGGCCGAGGCCGTGGCCGCGTGAGTACACCGGGGGGGGAATGTGGGCGTGGGTAGCCGACGAGTACGTGGAACCTGACGCGACCACTGCCACCGCAGCTTCATGCAGCAGGGGACCACCCTGCCCGGGGACGTGCTGCTGGTGACGGCCTTCATCTCGTACGTGGGCTGCTTCACCAAGCAGTACCGCCTGGACCTCGTCAACAAGATGTGGCTGCCGTTCCTGCGGGTGCTCGAGGTGCGTGGCGTGCCGTCCTCGCCGCGTCGCTGTGCCTAAGGTCGCCCTCTAACTCTGGTGCTCTGCCGCGCAGCCGCCCATCCCCATCACGGAGGGCCTGGACCCGCTGACGCTGCTGACGGACGACGCGCAGGTGGCGCGTTGGAACAACGAGGGCCTCCCCAGCGACCGCATGTCCACCGAGAACGCCACCATCCTGTCCAACTCGGACCGCTGGCCGCTCATGATCGACCCGCAGCTGCAGGGCGTCAAGTGGATCAAGCAGAAGTACGGCGACGTGCTGCAGGTGGTGCGGCTGGGCGCGCGCGGCGCCATCGAGAGCCTCGAGCTGTGCGTGACGCGCGGCGCCATCGTGCTGGTGGAGAACATCGGCGAGAGCGTGGACCCCGTGCTGGACCCGCTGCTGGGCCGCAACCTCATCAAGAAGGGCAAGGCCATCAAGATGGGCGACAAGGAGGTCGAGTACAACGACTCCTTCCGCCTCATCCTGCACACCAAGCTGGCCAACCCGCACTACAAGCCCGAGATGCAGGCGCAGACCACCCTCATCAACTTCACCGTCACGCGGGACGGCCTGGAGGACCAGCTGCTCGCCGAGGTGGTCAAGGCGGAGCGGCCGGACCTGGAGGAGCTCAAGGTGGGGGCACCGACGTGGCACCGCGTGACAGTCGATGACCTTCCCCGGGAACGCAAATGTGGAGCGAACCGCTTCGTTGTTGTTTCAGGCTGACCTGACGAAGCAGCAGAACGACTTCAAAATCATGCTCAAGACCCTGGAGGACGACCTGCTGTCTCGCTTGTCCTCGGCCGGCGGTAAGCGCCAAGAGCGAGCGGCAACTCCTTGGCGGCTTCAAAAAAGCGCCTGCGAGCCTGGCGTAGGCCGGCCCGCCACACTGCCGTGCTCGGGGGGCTGGCCTACCCCCGACTTCGCAGGCGCTCACGCCACCATCGCGCACCTACACCGTAACGCCTGACTGCGTGCTTCGCGGTGCTTCTGCAGGAAACATCCTGGGCGACTCGGCCCTGGTCGAGAACCTGGAGACGACCAAGCGCACCGCGGCCGAGATCGAGCAGAAGGTGGCCGAGGCCAAGATCACGTCGGTCAAGATCGACGAGGCCCGCGAGCACTACCGGCCCGCCGCGGCCCGGGCGTCGCTGCTCTATTTCATTCTCAACGAGCTCAACACCATCAACCCCATTTACCAGTTCTCGCTCAAGGTTGCCGGTTCAAAGCGTTTCTGAAATTTTTTTATTTTTAAATGGAACCTAGCTTGAATGGTCGATTTCGCAGGCTTTCAGCGTCGTCTTCCAGAACGCCATCGACAAGGCCGTTCCCTCCGACGTGGTGCACACGCGCGTGCTCAACCTCATCGACTGCATCACGTACTTCGTCTTCATGTACACGTCCCGCGGCCTGTTCGAGTGCGACAAGCTCATCTTCGCCTCGCAGATGACGTTCCAGGTCGGTCGAGTCGAGGCCAGAGTGTCGCCGCACAGTGGGCTAGAAGACCGGCGCCGGCGGCCACAATTCTTGAAACGATTGAGCGCTAGAGTCGCTAAATGGGCCTAGAACCGAACATGTGATACCACCAATGGATTGCTCTCCACACGAGGAATCCATTGGTGGGGTCACACGCTCGGTTCGAGTCCTGTTCAGCGATTCCGGAGCTCAAAACGCGTCTAGAGTTTTGGCCGCCTCCACCGCTCTTCTGGCCCACTCGCGCCGTACTTCGTGCAAACGTGCTTGTCCGCCAGATCCTGCTGGCGAGCGAGGAGATCCAGCCGCAGGAGCTGGACTTCCTGCTGCGGTTCCCCATCACGCCGCACGTGACGTCGCCCGTCGACTTCCTGTCCAACTCGTCGTGGGGAGGGGTGCGCTCCCTCAGCAGCAAGGACGAGTTCAGGTGAGGAGGGGAGAGGAGGGGAAGTTGGCTACTTACAGGGACGAGATGCCACTTTCTGCCAAGGTTTCAGGCGCGGATCGAGGGGTAAGTGTGCCCGTCCGAGCGCGCTCAGAACGAACGCCGAGTCATTGTCTTCCGCAGGAACTTCGACCGCGACATCGAGACGTCGCCGAAGCGCTGGAAGAAGCTGGTGGAGTCGGAGTGCCCGGAGCGGGAGAAGTTCCCCCAAGAGTGGAAGAACAAGACGCCCCTGCAGAGGCTGTGCATGATGCGCGCCCTCAGGCCCGACAGGATGATGTACGCCGTGGCGTAAGTGTCTCGCCGGCCGCGTTCGAAAAATGGGAAAGAAAAAGGGGCTGTGTCTCACAGTGGGTGGCTGATGCAGGGCCTTCATCGAGGAGAAGCTCGGCGCCAAGTACGTGGAAGGGCGCGCCGTCGAGTTTGCCAGGTCGTTCGAAGAGACGAGCCCCTCCACCCCCATCTTCTTCATCCTGTCCCCGGGCGTGAACCCCCTCAAGGTAAGCGCTGTCAGGCCGTCAGTCGGCTGTGTTGGCCAGACTTGAACCCCGCCTCGACTCCGACTCCCGCAGGACGTGGAGTCCCTCGGGCGGAAGCTGGGCTACACGCTGAACAACGGCAACTTCCACAACGTGTCGCTGGGCCAGGGCCAGGAGGTGGTCGCCGAGGAGGCCATGGACGTGGCCGCCACCAAGGGGCACTGGGTAGTGCTGCAGGTAGGACGGAGGGTTGCGGGGTGGCCGCGCAACCGTCGAACGGCACCATGACTTTCCAATCTGCCGCAGAACATCCACCTGGTCAAGAAGTGGCTGCCCGCCTTGGAGAAGAAGCTGGAGGCGTACGCCGAAGGGTCGCACTCCAACTACAGGGTCTTCATGTCCGCCGAGCCCGCCGCGTCGGCCGCCGCCCACATCATCCCACAGGTTTGCCGGTTTGTCGCACGCTGCGCGCGAAACGTACACACTGCCATAAAGATACTGTAACTGTTGGGAAAACTGCAGGGCATCCTGGAGTCGTCCATCAAGATCACCAACGAGCCCCCCACGGGCATGCAGGCTAATTTGCACAAGGCTCTGGACAACTTCAACCAGGAGACCCTGGAGATGTGCACCAAGGAGGCCGAGTTCAAGGCCATCCTCTTCTCCCTGTGCTACTTCCACGCTGTGGTGGCGGAGCGTCGCAAGTTCGGGCCCCAGGTACGCCAGAGAAGCATCACTCCAGTTTCGTACACGACCATAAACGTCTATTAACAAAATTATTTTCAATTTCCCAGGGCTGGAACCGCGTGTACCCCTTCAACGTGGGCGACCTCAACATCAGCGTGTCTGTGCTGTACAACTACCTGGAGGCCAACACCAAGGTCCCCTGGGAGGACCTGCGCTACCTGTTCGGTGAGATCATGTACGGGGGCCACATCACGGACGACTGGGACCGGCGCCTGTGCATCACGTACCTGGAGGAGCTGATGCAGGCCGACCTGGTGGACGGCGAACTGATGCTGGCGCCTGGCTTCCCCGCGCCGCCAAACACAGACTACCAGGTGCGCGGTGTGGGTAACGTGGGTGACGTGGCCGGACTGCCGCCAGCGGCGTGGCTTGACTCAGACTGTGTTTTGTGTTCTCGTGGCGGTGCCAGGGCTACCACAACTACATCGACGAGGGCATGCCCCCGGAGTCTCCCTACTTGTACGGCCTCCACCCCAACGCCGAGATCGGCTTCCTCACCACGACCTCTGAGAAACTGTTCCGCACCGTGTTCGAGATGCAGCCGCGCGACGCGGCGGCCGGCGGAGGCACCACCGTCACTCGGGAGGACAAGGTAGGCTTGCCGTCGCACAGTGGGCCAGAAGACCGGTGGAGGCGGCCAGAGTCCTGGACGGGTTTTGAGCTCCAGAGTCGCTCAATGGGACTGGAAACGAACGTGTGACCCCACCAATGGATTGCTCTCCGAACGATTAATCCATTGATAGGGTCACTCGCTCCGCCAGACCCTGCTCCACCCCTCATGGTCGCAACCCTGCCACTTTGGCGTTTACAGGTGAAGCAGCTCATCGACGAGATGCTGGAAAAACTGCCCGAGGAGTTCAACATGCCTGAAATCATGAGCAAGGTGGAGGAGAGGACGCCGTACGTGATCGTCGCCTTCCAGGTGAGCAGCCGCTCGGTGACACTGTGAGGGCGGCGCCCCCTCCCACGAGGCCCACTGCCAGGCCGCCTGCACAATGGTGTGGTTGCAGGAGTGCGAGCGCATCAACACGCTCACGGGGGAGATGAAGCGGTCCCTGCGCGAGCTGGACCTCGGCCTCAAGGGCGAGCTCACCATCACGTCGGACATGGAGGAGCTGGAGAGCGCGCTGTTCCTGGACCAGGTGCCCGCCACGTGGACGGCGCGCGCCTACCCGTCCCTGCTTGGGCTGTCCGCCTGGTTCGCGGACCTGCTGCTGCGGCTGCGGGAGCTGGAGACGTGGGCCACCGATTTCGTGGTGCGTGTGTGTGCGTGCGTGTGGGTCTCGCCTTCGCGCCGAAGCCGAACGCTGAATGCTGATGCATTTAGTGCTTTGTGGTTGCAGCTGCCGCCGTCTGTGTGGCTGGCGGGCTTCTTCAACCCGCAGTCCTTCCTCACGGCCATCATGCAGAGCACGGCGCGCAAGAACGAGCTGCCGCTGGACAAGATGTGCCTCCAGTGCGACGTCACCAAGAAGAACAAGGAGGAGTTCACGTGAGTGCCTCGGCTCGCCTCCGCGCGGTGCGTGTCTGGTGTCGTGGCGCTGGGCCACTAAGATGGTGTCCTTGTTGTGCTGCAGGATGGCTCCGCGCGACGGCGCCTACGTGCACGGCCTGCTCATGGAGGGCGCGCGCTGGGACGTGGCCACGGGGGTCATCGCCGATTCGCGCCTCAAGGAGCTGTTCCCCAGCATGCCCGTCATCAACATCCGAGCCATCACCCAGGACAAGCAGGACCCCCGCAACATGTACGAGTGCCCCGTCTACAAGACGCGCACGCGCGGCCCGACCTACGTCTGGACATTCAACCTCAAGAGCAAGGACAAGCCGGCCAAGTGGACTCTCGCAGGTGTGGCTCTCCTGCTGCAGATCTAGATCGTGATCCACAGTACCCAGACAAAAGTCCGTTCACGCTTCAAGCCGAGTGCCAGGGGGAACTTTCAGGGTTTCCTGCTCCAGCCTACTGTAACAGGAAAATACTCTACAATATTCTATGAGTATATCTTCATCCAACTTGGAATTTTTTCAAGTAATTAAAGAAAGACTGCTAGGGTTTAAGAAAGGTTTTCAACTGCATATGGATATAGTTTGTAACTACATTTAGAAATAAAATATTGAAAATTAGCATGGACTTTTTCTGACTATCCATCCCGTTAAATGTGAAAAGGGGCTTCCCTCAGTTTGCAGCTTGCCCTAAAAAGGAAAACTCCCGTTTTTTTTCTGGGTGTAAAAAAAGCAATCTCTCATTCGGCTTCAAGCCCCAAATAGATGAGAAAAAATTGCAGGGGATGTTTCATTGTAACTAGGTTTAGGAGAATCGCAACAACCAAAACGATGAGTAATTTCACAACTTTTATTAAGCAAGAAAATAACAATGTGTCACAAGGTCAGAGAGCATTTCAGAGCAAGTTCTTTTTTTTTTTAAATTTAAATGTACCATACTTCAAGAAAAGAAAAAATACAGCTAATCGAATTATAATACTCTGAGTCAATCACAGCTTGTTATCTCACAGTTTGCTGAAATGCATAAAACATCTACCTCATTTGTGTACATGAGAAAGGCTGCCCACACCCTTAAAACAAAAAAGTTCAAGGCATGGTTGGTTAATGTTTTGCAATCAAATTGAACTTCAATTTAGTTCAGGCTAGGCACCAGGCTCTGGAAAACATGAAATTTGTTTACCAGAATCTTAAATGAATTAATGTGAAACATTAGCATAGGTACCAAAACCACAACTACTAACTATGGAGTGCAAGCAGAAAAAATTTGAATAAAGCTGAGCTAACTTTTTCGGATTCATAGAGCCAGAGAGAAATGATGCTAAAACTGACAACAAAACAGGAGGGGAACACCAAAAGAATGTCCAGCATAAAACATTCTTGATCCTTGCCAAGTGCTTATCAGATAAGGTCAAACAAAGGTAAACTTCTACCTTAGAAAATCAGGAACCAATAGGTACAAACACATCAAGTCGGGCAAGAAAGCTCATTTAAACCATTATTTGTCCTGGTATAAAAATAAAGAGATGAAGATGAGTTTATCATCTTTGCCACAACTGAAACTAGACTTACATAAACTGTAACACTTAAAGCATGAGGAAATATTTCTTCCAGACTGTCCTACAGCTGCAGTGTTCCAAATCACAGTCACTTGATTGAACTGCTTTGGCTAACAGATTTGATTAGACTAAAAACAATATCACAAAAATCTATGACAAATGTGGTTGAAAATAGTATTCAGACTTTTGCATATAGCTTACAATTAAACAAAGAGATAATTTAATTTGTAGTTTGCAATGCAAGTTAACAGGCATAAGGAATGAAAAATTTCACCTTAGTCACACAAAATGCAAATACACATTATTAGACACTAAACAGAAATACAAAAATAGAAAAAAAGCAAACAATAAGTTGCACTGGATGCACAAAACAGAAAAAGAGTATGGCGTTTTAAGTAGACTGTTAAAGACATGCAAAACAAAATAAACAAGAAATAAATATTTTGTAAACTTCTGCTTCATTATGAACATTAAGTTATTGATACATAAATAACAAACATGACTCATTGTTTTCATTATGTTTTACTACTCAAGAAGTAAAACTCAGGACAGCATAACTATAAAACAGTAATTCAATTGATTCAGAACTAAGAATTTGACTGTTATTTTAAAAAGAAATGTTCAATTAAACATAGTTCAACCTTGGTTTTAGGGAAAGGTTTATACGGTTATTAATATTACACAACGAGGTCCTTTGCATCAAGGTTTCACTTTCCTTTGCGGCACAAAATCCATTATGGTAAATTTGAATAGTGAGCTCAGTCAAGTTCAGAAAGCTATTAGGGCCAGAGTTCGTCATGGACACTGAAACTAACACTTTTACAGTAAATATTATTGCTCATGTTCACACTATGTCAATATCATATAGCTAAAATATTCAGCCAAATGCTGTATGCTAGGGACCTATGATCAAAGTAAAATTACAATACAAGAGCAAAACTAGATATTAAAAGGCTCCACGAGAAAATGCTTCAATTATTCGAGCCACTTTTCCATTAAATCCAACAATATCCAACATGCCTGCATCATTTGCTGCAGCAACATTCAATTCATTTGATGCGAGAGCACAAGTGATCAATCTGAAAATAAGTTGGAAACAATGAAAAGGAATCCAAAGTACACACTCAAACACATAATCATAAGGACAAACACAGTCAGGTTTTGTTTCCATAGACTAGCACTTACTTTGTTTGAGGCAGGTTCATCTGCTGGCGGTATTCCTGCAGAGCAATGGCAGGGTCCTTGAATGCCCGTTTACGAGGTGTTACATAGTCGGTAAGCACAATGAACACATCAATTGGCTTTTTACTTTGCTGAGCCCATACCATAGGTTGACAAACCTCCACTGGGCCATGTAAAGACTGCAAAAGCATAAAAAATCATAACCCTGCACTTAACATGGTCCTTTACACATGAGTCTCTGAATTGTTTTACCTCAGACATCATCTTCGCCAGATTGTCAGCAATAGATACATCCTTCTCAAGTGTCAATGGAACCATGGGCTCCAACGAAGTTTTGCGAGGATGAATTGGGCCCGCAGTTCTCTGCTTTTTGGCTCTGCGATTAACAGCTTGCTCAACAGGAATAAAAGCTTGCACAACAGGATTAACAGGGTCAATAAGCTCTTTTTCGGGAGGGGCACCAGGGAGTGCAGGGAAAGCAACAACAGTCACTTCTCGCTCTGCATGAAGAAGGCTGAGCGCCAAAAGGGTTGCAGCCATAGCTGGTGCCACATCTCGCGCTCCATTACAATGCCAAGATTTCATGTTGTGAGACAGATCAATTGCGACAAGATACCGCTTACCAGTTGGCACCAGCAACTGCAAATAAAATCATTGTTCAATAATAGTTCAAAGTCAAGTCAAGAACTGAACCAAAAGCACAAACACAAAGTCGATCCTCTAACCTTTAGAGTAGAATTGAGCAGGTGGTTAAGGGCATCAAGTATCTTAGTACTTGGTTTTGGAGCTGGTTTCAACTCTTTTTCAACCTTTTTCATTTTAATTAACTTCTCCATGAACTCATGAGTATTCCTGAAACAATTTTTTTTTGTTTTAGACTACTTTTGAGGCACATTGCTGCGTTCCTTCACATTTGACCACATTTGACACACTTACTTTGCATGACATTCGTAACGTTTCATGGCACAGTATACTTGAGTGGGGTGTAAATGAGACTCAACAATAGCTGTTTGGTCAAGAAGGCGGTCTACGATTTTTTGTTCAAGCGGCCCAGACTTCAAGAGACCAGCGCAACTAAGACGCACTAGGTTATCAAGCAATTCACCAAGAGGCATGTTTGGCACCGCAGCTATCCATACCTGCAAAGCAAAAACACGAAGAATTCTTAGAATTTGAGAGTTGAAAAAGAACAACAATAGAAATAGCTGACCACTTCAATATCTTCTTTAATCTATAAGAAAAGATACATACTTCAGGTGATTTCACATTGTGGGCAGGCACTACAACAATTGGCAAGTTGTGCAGTTCTATGAGCCGGGCAGATGCCTGCACATCAGTTTGATGTTTAATTTCTTCTACAATTTGAAGATAAGAAAACACTTGCTGGATAGTCGGATCATCCTCCTTGTCAAAAGTCATTTTAGATGCCTCAAGACCTTTCATGACATACTGAACAATTGCGCCCTTTACTGAAATACAATGAAATAGTGCTTATTTAATTCAGTCAACACAACGTAACCAAAAATAATAATCCAGAATACAAACCTTTGTCTTCTGCCTTAATGTGGCAAAGTCTAAAAAGGTCTTTGTGGGTGAAACCATAAAATCCACGAAAAAGTGATACACTAGCAGCCATGTCCATGGGTTCTTTGCTTAGGTACCATTGAGTCAGCGCATTTCGCCACCCATTTCCATGGCCTGATAAATAAGAATTTCAACCATCAGGTTTATTTCATTTTTTTCACAAGAAGCTAAATTACCTTAAATGAAAAACATGATCCAGCCTAATACCTTTATGCGGAGCAGAAAGTTTTTTGGTGAAGGATACAAAAAGGAAAATGTCCTTTGGTGTTTTACAGACAGTTTTCAGGGCATTGTATGCTTGAGAACGCAACCGCTCACTTGTCTTCTGACAAGCACACACTGCCAAGGCAAATATCAAGCATTCTGGGTATCCGGAGTAACCATCCATAAAGGCCTTAAAAAAGACAGATAAAGCTTCTTTGTAAAGCACTGACAGTTCCAATGCACATCTCATCAAGGTTTACTGACAATAATATTATTTACAATGGATCCAATCTAGTTTAAGCTTACCTTCATAATGTGATTAACAGCATCGCCTTGCTTCTCAGGAGGGCAATCAGCTAACATTTCCTCGATAGAAGGAAGGTTCTCCATCAAAAAACACTTGAGGAACTCTCGATCTCCAGGGACACATACAGCTGACTCCGAGCCATAATGAAGAAATCGTTTCAAACGAACCTCAGCTGGAGGCTGAGCCTTTGGAGTGTCACTCATGTTGAAGGTTTGATCTGCAACAATACATCCCAAGCAATGTGGATTGGTATCTCAAATGTGGATGAACACAAGTCAAATCAAATAAAAAAGTACGCCAAATAAAATTTGAAAGTACTAAGAAAAAGTATCAATGGCCCAGGGGAGATCTTTTGAAGACTCCAACTGTACAAAATCATGATTTGAAAAAGAAAACATGGTCCAAGATTTTTGGCTTGGTTAAGGACAACAACTCGATCTATCATGGACCCAAGCTTAAACGTCTATTTGGGATAACTATCGGGTTGATCAATAAGAACTAAAAGATTATTAAACAACGTACTATTACTAAAATTTAATAAACAATATTGGACGAAATACGTTATCCAATACGATTTTGTGTCTAGTGGCGGGGAGCTGTCGCACACAGATTGAAAAGAAAGATTGGTTTCAAAAAGTTGATGCCATTACATTCAATTTGAAAAACTCTGAACGCTCCTTGACAAACTAGGATACGTTCGTTTCAACACGATGCAGCCTTTGATAACAAGAATTTGAAACAAGAATTTGATGTAAATAACTTGACTTACAACTCACGATGCACACACAAGCTCGATCTCGTCTGCCACTGTGGAGGTGCCCTTGCGCGAGACTAGGCAGACTACGCCGCTAGTACAGTGCGGTTCAGTTAGGGTTGCACGGCATTCGTCACAAGTCCCACGCGACTGGGAGAAACTGCGCCCGTCAAACACATATCCACTTATTCACTTCAATCCCAAGGAGTCACGCACGTGTTTCTTCCCCACATTTCGCAGCCTTTCCTCCTTTCACCCTCCCCGATTTGAATCTGCCTTTGTGTTTCGCGGCTTTGTGCAGCTAGACTCGCGAAAGGCCATTTCCGGGCCACCCGAAGTGGAGCCGAACCTGGCCGAACCCCCCGGACGACCGCCCGAACGCAGCGCGAGCGCGGCGTGCGCCGTAGCGGCTCGGGTCGCGAGGCTCGCGCTTTGCAGCAACTCTGTGCTGCTCGTGCTTTTGACAGGTGCGGACGGTGACTGCAGTGCCGCAGCTGCACGTGTGGGAAAGGAAGGACCGCCAGTCGCGGGCCCTGGCTCCTTCGCTCTGGTGATACCCGCCGTAACCGACACCTGCCCGTTTCAGGAGCATCATCGCGCAGCGTCCCCGCAAAGCCTACCCACGGCGTCGCACATCGCCAGCAGCCGAGCCTACAGCCCAGCTTCCCAGTCAGCTGTGCAGCCCTCCGCCTTGAGTAGCATGGCCGACTACCTGATCTGCGGCGGCACTGGCTACGTGCCCGAGGACGGCCTGACCGGCGCACAGCTCTTCAGCAGCGGCGACGGCCTCACCTACAAGTGAGTCTTAAAGCACGCACAGGGTGCGCTTTCTGGTGTTGCTGCGGCGCGTGGTGCGCGTGGGAGTGAGGTTAGGGACCAGCCCGTCGCCCCGACCCGTGTTGACGAGCACGTCGCGGGGGCCATGGGGCTTCGATTGAGGTCCGCGACGACGTCGGTGTGCGTCGTACGCGGGCCGGGGGAGGGGGAGGGGTGTCTGGCCACTGGGGCGGGTCCCGCCTGCGCTGCCACCCCTCGTCGCGGCCCCGAGCCGTGGCGCGGGGGTGGGTGGGGTGGGGTGCCATTGGGTGCAACCCCCTCCTGGACGAACCCCGACTCTGCCTTGCCTTCTCCCTTGGGGCCGGGCAAACCTGCACCCTGAGACTCAGAACCGATTACGAATCCCAGAAAACCCGACGTGTTTACAGGACGTCTCTTGGAAACGGTGGGGCACCCCCGGGGAGCTTCTGGGAATCGGCTGGACCCGTGGGACTGACCATGTGATGCGAGGTCTTGGGGATGGGGTTAATCCAGGGTTGCAACTAGTGGCAGTTTCCAGACCAGCTGCAGAGGGGGAGGAGGGAGGAAAACTTGTACATGCTGGTTTGGTCCTTTACTCCTCTGCTGCAGCAGGGAGAGGGAGAGCCCTCATCTTGTGCCGCTCGTGTACACTTCGAAGGCTAGCCACAGCCAGCTGAGCAGGGAAGCCCTACTGAGCTGTCTCCTTTGATGGTGTTACAACTGTCGTGGTGCACCCGGGGCCTTGACGCTGTTTTCGTCCGCTGTTTTTTCTCCTGTTATTTTCGAACTGGCCAATGTGTCTAATTTGATTTGCGTCTGAATGTCATCGAAATTCTACAATGGCGTGAGAGCTGAGCGCTCTCGTGATTATGTAAATCCCTTCCGCGCGGCCCTGTCGGCTCCAGGCCGCTATGGCCGCTATCGGGCCGCTATCCTCGGGTCGGGGGAGAGGAGGGAGGTGGGTGTCTCCATCGCGCCGGGATATAAATAACCGGCCTCAGCAGCCAGCCGGCCAGGTCGCCTTACTGGCCTTACCGGCGATCACTCATGCCTGAGCAAAACAAGGATGGTGGCGGGAGGGCCGGCCACTGACCGCGAGGACCGAGCCGAGGGAACCGAGCCCTGCAGGCTCATTTCGAGCCCCGCTTTCGTCGCTCTGTCTCTCCCGCACTCATGGGGCGTCCCGTGTAAGTGCGAGAGAGACAGAGCCACGAAAGCAGTGCTCGGAAGACGTCTGCAGGCTCAACAAGCCTGGCTGGCTAGCCCGGTCAGAGCCAACTGATTCCAAAGAATTCCTCAGCAGGATGTCTGCTATCCGACACCTCTCATTCCATTCCCTTCCCTTTCCTGCGGTGAGCCGTGGAGCAGGGAGTCGAGTCCAGGAGGCTTGGAGACAGACAGAGCAGACCTCCTCTACGCGGAGCTGTACTGACCACGGAAGGAGCAGGAGGAGGGAGGGGGGTTCGAGGTCGGTGTTTGTCATCCTGGAACTTGGCCGGTTATGTAAGTGGTTCAGGAATGTCAGGACGGCTGATCGCGCGTGCTCCTTGGATTCCAAGGCTGCGACTAGTTACCGCACGGTTACTAGGGAAGGATTAGACGCCGATGCGGCTGCCTCTCGGCCTCTCGATTCCCGCGACTGGGCGTGGGCCTCGAAGGGCAGCTCTGCGTCATGTCGTTGGTGGCGTTGACGTGGACGCGGACACGCGGTCGTCCTTCCCCTAATCGGCTCACCCAGGGCCAGCCCCAGCCATGGCGCAGCCCTTCTGCGCTTCTGGGCTTCCCCGCGGCCTGGGAGGCCTGCAGGACCACCAGTGAAGGGCACGCGGTCTCCCCCCCCCCCCCCCCCCCGGAGACTTGTTGGTCGAAAGACCCTGCTAATGCTGCCTGTTTGTTTGACACGTTTGTTTGCCTGTTGCAGTGACTTCATCATTCTGCCCGGATTTATTGACTTCTCCGCCGACGAAGTGGTGAGTAGAGTAGTGCCCCCTCCCCCTCCTCCTTTTCCCTGATAACGAGATGCGCGCCGTGATTGGGCCATGGCCCGGCGGTGCGTGCAGTAGACCACCAGAGACGCGCGGCGCGCAGCGTTTCGGATTCGCCGTGACGTAAACTTGCGATTACGCGCGGGACGTACGCTGGGCCGGTGGTATTCGAACCCGCGACGGCCCGACGGCAAGGGAGAGCGCTGGACGCTGGACCCGCGCCTCCCCGGCGCTACCCCTATGACGCTCCCGCCTGACGCATGGTCGATAGGTGGGGCGGGTCGCGGTGGTCGCGGGAAGGGCGGTGGGGAAGGCCAGGGGCTGGCCTTGCCTCGCGGGGCGGGGCGGGGCGGTCGTCTCAAGGCCACCTGTGAGGAGGCTCACCGAGATGTTTCGGGACTGTCGTTTTGTTTCCTAAGGGTGTGTTTGTGCTGACTCAATTCTAACATTGTTTCGTGTTGCAGGATCTCACCTCGGCTCTTACCAAGAAGATCACCTTGAAGGCCCCGTTGGTCTCTTCCCCGATGGACACTGTTACCGAATCGGAAATGGCAATTGCTATGGCTGTAAGTCACCAGCTGGGTATAATATGACAATTGCTTGCATGTTTTTTTTTATTTTTTGTTTTTTTATTTTTATTTTTTTTAGCTATGTGGTGGCATTGGCTTCATCCATCATAACTGCACACCAGAGTATCAGGCCAATGAAGTAAACAAAGTTAAAAAGTACAAGCATGGATTCATTCGAGACCCAGTGGTTCTGAAACCTGATAATCTTGTAAGTAATTAATTAATAATTTTCCTGTTTTGAATATTACCTGTAGCTGTCCCCCCTCCCCTTTTTTCCCTCTATTTCTCCTTTCCTCTCATTAGTGTATATAATTTTTCACTTTTGTTCCCAGAGTAGTAGCAATTTATATTTCCTCTTTACTAGCATGCCAATCCTTGAGTTTTGACCCCTCAATTGAAGCCAACCTTAATAATAAACATGTATTGCTAAAACTTTTTGTTTTTGCCAAATCAATTTATTGCTCTAATTATGTTACATGTTTATTTGCTTTACTAGGTGAGTGATGTTTTTGAAACAAAGAAAGAACATGGCTTCTGTGGTATCCCAGTGACAAACACAGGAAAATTAGGTGGCAAGCTATTAGGTATGGTCACTTCTCGTGACATAGACTTCTTGGAAGGAAAGACAAACCAGAACATCAAGCTTGGAAATGTGAGTGAATTCAATGACCTAAAGCTTCTGGCTCGTCTCTAGCTTGCACCCACCAATCCAATTGACATTCCTCTCGCACAATTTTGCTTAGCAGCCTGTACTGTTGGGGTCTTGTCAATCATTTTTGATGATGCTTGTTGCTTTTTGCTATGCTTTGATTGGCATTTAAACGCCTGTCTAATTGTCAGGAACCATTGCAGGTCATGACCAAAAGGGAAGATCTTGTTGTGGCATCCGCTGGAGTAACCTTAACAGAAGCTAATGATATCCTCGAAAAGTCAAAGAAGGGCAAATTACCTATAGTCAATGATGCTGATGAGTTAGTTGCATTAATTGCTAGAACTGATTTGAAGAAAGCCCGCAGCTACCCAGATGCTAGCAAGGATGACAACAAACAGCTATTAGTTGGTGCAGCCATTGGTACCAGGGAAAATGACAAAGAAAGACTACGTCTTCTTGCTGCTGCTGGAGTGGATGTCGTCGTGCTTGTAAGTTAGTCCTATTGAGATAAGTAAATTTCTTATCTGAAATGTTGTTTTGAATTAATTTTTTAAATCTTCTTTTCTGTAGGATTCTTCTCAAGGAAACTCTACTTACCAAATTGATATGATTAGGTTTATTAAACAAAACTATCCCGAACTTCAAGTGGTAGGAGGGAATGGTAAGGACTTTTCCGAACTAAAGCACTTCTAACTTTTTGTACTTGTCACATAACACATTTCGTCTTCGTTTTTTACAGTTGTGACAGCAGCCCAAGCAAAGAATCTCATTGATGCTGGTGTTGATGGTCTTCGTGTAGGTATGGGCTCAGGCTCTATCTGTATAACACAAGAAGTCATGGCTGTGGGTAGGCCTCAGGGTACTGCTGTCTACAAGGTAGCAGAGTATGCCAGACGATTTGGTGTTCCTGTAATAGCCGATGGTGGCATCCAGTATGTAGGACATATCATTAAGGCCCTTTCTTTAGGTGCTTCGACAGGTAAGACTTTCAGCCTAACTTTAAGCTGAGTCCTGTGTTTCCAATCATTTCCTCGGGCAATTTACAAGTGTTTTCTACTTCCAGTTATGATGGGCTCCTTGTTAGCTGGTACCTCTGAAGCTCCTGGAGAATACTATTTCTCTGATGGTGTTAGACTGAAGAAATACCGAGGCATGGGTAGTTTGGAGGCCATGAACCGCAAGGATGCTAAGGGAGCGGCCATGGACCGTTACTTCCATAAGTAAGTAAATATTAAGTTATTACTTTTTTTTAAATAATTTTCAGTGCTGTGGTCATGTTTGGTTATTATTTACAGTGAATTGGACAAGTTAAAAGTAGCTCAAGGTGTTAGTGGTGCTATCGTTGACAAGGGATCAGTGCGACGGTTCCTACCTTACCTCACATGCGGTATCAGACATGGATGCCAGGACATTGGATCTCGAAGCCTTTCAGCCCTGAGGTGAGGGGTCTTATGTTTTAATGCTTAGGTGTGCTTTAGAATAAGAGGGTTGAAGCATTTTTATGATCTGTTTCTATTCCACCTTTCTAGGTCCATGATGTATTCTGGAGAACTCAAGTTGGAGCGACGTTCAAACTCTGCCCAGCAAGAAGGCAATGTTCACAGCCTGTTCTCTTATGAAAAGCGCCTATTCTGACATTCAAAGGACTCTAATAATTTGCGTAATGATGTACGCGATTGAACTAGGTTTCTAGTTATGTGATTTTTTATGAACTCCGGTATTGACTTTATTAGAACTTAGTGACAAATCATGTGATGTGGTTGATTTACATATTTTGAAATGTGCATTATGTTGTTTTAGATAATTTTAATTTGAGGATTTTATGTTTCTTTTTAATCAAAAAAAAAAGCTTTGCTATTGAAGGGACCATAATCAATAGTTTCAAATTCAACCAAATTAAGTTAAACCTGGTGACTTCAATGTGCTCTTCATATTGCAGTATTGATGATCAATAAAATCTATTATTCTAGTTAAATGTACTTAAATGTTTCCTTGATCTTCCAAGTGTTGGATAGGATACTAATCAACTCACATTACGTTGGTTATTGTTTTATTTCAAAAAGAAGCATTAACACTGAAGGGTTGAAGAAGTTGAAGCACTACTACTTCAGAGACCCTGGACGGTACAAGTTTGGCACTAAAATGTTGCCCTAAACACTCATTGGCAATTACATGTGCAGCTCATAATACCATTACATTAACTGGATTTGGCACGTCCACACTAAATTAAAATCAGCCGTGTACTCAACTGAAGCTGAGTACTGAGATTTGGACGACTACATTTTAAACAAAACATATTGGCTGTTATAGTACAAGGCGACAAAGCAAATTGAGTTCAATATAGAAGCTATAGCTGCTTTCTTGAGATGATGAAAAGAAAAGTGATTTTGGACATTGCATGCAGTGTGAAGTTGTTAAAATAACAAACTTAGGCTGAGAAAATTAAAACTATTTTGCTCATTAAATGATCCTTATGCATAGAAAACGTTTTTGTACCAACTTACTCTTGACTAGAAACAGCAACATCTGACAGATATCAGAACAGCTGCACAGAACTTACACTAAAAGTTTCACATACAAAGTTTCATGTAGGCAAGAACTGGGCTGGACAATACAAAAATTTACAAAAGTAAAAGGCTTTCATGCCAAGTAAAAATTACATATGATTCTTTACAACTATATCATCTACAATCACAATGTTTCTTTTTCAGAAGACATCACATAATAATAACGAATATAAGCTCAGGCCAGGCAGATTATTATGTCTAGCTTATCAAACTTTGCAAAAGCCTTCCAATGAAGGTGAACACAAGTTTCCATTACTTATACTAGAGGGATACAAAAAAGCAGACTCGTGAGCTAGCTTACTAACTCATTGTGTATGAAAAATATGTTTAGGAGGCTTTGGAGAAGGGACAAAAAAAGTCTCAGAGGTTTTGTTAAGATAAACCTCAATATAAACTCCAAAGCATAGGTCCACTTACAAAATAGAATACTGCAATAAGACTTCAGTTGCTTTGGAAAAAAGTTCCAAAGCTTGGAAGTCACACAGTTGTGGGGTCTGAGTTTACATTCTAATTTAACAGTAGAGATAAAAATTGTACAAAATTGTTTCATGGTGTCAAAAACGAATACAAAAGCAAGCCTGCATTAAACTACAGAAAATTTATGGAGAAGAGCATTAAAATGCATGCCCCAGGAGATGTCACAACCATATCAAATGCACACCAGATTAATGATTGTATAGTGGACTTGATGCACAGTCCTTATATGTAAAACCAGTAAAACATGCCACAGAAGACACAATATTTTAGACATGAAGATAAATAGCTAATTACATTGTGAAAAAAAATTATTAATACAGACCTCCCTACCAGACAAAAAAATAAAAAGGGAATAAGAGATCAAAGAAGTAAAAATTAAAGAATCAAGAAATAAAAATAAATAGTTACTTAGTAGGAATACTGACAAAGAAAAAATAAATAAAATAACACTGGAGGGAATGGAGGGAGTTCAAGTACCCAGACTCAGCTTCAACAAAACCATTACAAAACAATATGAAAGAACCGCAGTGTTCATACATCAGCTATTGGTTTGATTTTTATAGTTTGGGTGCTGTAACTTGATTTCTCAGTTTGGTCTTCATACGGCATAGTAGAATTCAAAGCCATCTCTTCTTCTTTTGCTGAAATAAGGGAATAACAATATTAAAAATTGCCTGTTGAACAAAGGGGAGTTGAGAATTGAAGAGCAACTTACTGTAAGCAATAATTTCTCCTCGTGTGTATTTTGCTCGGCAGGCATCATAAAGCAAACACTTGGGACAGAAGCAACAGACTATGACCAAAACTGTCAGTATAAAACAGGAGCTTATGACAGACAAAGCAACTATCATCACCAGCCTGAAACCAAATCGGATTTGAGAATATCAAATACAGTTTATATTTTTTACCATCCCCTCATCAAGTAATACAGTAACTTACTTTTGGCCCTCCTTGTCCATGAGGCAACACACTGGTGTCTCTTTGTCATAGCAACAATCAGTCTTCTCCGGTTCTTTCGGGTCTGGACAGTGCAGTCTCATGCCACTGGGAAGTGTCATCAGTGAACATTCTTGTGTCTCAAGGGCAGCTGTTCAGACATAAAAAGGGAAATTAATATGAATAAGAAATAATAACCACTATAAGATACTATGAAAGAGGCACATCAATGGACAAAGAATGAATTTGACAGTTTGACACCTAACCTATACATTGGAAAAGTAAATGTTGGCAGAGTGTTAATTTTGAAAATCAACACCTCTGTACTGAGAAAACATTCAACGAGATCTAGACTACCTTTCAAAAACTAGTATGATAGAATAGTTAAATAAACTTACAAGAATAAGCAGGCACCGAAAATGTCACCACCACGATGAACGCAGACAAAGTCCGAATGTTCCACATGACTTAAAATTTCCAGACGGAGGAAACAAGAAAAGAATGAGATTCTGCTTAAAAAAATATAGGTTTCTGATTCTAAGTTAAGACACGACAGGACACAGAATGTAAGCAAGTGGAAGGGCACTGGACACCAAAGCACTTTCTGACTGGGCGGGCAGAGCAAGAAATGAACCGCGACTGCAACAACCGCCGCAACCGCAAAGCGGTGTGTGAATAACGGATATTCTGCGAATAGAGCGGACTTCGCATAACGGTGCGCCAGCGCGGCGCGCGAATCTGAAATCGCGTCCAAAGCACGACGCCGTTGCTGCAGCGGCTGAAACTACGAACATGGCATGAATTTTGAGAAAGTCTTTTGATCCCGTTTTCCGCCTCTTACTGCCGTACTTTCTTTGTCTGAGAATCAGCGACAGATAAACGGCGAGCGCCTTCGCGGCCAGAGGCCCTGTGAACGACGGCCCGCCGCCGCCCGCCAAGCCCAGGGTGGGCCAGCCCGCCGCACACGCGTGCGCGGCGCACGCTAGGGTTGCCGACGTCGCAGGCGGCACGGCCGAGGCCGAGAAGGCCGAGGGCGTGGCTCAATCACCTCCTCGCTCCTCGAGTCACTCCACTCGAGAAGCGAGTCGTGTGTTACCGCAAATAGCCGCGAATGGGCGCAAGCAGCGCAAGCCGCGGCGCGTGCCACAGGGACTGGCAAGCCGACGCCGAGAGGCGCTTTCATCGCTCTGTCTCTCTCGCACCCACACGGGGCGTTTGTGAGTGCGAGAGAGACAGGGCGACGGAAACGACCCTCGGCATCGGTCCACCGGTGTTGTTCTGGCTCCTGCCGCATGGCTCGTTAGACCACAGTCGGTGAGAAGACGCGGTCCGCACAGGGTGCCACAGGGTGCCGCTTCGTACCGCCCGTCCCAGCGAGTCTTCCGAGTGCCGAGTCCTCGGGGCGACAGCCTCGTTGTCTTGCCATGGACGAGATACGCCGCGCTGGGTGAGTGTCGCTGAGCGTCGCTCGGCCCTCGGCCGCCCTTGATTAGCAAGCCGGACGCTCCAGTGTCGCAGCGTCTTTCATCCCTTCCTTCCAGAACGCCGACCCTCGTCGCCGTTTCAAGATTTTCCAGGCGAGGAGGTCGTTCGCCGAGTCTTTCGCGTGTTTCCGTCCCGACGCTGTCGGCGGCCCCACCTTACTCCGAAATTCAGAGGCTGAGACGTCGCGCCCATTTTCGGCGACACAGAAAGTATCGCCTAAGAAAGGCCATACACAAATGTAACGCCGAAAAAACTGTGACTTTACCGAAAAGATCAGACATCTGTGAGCTGACCCTTGTTTTCTTTGAAGAAATGCCATCCTTTAACGGCAAAACACAAAAATTTCACCCTATTTTTTGGTCAGAAAGATACTTGCCTCAATCCTTTAAGGGGGAGAAAGTAGTGACACCTTTCCATTTTCAGTTCATATCATTCGGTTTCGGAGTTTTGCTTGTTGTTGTTTCCTGCGGCGTTCGCCGCGCGAGAGGGTAGGATTCCTCGGCGTCTGCTGTGGGGGAGGGGAGGGAGGGGGGGGAGTTGGGTTGGGTTGGGGGGTCCTGGCACCATGCTGGCACGCTGCACCGCCGAGTCAAAGGTCGCGTGCCGGACAGCCCTAGACAGCCCCACAGGGACCCTGTCGACACGGCCAATGTCAAGGGCGTGGCGTGGCAGCCACACCGTGGTACACACCGGGGCTCGCCGTGCACGTGTCGCCTAGTCGAGAGTTGCACCCCAACATGACGTTTCTTGCGCCCTTTGTTCGCAGTGGCGTGCGTCGCTACACGCAGCCTCCGCTCGAGCCCGCCAAGCCTGGTGAGTGTGCGTGTCATGAGCCGATCGCGCCTCTCGGGCCGGCCCACTGTAAACCCTGCTCCTGTTCCAGGCGAGCAGATAGCCCGCAAGATCAAGTCGGCCTTCCCCGAGCCCTCCAACGACTTCCTGGGGAAGCCCAACGTCCGGCCGTACTACTGCGAGGAGTGCGACCGCTCGTTCCTGTGCCAGAGCAGCGTCGACAGACACCTGTGGTACCACCTGCGCAGGAAGGTAGGCCAGCATGCTGGCCAGCAGGCTGCAGCAGCCCGAGCAAGCACCGCTCTCGTCGGTCTGTCTCTCTCGCACTCATGGGGCGCCCCATCAGGGGGCGAGAGAGACAGACCGACGGCCGCCCTGTGCGAAATCAGTCCACAGCACACTGTGAGAAAAAAGTACGGAAAAGGTACGGAACATGTCTGGTCAATAGTTTTCCTGGACCGTCCGTACTTGCCAACTACACTGGTAAAACAAAGGCATAAAAATTATGCCCTTTAGGGCATAAATACTCTTTTACGCCCTTCTCAAGGGCATAAATCGTTTATGCCCTTGGGAAGGGCGTAAATGGTATAGGAATTTCAAGCAAAATTTTAATGCCCTTCCCAAAGGCATTAACGAATTATGCCATTTAAGGGCGTAAATCGTTTACGCCCTTTAAGGGCATAATTTTAATGCCTTCGTTCCGCACTCTTTTTCCGTACCCATTTACATGGGTTCATATGGAGCAAGTACGGAACGTTCCGTACTTTTCTCCGTACCCCCGTACTATATTTTTCTGTACCATTTCCGTACAAAAGTACGGAATTTTTTACAGTGCAGGCCCTCCAGCGACACCGATTGACACAGACCTCTGACGTGTGCCCGTTTGTTCCCGCAGGTCGGCATGTGGAAGCAGCCGACGCCGCCCGGCGAGAACTTCGAGTGCGGTGAGTGCGGCGCGGAGTTCCGCCTGCAGGACACCTTCGTGGAGCACGTGGCCACCCACCTGAGCTTCCTGTGCCCGTGCCGCATGGCCTACTCCAACAAGCTGGGCCTGGAGAGGCACACCCTGGCCTCGCACGCGCACCGCAACGCACACGACTTCCAGCGCCGCGAGCGCCGGGACAAGGTGTGGGAGGAGCGGGAGCGGCCCCAGGACGACGACGAATAAAGCTTGCAAAAAGGCCTTCCATCGTTATTATTTTGTGTATTTACGCAAGGGGTTGACCACTCAGCTCAGGAGTGTACACAGGATTACTGATTACCAGTAATTACCTACAAACTCAAAAAACTCCATAATTTTGGCCAGCTAAGAGCATTTTGGCCTTATTTCATAAGAAAAATCCCAAAATCCGATAAAAACGGCGAATCTAGCCAGTTTTGGTGTGTGGATTACCAATGATTACCGGACGAAGTGCACACACGATTACCAGAGTGGGTAACCCCTTGTATTTACGTCCATGGATATACAATCAAACATCAAAAAACAGAAACAACAACATTCACAGGAAAAAGACAGGTACAACATAGATATGTACAACTTCGCACCTCAGGCATGGCACAAAACGATGAGAGGGAATGCCCCAATTCTGGGATCCGGGAGGTATGGGGGTAGAAACTCCCCTCACGCCAGGAAGAGAGTGCGAGACAAGGGGGCTGGTGTAAGGCCACCTCCCATAATGAGCCGAGAGGAGGGGAGAGGACGGGGGCTAAAGAGTACATCATGCCTGCGTGGGAAGGATGGGAAAGAGGCAAGAGGTGACCTACAGTTGGTCTAGTACATTACGTAGTTAGAAATTCACACATATACGTTAATCATAATACGGCATAATCAATATATACTTAAAGATCTACCAACTTATGTTCCCTGTATACCAAGCACAAGCGAACGGATTTTCCATTCGTCTTGAAAACGAAATTAAAATAACTTAACTTTTAAACGAACACATAAACATGCAACAGTTAATTAATAAACAATTAAGAATCAGTTAATTACAACTTGAGAGGAAGGGGTTTCACAGGATTACATGCTGAGCATTTTCATTCTTCCTGCCTTGAAAACAGGGCAGATATATATATATATAACATTTAAGGATACATAATTACTCTTCACACTAACTAATTTAACATGTCACGTTCTTCGCAATGGCAACGAAGGGGGATAAAACACACACAAGAAGACGGTTCTGGTCGAGGACAGTCTTAAAAATAGTCCCACAAGGTACAAATAGAATGTTTGAGCATAAGTTGCAGCTGAGTAATTTAATAACAATTTGAAGATAGGCGGTGTTGTTCGGACAAAAGGCGTACGAACCGAAAGAGAGAGAGAGGAAGGAAAGAAAGACACACAACTGACATGGCTGTCGCCGAACGCATACCAGTCGCAAGGGGCTAATTAAGATATGTAGCTGATTCTAGGAGTGCAGGCACACCTGCAAACACAACACTTTACAGTCTCCTTACACAATGATAAATATTTGTCTGTGCGACATAAACTTTAAAGTACCATTACAAACATATCACATTAAAGAAAAATTTTTAAACTTACAACAAATTACACAACTAACATCAAAACATTTATCACTGTTTATCACAAATTAAAAGCATATTTATTGATAACAGTAAAAAAAACATTCATTATTCACAAAAGTGACCAACGGCAATTTTTTTTTCGTTGAGCTCACAACCAAGAAGGCACACACACATAGTATAAAACTTAAATAGGAAAACTTAGAACACAAACAAAACGAGACGTATAAGAGTCACGGTACCAGCACTTATGATTTGAAGCATTACACAATGAATAACAGAAAAACATTTATCAAAATAATCGGTATTAATAAGAAAATAAGAATGCCAACCTCCTAACCCTGCGATAAAAATTCGCAAATCACTACGGTAGCCACGTGACGGCATGAATGATAAATTCATTAATTAGCATTTTCAAAGAGTTCGCGTAAATTGGTGTCCTGAAGCTCATCTGCCAGGGCCTCGAGCTCCCTCCGTGCCGTCTCGTCAAATATCGACAGCACCCGCGTGTAGGTCCTCTCGAAGTCCTGCAAGGACATTCGATTTTCGTGCACGGCCAGCATCAGCTCCCCCACCAGCTCCATGCAGCGATTCCGCAAGAAGGCCAGCACCTTCTCGTACTGCCGCGACTCCGGCGCCACCATGCGCATGACGGCCAGGGACGCCACCAGCAGCTCCTGCATGGCGGGCAAGTCACTGCCCAGCAACAGCAGCTGGAAGTGGCTCGCGAAGGCCTCGAAGGTGTCCTCCTCGTCCAGCGCACGATGCACCAGGTCACAAGCTTGGACCCCAGGCCAGTCGTTGGGGGATCGCCATGCGGTGGGCAAAATGACGGGGATCCTGACGGCGGCCTCGCTGGAGGCGCGAGCGGCTGTGGTGGAGGCCGTTGTGGAGGCCGTTGTGGAGGTCGTGGTGGAGGCCGTGGTGGAGGCCGTGGTGAAGGCCGTGGCGTTGATCGTGGCTTGGATGCAGGAGGCGCGAGTGGCCACGGGGGTGTGGGCGTTTCGGAGGCGTTCCACCATGGCAGGCTGGAGGAAGCACGGCGTCCTGGGCTGCAAGGTGCTGGCATCGACGCTGGCCTCAACACTGGTCTCGAAGTTGGTCTCGACGCCGGCCTCGAGGCTGGTCCCAACGCCGGCCTCGACGCTGGTTTGGACGCCGGCTTCGACGCTGGTTTGGACGCCGGCTTCGACGCTGGTCCCGACGCCGGCCTCGACGTCGTGCACCAAGCGGCCGTTGAGGGCCCGCAGCACCCACTGGGGGCGCTCATGCAGCGGCCCCTGCGGGTAGCGAAGCACGCCTCTGGGGCCAGAGTGCCCGGAGCCGTCCGGGGGGATGCCTCGCTCCTCGTCCACCTGCCTCAACCGGAGGCGTAGATTGTCGTGGAAGCTCGGGCGCAGGAAGACCCTCTCCACCGACGGCGGGGCCAGGCCTTGGTCCGGGCTGCCCGCGGAGCTGCTGGAGCTGGAGCGTCGCCGATTGGACTCCGGGCCATATTTGTTCTCAAGGTTGTTCTGCCCTTCGCTGGCTGACCCGGTGATCGCTGAGAACGACTGCAGCGGCGGGATCGGCGCGGTCGGTGGGGCGTCACCGTGGCCCCGGGAGGCTGGAGGGTCTGCTCGGCCTGCGCGGTCGCCGTCGCAGACCGGCAGCCGCTGTTATGGGCTGTCCGCTGTGTCCTCATCATCGTCCGTCTCGATGGTGTGGACGGTCTGGACGGTCAGGACGCTGACGCCGAGATAGTTGGCGGCTTGCGTGGAGCTGCCCAAGATGTTGTCTTGCGCCACGCACCGGCTGGAGTTGAGCATGCGCTTCCGCAACAACGCATAGTCCTAACAACATGGCAAACAGACGTGTCAACAACGCCGTCCACAACAGAGCCAAAGATGAACGGCACGCTGGGGGAACTGAAGGAACTGAAGCGCCACCTGATACTCCTTATTCCATGGGTCGGACACGTCGAGTGCGTGCCGCAGGCCCCACAACATCCAGAAGTAGTTGCTGAGAGTCTGGTGCAGGGGCACGTCGCACAGGGCGCTGGTCACCTCGTCCGAGTCGTCGGGCGCGTCAAGGTTGGCGCCGAGGTGCTGGCGCAGCTCGGAGATGGACACGGCGGCGTGCTTCTTCAGGGACACTGACAGCCACCGTCCACCGCCACCTGCCTCCGTCAGGTCCAGCTGCATGAAGTTTAACCAGTCGCACAGGTCGAAGAGGGACACCATCTCCGAGCCGTCGAACTGCCGCCCAAACCTGCGTGCAGAGGAAGAGGGCAGAGCCATGGAGTGGGCCACGGCCGCCACGGCACGGGGCAGTGGACACAGAAACGGAAAGACTCACGTCTCGCAGAGCTGGCCCTGCGCCCGGTGGCTGATGCCATTCTTGTGGTACATTTCCCTGCCACAGTCAAACGCAACCATTAGACTGACTGAAACAAAAGTATACCTATTTTTGTGACAAGTTCGACAAGTTGACATGGTGCACCTACTGCAGCCACAAGAGGTCATCTTGGATTTCATTCCGGGTGAACAGGGTCCTCACGTCCCGATGCCTAGGGTCATTCAAGCTGAAGGAAGGTCCAATTTCGCCGAGGAGTCTGGTGAAAGAAAATGGTTAGATTAGAGTCGGAGATAAAGTTTTCCATCGCTGTTCGGCATGCTGCTGTCTGGCGGTCTGACGTACCGGTGCAGCATGCCCCAGATCTCGGCGACGGTGTAGTCGTTCTCCAAGGAGCGGGACAAGGGCGATGAGGAAGGGGAGGAGGGCTCTCCCGCCTGCCCGAGCGTGTGGTGCAGGTAGCGGCAGCGGGTGACGATGGCCTCGATCACGGGGTTGTCCAGGTCGCGCTGCCTGAGAGGGCGGCTGGCCGCGGCCACCCACTCCCACGGCGCGCTGCCCAGGTCGTCGAACAAGCCCCGCACCTAGCGTTGTTGCTGACGTTATGGACTCGGGAACACGCACGGCGACGCATGGCGTCAAGGGAGAGAGCATACAACAAGCACTCCTACACTAACGGCGGAACAGTCCATAAAGCCAACAACAACGCACCTTGGGGCGGCGCATCCTGTCGCCGACGGCGGCCGGCACGACGCCCTGGCACTCCAGAGACTTGGGCGACTCCGAGGCGGGCATGGTGTCCTCGTCGCTGGAGAGGGTGCCGTCCGAGACCTTGGCCGCCTCGGCTCTATCGGCCGCCTCGTTCTCAAACTTGGTGTCGAGTTCGCGGTAAAAGTGCCCCCCGAGGACCTCCTCCATGGCGGCCCTGGCGGGGAGGTCGTCCAGAAGCACTTGCTCTTCATAGCGGTACAGCGCCACTACAGGGGCGTCCCCTGCGTTGTCAGGGGCGCCCCCCTCCTCGACGTCTTCAGCCTGCACGGGGACGTCTTGGCCGGCCATCCCACCCTGACCGGCCATCCCACCCTGACCGGCCATCCCACCCTGACCGGCCATCCCACCCTGACCGGCCATCCCACCCTGACCGGCCATCCCACCCTGACCGGCCATCCCACCCTGACCGGCCATCCCACCCTGACCGGCCATCCCACCCTGACCGGCCATCCCACCCTGACCGGCCATCCCACCCTGACCGGCCATCCCACCCTGACCGGCCATCCCACCCTGACCGGCCATCCCACCCTGGCCGTCAATCCCACCTTGGCCGTCCATCCCACCCTGGCCGTCCACCCCACCCTGGCCGGCCATCTCACCCTGGCCTCCCGCGCCACCTGCAGCTTCGCCCATCATGCCCATCATGGGGTCATCCAGGTTCGGAAAGGCCGCCTCGGCCTCGCCCCCGACGGCGGGCTCAACGTCCATCGCCACCACCTCCAGGGACTCGTGGCTGGCGCCACTCACCATGGTGCGGCTTAAGCAGCCCAGCGGTTCGCGTCTTCGCCAGCGCCCTGCTCGCAGCTGCCCCCCTCGCCCCCGTTCAAGTCGAGGCCCTGCGGCTCTGGGCGTCCTGCCTCGGCCTCGGCCTGTTCGGACAGCACTTCGGGTGCGTCTAGGTGTGCTTGCTGGTTCTGGCGTTGGGGATCGGGCAGCTCCGCTGGGAGGAAGTCCTCCTCCAGGAAGACGTCGTTGTTGTTGCGGTCGATGTAGCCGACGAGCTCGTCCTCGGCCTGCTCTTCGTCCAGGGCTGCGGCTCGGACTGCGGCTCGGACTGCGGGGCCCCCGGCTCCCAGCTCCTGAGCGGCCACGGAATCGTCTAGCACCCGCAGCACCCCGCCCTGGTCGTGGTAGACGAGGTCCAGGTGGCACGGGCACGGGCAGGCGTGGAAGGGCTGCGGCGGTCCCGCGTAGAGGAGCAGGGCCTCGTCCTGCTGGTCCTGCAGGTCCTGCTGGCCGTCCTCTCGCAGATCCTCGTCGCGCCCACTGACGCCGCTGTCCATCCTGCAAACAGAGCAAAGAGCTTCATCAAAAGTCAGTAATGTCAGTCTTTAAAGTAAGACTACAATTTTTCCGTTCACTGCCGGAACCACGACAACACTGGTCGGCCGCTATGGTCTCAGTCAGACTGGAGGGGATTCTCAGAAACGCGCCTGTTCTTTCCTCTCGGCATCGTGCTCTCGCCGCGCGGGTCGGAGATCAATCCAAGTGTGTACCCAGCCAGATGAAGGCGGCAGCATTCTGGAACCAATCAGTCGCGGAGAAAATCACAACACGCACCAAGGTTCCAGCACTCTCTTCCAGAGGAAGCGCTCCCCCCCCCCCCCTTGCCTTTCCGGACGGACTGTCGCGCGGCAAAGTTGGCCGCAGGCGGAATCCGAACAATGCTTTCGTCGCTCTGTCTCTCTCGCACCCTCGACTGAACGCCTCACGAGTTGGCGAGTGACAGCGATGAAAGCACTGTTCGGAATCGGACTGAACTCCCCGCGCCGCCACCTCACCCCCCACCCCCCTCCACTGCCCGCGCCGCCCCGCTGTCTGGGAGACAGCGACTACGGGACAAGTTTGTTTGTTCGGGCGCAGACTTCATTATTCTTCCAGACACAACAGTTCAGGTCTCGTTCAAGTGGCAGCCAAACACTGAAGCAGGAAGCGGCGCGTGACGCACCTTCATCTGACCGCCCGGCCGGGGACGCACAAGGGAGAGGAGAGAGGGAGAGAGAGACACCCCGCCCCGTCATGCTCCTCGGGCTCGGGGCGGCTTGCTTCACCCCCTTCTACCTTACTTCTTTGCGTATTTGACAGATTATCACAGCGGCGTGCTCGGAGTTGTCGCGGGAGCCCGCCCCAGGGTCGCCGCCGACATACCACTTGCCCGTGCTCACCCCGATTTACCTTTTGGGCCGCGGCCCCGCCAACGGGCCGACGCGCCGCATCATTGAAGCGTCCAAGGCCAAGCCCGATGAGAAGGGCCCGAAGCCATCGCCTTTTCCCTCATAATCACATTATCGAGACCCCCGATTCGCAGACCATGGCCGCGCCGTGCCGTGCCGTGCCGAGGCCGGCTCTCCTCCCCTCTTTCACGCCGTGGAAATTACATTCTTGAGGCAGAGAGCTTGGGCTGGCGGGCCAGGGCGGCCACGACCTCCGGGCCTTAACACTAATCAGTGGGTTGGTTCCTCGGTCCCCCTGGCAGACACAAGGAGCGCCCCTTGATGGAGACGGCGAGGGATGATTCCCTGGTCCGCGGACCGCCACAGATTCTTGGCGACCTCGAGCCTAGAGCCCCGGGCCCCTCCTCGCGGCGTGCGGCTGCGGGGCCGCGGGGCCGCGGGCTGGGCGCGGAGCGAATAGAAACGCGTGGACCGAACCGGATTATGATGGAGGTAAGGCGGCCGGCTCGTGTCCGCGCGTCCCCGCGTCCACGCCCACGGTGCCTAGGCAACCCGCCCAACAGATGGAACTTGTGCGCCACACCGACCTCGCCTCGCGGCTCGCGACACAATGGCACAGCCTCGCCCTCTCCAGCGGCCGTCTCGAAACGCCCGCCTGGAGCGCCGGGGAGTCGATCCACCTCCAGGAGTGCTGGAAGTGTACCGCGGCGACGCGGCGACGCGGCGACGCGGCGTTGCAGCAAACTGCGCTGAAGCGCTCGGCTCACATGCCGACATGAACCTCGCCAGTCAGCCCAGCCCGAGCCCGCAGACTGATTCCCAGAGTCCTTTTCGTCGCTCTGTCTCTCTCGCACCTATTCAAGAAGCTCTTTTAGTGCGCGGAGAGACAGAGCGACGTAAGCGACTCTCGGAATCAGAGTGCGTGCAGCGAGGCAGAGGCACTCGACGGCGCGACCGCGTTCGCCAGCGCGCCGTGCTGCCGCGCACGGCAACCCCCTAGCAACCGCGTACCCCGTCCGGGAGCGCAGGAATACCACGCTGCCGCCGGACCTCACGGTGGACCACTCCGGCTAATATCGATGCTTGCGTTGCCATGACGACGACAAGGATCCCCCACGCCGCCGCGCGCGGGTAAAAGAGGGGACGCTGCTGCTCGCTGCTGCGTGGGAATACGGGGATGACGGGAGGGGGAAGCGTGGCGCGGGGCGCAGGCGGTGCATCGGGCGGGAGTGGGGCTGGGCCCCGCCGGCCCCGCCGGCCTCGCCGGGCTGCAGCCCAGAAGGATCGGGGTCGGGGGGAGGGCCCGGGGAGGCGAGCTCCCTGGCAGGATCTCAAAATAGAATATCTCAATCGGCGGGAAGCCTTGCGTTATTGTCAGCTCGGCATTGCGTCGACCGTCTGATACCCTTGTCTCGGCCCCATTCGGCACGGCCGGGCTCGGCAGGCATTGTCTCCTGGGCGGGGGGCTTCCCTCGCAATCTACACACCGCCAGGCACTGTGCCTTCGCATTGTGCTCTCTGGCCTTCTAGGTAGCGAGATCGAGCGAGAACCCAGACCCTGCCGCACAAGTGACCCGGAAGACCTGTGAGGGCTGTCAAAATAGCGGACGGGTTTTGAGCTCCAGAGTCGCTAAATGGGACTCGAACCGAACCTATGACACCCTCCCCCCCCCCACACACACACACCACCACCAATCGATAATTCTCTGAACGAGGAATCCATCGGGGGTCACACGTTCGATTTGAGTCCTGTTTAGCGACTCTGGAGCTCAAAACGCGTCTAGAGTTTTGACCGCCTCCACCGGTCTTCTGGCCCGCGGCGCTCTGCCGCGGACGGAGCTAGCGCAAGCAGGCGTCCTGTCGGTCCCGGCGGCTCGGAGCGCCTGCGAGGTAGGCCGCACGAGCACAGGGACGCGCGCCACCCGAGTGGTTGCCTACCCGGCAGGCGCTCGAGCCGAGGCGCGCCAGTGGGTGGCAACGCGCGTTGAGCGCTCCGTGCCGTTGGAAAGACCGGCCCCGGCCCCCCACCACCACCCCAGCCGGTGCCCGGCCGTTGTGAGCCCAGCTCACCTGTACGATAAACGCTGTTTTCGAACGTTCTTTAGTTGCAAATATGTTTCGCTTGCGCTCAGTTCCCTCGTCGAGTAAGTTTTCTTTCGACAGAGCTCAAAAGATACTTTATTTGTGCCAAAACCAACGAGAATTTTTACCAAATCAAAACGTCGATGAGCCACGGCGACGCGGCCAACTGCGGCAACTCACTATGGTAAAAATTTTCGTCGGGTATGGCACTAATAAGTTTCTTTTGTACTCTATCGAAAGGAAACTTAATTTACGAGGGACTGAGTGCAAGCGAGACTGATCTGCCACCAAAGAACGTTCGAAAACACGTTTATCGTACAGGGGAGCTGGGCTCACAACAGCCCGGCACCGGCCAGGCTGGGTCAGCGGTACCACTTTGCCACCCCCAGCTCGGAGCGCCTGCGAGGTAGGCCGCGCGAGCTCAGGGACGCGCGCCACCCGAATGGTTGCCTACCCGGCAGGCGTTCGAGGCGAGGGAGGGGACAGCGACGCACGGAGGGCAATGTTGCGCAACTAGGTAGGCAATGTCTAGGCTGGGCTCTTGAGAATCGAGAGGGTGCCTTGTGGGCAGGAGGAGGGGGAGGGGGGGGTGGAAGGGGGCGGGAACCGTTTCGACGCTGGCGCATCATGGGAGGTTTGGCAGGGCCTTCACGCGGCGATCCGACACACCCGTCGCTCTCGCTATCCTGGGGCGTTCCGCAGAGGCGCGAAAGAGACGGAGCTACAGAATAAGTCTAGAAAACACTGGAGCGAGCCGCGAGCCCACACGCCCTCCGCGTTGACCGATTGGCCTGGGCTGGCCTGTTGGCAAGCCTGTTGGTCCTAATGGGCAACGTGTTACTCCACCGCGCCGCCATGGCGCCGCCGTGCTTGCCGTTCCCCGCTCATCCCTGCCGTCCCCGTCCTACAGCAACAGCTCGCTGACGTTGCACGTTGCGGCCGGGTCGGGGCCGGGCGCGCCCGGTGGTACTCACCCGGGCAGTCAGCTGGTCTGGTAGCGCGCTACGCGGGGCGGCCGCCTCAGCGCCCCGACGCCCTGCGCTGCGGAGAGGAGCACTAGGAGCACGATCCACTCGTGAGCGGGGACACGGTGCAGCACGGAGTGGCATGGAGGTTGCGCCGGGCTGCGTGGCGCCGCGAGGGACTCAGCTCACGGCTGTGGGGCCTCCGGGGTCTCCGGGGGCGGAGTGCGGAGCGACGCCGTGCGGAGGGGCAGGGGCTGTCGGGGCTGCCGGGCTATCGGGGCTGCCGGGACCAGACAGCGTCCGAAAGAGGACCGTCGCGCCTCTCTTCTCTTCGTCGTGACTCCAGCCCGTCAGGGAGCCCCCCGAGCACCCCCCAGCTGACAAGCGGGCTGGCGGGCTGGCGGGTTGGCCCCGGCCGGTCGATATAGCCCGAGGAAAGCGTTTGAAAAGCGCGCGCTTCGGCGCAGCTCGTTTCCGGGGCGACGGCCGGCCGGCCCGGGCTGCTTGCCGACCAATCGCGACCTCCGCTCTCGCTCTTGGCCGGGCGCGGCGGGCGCGGTGGCCCGGGCGGGGCGGCGAGAGGCGGTGCGCAAGCGTGAGCCATCGGCAGGCAGCAGCCACCCCTAGCTAGCCCGGGCCCGGCCCGGCCCGGCCCGGCGAGGGGTCCGGGGGCTTCGGAACCCGTCGGCTGCCTTCGGCTGTCGTCCCACCAGCCGCCAGGCCCGCCAGGTCGAGCTGAGGTGGGGAGCGGAGATGTGTTGTTGGCCGGGGCCCGGAGCGAGGCCCGGACCCCCCGGACGGCAGCCACGCAACGCCACACCAACACGCGTCCACAAAGTTCTTTGGGAAAATTGATTTGACCTGAAACAACGAAACTCCCCCCCCCCTCATCCCCGGCACTGAAATGGGGCTTCGTCTGCACTCAGAGCCTATCGTCGACCAGGGCCTTGTGGTGCAGACAGAACACATGAGTGATGCCTCGACGGCGGCCTCGTGACTTGTGAGGACTTTGAAAAGCAGATGCACTGCGAGTCGGCTCCAGGCGGTTCAGAAGGGGGCGGCAATATGGCACTGCGCAGACCGCAGTCGTTGGCCACCGTACAAACCACCGGGCGGCCCATGACGCCCTCCCCTCCCCTCGCCCTGTTTGTTTGAAGAGGCGAGCTTGCGTTCCCCGCAAACATTCATCTGTCTGCTGCCTCGTGAAAATGAGTCGGTTTGAAGCGAGCATTTGGCTGCCTTTGGCCGTGCCGCTGACTGTGCCTCCGGCTCTGTGGCTTGCCCGCCTTTGCCCGCCGTGGCCCCGGCGGCAGCATGGCAGCAGGCAGGGATGAGCCAGCCAATCACGGGGAGTGCCAGCGCGGCCTGCGCTCTGGTCGACCAATGGCAGACATCGGGATGACGTGGATCTGAATGCGTGCTGCGCTGTTTCAGGAACTCGCGATGCGCGCGTGATCTAGGCCAGACGAGCCAAGAGAGAGGGAGACTAATTGAGAGAGGGGGGCAAGGAGAGAGAGAAGAGAGAGAGGAGAGGGAGGAGAGAGAGCGAGAGAGAGAGAGAGAGAGAGAGAGAGAGAGAGAGAGAGAGAGAGAGAGAGAGAGAGAGGGAGAGGAGAGAGATGAGAGAGAGAGGAGAGAAAGGAGAGAGAGGAGAGAGAGTGTGTGTGTCATGCCAAGCGGATTCAGTGAAAAGAGCTGCGCGGCGGGGTCATCGGATTTGTCCCGTTCCGAACAACACATCAGACTTCGTCAGAGTGCGGAAGAAGTATCGAATGTCGTCCACCGACAGGTGGTGGCGTTCTTGGCGTGGTGGTGGTCGCTTCACCCGGCCGTGACCGTGGCTAGCCACCCGGTGACCCTCACGCCAGCTAAGTTGACCGCTTGAACTGGACTTCCCCCCTCTTTCTCGCGGCTCTGCCTCGGGCACCGAGTACCGGGTGGGCCTGCGCGGCCGTGCCCCAAACGTGTTAGCGCCAAACACTATGTGTGTACACCATGCAGCCACAGGTTAAAAAAAACCAGTGAATTTATTCGTTCACAGTTTTATTCAAATCACATAAAAAACAATACAAGAGTAACTTTAAGTCTAATCGTTCTCAACTTTAACACTTAAATGCACTGGGCTTACAAATTCAAAGTCAACAGCTGATGCTCGACTGGTTGGAGAGCCACGACAATCAGGGTGCAAAAGTGCAGCCTGACTGGGTCTCTCCACGGCATGCAGCTGGCGTCCCCTATCCCTTTCCGGGTGGAGTGGTTCCTAAGGCAGGAACACCTTGTCGAGCGGCACCTTGTGGAAGATGCGGTTGGCGATGGCCTGGAACGCGGCGCCGAACGTGTCGTCGATGGACGGCTTGAGCTCCTTCAGAATCTCGGGCCAGTTTTCGTTGAGGAAGCGATTCATGTTGTCGCCTGCAAGGGAGAGACTCGTCAGGGGTGGCGTGCGCTCGCTGAGTCCGCGGGGACCTGGGGGTTGTGCTTACCGAGCTCCTTGTTGCCGTTGAACAGGTTCTCGAACTTCATGTGCAGCCTGCTGGTGTCGAAGGACAAGGACAGCTTGTCCACCGCGAGGTACTTGACGCCGCCCCTGCTCTCCTCGTGCATGGCGAGGTTGATGTCGGCCGTGACGTCATCTGGAAAAGGGACGGCGTTAGCGAGTCGCCCACGAGACAAACCGAACCAAGCGGACTTCGGGCGAACCCATCTTCCGTACCCAGTCGCAGGCTGCAGAGGCCTTCGCCCTGGATGGGCAGCACGAGCACCTTGCCGGCGATCTTGTAGTTGCCGTCCAGGCGCAGGGGGGCCTCCACCTTGGCGCGCATGGCGATGCGGTACGTCTTGGGGTCGAAGCTGTGGACACAGAGCGGGGGTTCCTTTTTTACGGTTCCGGCAAGGAGTCATTTTCACAGGGTCCGAGCGTCAGTCACCTCAGGGACAGCATCCGCGTCGTGCGCAGCCCGCCGATCTTGAGCTGCTTGAAGTCGAGACTCAGCGCGACGGGGCCCTCCGTGGCGCCGATGTTGGCCTCCACGATGTCCAGGGGGTCGATCGAGTAGACGCCGAGACTGGGCACGCCTGCAGCAGGGCGGGGAGAATGAAGACAGGCACTCGCACAGTGGGCCAGAAGCCGGTGGAGGCGGCCAAAACTCTAGACGCGTTTTGAGCTCCAGAGTCGCTAAATGGGACTCGAACCGATCGTGTGACCCCACCAATGGATTACTCTTCGAACGAGGAATTGATTGGTGGGGTCACACGTTCGGTTCGGTTCGACTCTGGAGCTCAAAACGCGTCTAGAGTTTTGGCCGCCTCCACCGGCTTCTGGCCCACTGTGAGTCGCCGCGCTCCTCAGAGAGGAAAGGGGGAGGAAGAAGAAGATTCCGGTCCGCGGTGCCCACAGTTTGGACTCACCTTTAACGAGCTCCGGGATGACGATCTGCACGGCCTGGCGCAGGCACGCATTGATGTTCGGGTCCTTGATGCTGCACTGCGGGAAGGATGCCGCTGCAGAGAGAAAACGAAAACACTCATATCAGTCTGCCAGCATCAACAACATCCGGAGCGTACATCCACTTCGACTTCTTTTGTGACGACGCCGTTCGCCGCCATGCCGAAGACGCCGTCACGAGAGACGTGGATCTTGGAGTGGAATGGGAATGCGGTCAGCGCATCTCAGTTCTCTCCTCTAATGATGTCATGCAAGGAGGGAGGCAGGGAGACAGACAGACAGAACGCGGGAGCGGGTCCGCGGTTAGAGCGAGAAACAGATCCCTCCGCACTCCTCCTTTTCCACCCTGTCGCGCTAAAACCTTGGGCAAGAACTAGTAGAACGCAAACGCGGCCCCTGTAAGTAGACAGCGATTGTTAGATCATCTCTGGCGATGGGGATGGGGCGTCCTGGCCCTGGGCGCCAGGCTGGCCAGACTGATCGGCCAGGCTGGCCGCTCCGGGGAGGGGCCCCGCCGTGTCAGTGACGGACTCAAGGGGCTCCTCAGGCGCCGGGCTGCTGCGCCGCGCCGGCGGGCCGAGTAATCAGACTTTGCGAATTAAAAGGACGCTTCAGCCGCGCCACGCCGCGCGGTCCAGCCAGCCGAACAGACAGCCAAGCCAGCCAGCCCGGGCGGGGTGGGGCGGGGCGAGGCGGGGCGAGGCGGGGCGAGGCGGGGCGGGGCGAGGCGGGGCGGGGCGGGGGCGGCGGGCCCGGCTCGACGGCTCAACCCTCCTGTCCCCAACAATCAATTCGTTGTGGCACCGCGGGCCCGCGGGCGGGAAGGAGGGAGCGGTAAGCATAGGGGGCTGAGCGGCTGCCAGCCAGCCCAGCCCGGCCAGCGCCGGGGCACGCCAGGGCCAGGGGGAGGCGAGACGGCGAGGCGCCGCGTCGACGCGGCAACGCACCGGGCCCGGGGGCGGCGAAGGGGCGGCCAAGGGGCGGGGAAGAGCTGCCTTTCAGCCGGGGGTGGTTCGGAGAAAGCCAGAAAGCCATACAAGCGAGAGAGGCAGCCTCCACTCCGCAATCAGCGCGGCAGCACCGCGATCCGAAAGGCACTTAGTGCGAGCATGTTTTCGGCTAGTGGCTCCATGTGGCGGTTGCAGCAGTTGCAGCTTGCTGGAGCGCCAACCCGATTGCCCGCAGTAATGCAGTTAGTCGTGTTGGCAGTGCGGCAGCTCAGCATCGCCAGGCCTCGCCCCCATCCCCTGTCCCCGTGGGCGCGGGCCAGCGCGGGCCAGCGCGGGCCAGCGGGGGAGGCACCCCAGGTAATTATGCCGAGATTGGCGCTGCTCGCCTCGCGCTGCAGCCGCCTGATTCCGAGCACTGCTTTCGACGCTGCCTCTCTCGCACCTATATGGGACGTCCCATAAGTGCGAGAGAGACAGAGCGACGAAAGCAGTGTTCGGAATCAGCCGGCTGCTGGCCTCGCGCTGCTGGTGGCCGAGGAGGCCGAGATGGCCGTACTCACGGAGTGCCGTTGTTTTGGCCTTTGCCGCCGACGCGCCGGCCCACGCCAGCGACAGCAGCACGACGAGGCGCTGCACTTTGACGGCCATGGTGCGCGGTGCCCGGTGAGCGGAGGCGGTGCGGGACTAGACTAGCCGGACTGCCTCCGGTTGCCGGCCGGCCGCTCTCTTATAAGGGGCTGGGGCTGTGCGCGAGCGAGGCGGCTGTGGCTGTGGCCCCCGTGGCCCGCGCCGGGTTGCGGACCCGCAAGGCCCCGCCGGACCCCCGCACCCTCCGCGCCGAGCAGCTGCAGTTCCGAGTAGCCGCCCAGAGGTGCCCAGAGGTCAACAAACCGTCCGGAACGGAGCCAAGTCCGGAAGTGCATGGAGTGCAGTGCATGCACCGCAGGCCCGTGCTGCGTTTCCGGATTCGGCTTTGTTCCGAACGGTTTGTTGACCTCGGACGACTTTGAGGGAGGTGGCTGTTTCGTTGAAGGCCCCCTAAAACGGCAGGCGCGCCTGCTAATTGGGTTTGGGCCGTGGATGATCGTGTCTTGATAATCACGCCGATGGGTTCTCGTGCAATCTCCGCTCCGCCCCCTCCAGCCGATGTGGGTGTGAATGCCACCCTATTTCTATAGAAACCACTTGAGGCGCGGGATCACCCCCCGGAGGTGCAACGTTGGGGCCGCGCGGGTCCGGCCCCCGCGCGGGGTATAGCCGGGGCTGCTTTGGTCAATACTCCCATCTCATCTCCGTTGCTAAAAGTGTGGCACTTTCCCGAGAGAGAGCACCCTTCTTAACCACGTAACGGATTCCACCCTTTCGCTCTTCTTAAATTCTTCCTATGCATGAGGAATAGGGAAGTAAAAGTGGACAAACGTGGTTGGTCCTTTTTTTTTGGGGGGGGGGGGCATGGCCTCCCTTTTTTAGGGTGGGGTGGGGGTGTGTGTTCGGCCCTAGTCAGCTGTCTGGATAGTAAGCAAATTGGGCATTATTCCGCCTGAAAGTAGGCAAAAGGCATGGCACCCCCACTCTTTTCAAACTTTCTGCACACGCCACTGATTGAGTCATCATCGGCGACGGTGGGGAACTAGGGGAAGCCTCCGCGGCAGGCTGCAGCGCTGCAGCTCCCGCCCCGGGCCTGCGGCTGGTTTGGTGTCGCTCACACGTCACGCACGCAGTAACGCAGTTGTGGAAAATCCAACTTGCTGACTTGGACTGGAACTTCCCTCTGGTCATTTGACCCAACCACAATGTCTGGCATGGCTCCTCACATCCCGTATCACACGTGTGGACGATGAAGTAGGTCGAGGTGCCTCTCCAGCAAGCAGTTCAGAGTTCAGGGGCAGCAAGCTCTGCCGCGGTTCAATGGTATCTAATACAGGTGTGAATTGTTTGGGGAAGTTCCCAGTTATCGCCGCTAGAGGGCACCACCTGTACTAGTCAGTCAGTCCGTCCTGTCACTACCACTTGTCAGTTCTGTCTTGGCTTCTGACCAATGAACACCTGAGCTAAACGTGTGCCTCTCAATTCCAAGCCCGCTCACCACACATGAATAATGACTTCAAAAACAATTTTTGCTGGGGAAGCCAGATTTATTTATTCCATTCCAAGTAGTGTCTGAGAGAGAGTGAGCCTCCCTGGACACACAAGCAACTTTTAATCAATCGTTCAGTTGGCTTAAAAGGAGTGTAAAATTACATACGTAAGAAAGAGACTTAAATAATCACAGAGTAGCACTCAACACATAATTTGTAACAATGATGAGCAAATAAATATAAGTTCACTTGATTTGAAATGATTCAAAATATTTTTCCTGACAACCACAGAAAAACCTGCAGTGAAACAAACATAATGGTGCTCAAGCAATATATTATGTTGTACAATAGAGGCAAGAAACATCTGGTAATTTACTCAAGTCACATAAGCATTTGTGCTCGATCAGGAAGGCAGCCCCAGAAAGCGGCATGAAAGAATTTGTTAAAATATGGACTTGAGAGGAAATTTTAGGACAACCTGTAAATTTATTTTGATGTTTCAAATATGGTACTTTGAAAATATGCACAGATACATGAGTTGAGTTTTTGTTCTTTTATTTTAACTCTTTAGAGATTGTGGAATCTTTGGTAACCCAAATTCATCAACCAGCACACCATCCTGAATTAATTTGAAGAAAATTAACAGTCAGTCTCCTCAAACAAGAATAAAATATCAAATTTATTTATTTATATTTAAAAAGTGATAACATGACTCACCTTATTTGTTACATCCACACTGTCTGCACCTGGTTCACGGTCAGGGGCAGTTGGAGCTTTCACAGCGTCATCTAAGTACGAAGTATCATCATCCAAGGCAATTTCATCACCAAGTGCCTCAAGCTCAGCCTCCAATTCAGATTCATCAATGTCAGGAGTGCCATATGATCTTCCCAATGCTTCTTGAACTTCTTCTGACATTTCAAGCATATCTGCCATATCATCTTGAAGATCCTATGGGCCAAACAAAATTTATAAATAAGATGTCACCATACTTCTGTGGATGGTGCCATTCTGATTGAACATTTTAAACTTACATCTATTTCACTTATATTGATTTTCTTGAACTCTTTTTGCATTTGCTTCACTCCTGCTTTCATAGCAATGACTGTTGAATGAGTATCCTTCAAAGTTTGGGTTGCATAGTTAGCCTGTTCCATGTTAAAAGCTTGCTGCCTTAAATTATCTGACTGAGATTCATACCTGGGATTCAACAGGAAAATTACAAACATTTTAGAGGAAAACTTAATAGATTCAGAAAGACAATACATTGAAAAATTGGAAACCCATTATGCAGTTTACATTTTTTTTTGTTTTAATACACGCAGGGCCTTTTGTTTGACAGCATTCTTCGCAGGCCCGTCTCTCATTTTCTTCATTTGATCCTTGTACTTTACAAGCTCTTGCTCAAGACGTTGAACTTTCTTGTCAATAGAGTCTGCACGACCGTCCACCTTTCACAAAATAGAACAATTAAAAATAATATAATATTACAAAAATGATGCTGTTGGGAGAAATTCAATAACAAAATAAAATATGAACAACACAGGGCTTACCCCAGCAATGCAATCGGTGATGCTTGGTGGTGGTTCCGTTGGCTTTCCTCTTCCAAAGATTCGATTCATGTTGGTGCTCTGGTACACAATTCGCTTGACAAAGGGCTGAACCTTCCCTATGACTAGAAATAAAAACATCAGAAACATTACTGTATGGTAACCTAGAATCAAACAGAAACGCAAGATACGCCCCAGATTTTCGAAATTTAGCAACGATATATGAGGGAACCTTAACCCCAGTGTAAACTGCAACTGCTTCAAAGCACAGATTTTGACATTTCTGTTATGACAGGATAAAACTTACATAAAGAGTCGAATAGAGGAGCGTCTTCTGATTTGTTTTGTTTAGTGGAAACGGTCGTCTGCTAGTCTGCTGCCCAACATTTATGTTGCCAACTGTGTACGTCAAACCACCTCGTAAACGACGGATATGACACCATGAAAGGAACTTGTTTTCAAGAAGCAAGCCGTATTTTATCAATAAAATCTTTAAAAAAAAATTTCATTAACTACAACTGTTGGTGACTCAACGCATCCTTTCGAATCGCGTACACTACAAGTTGGCCAGACCGCTTGCTTCCGGGCAGTTCTCCTCTACAGGCGAGTGGGGAGTGGAGGCTCGTGGCGGGCACTATCTGCAGGGCCGAACTCTTTACCAAATTTAATCTTTGTCCAGCCCTAAAGGGTAAAAACTGGGGGCTTTTATTAAAGCTAGAGGCATATACTATCAAATGGATAGGTTATCGGAAAACATCAGGGCAGGAAATATTTGCATTCTCCTTGCAAAGTCGTCAGATACCCTTTCTGACCATGGTCGGTTAGTCGACGTCACCGCCTGCTAACGGCCTGAGGACGTCCAACTTTGTAAGGAGAATGCAAATATTTCCTGCCCTGATGTTTTCCAATAACCTTTCCATTTGATAGTATATGCCTCTAGCTTTAATAAAAGCCCCCACTTTTTACCCTTTAGAGCTTAACAAAGATAAAAAATGGTATACTATGTGGCCCTGCAGTTGGGGCCCGCCGCGGATCTTCGCCAGACACTGCCGTCGACCCCCGCCGCTTCTTCCCTTTTTGTCATTTCCACGTTTAAAACCGTCTAATCCAGGATAAAAGGTGTTCGGTTTACTCAAAAATGTCTTACTGAGTCCGCCTCAATATATATTTTTGCTTACATATCATTTAATTCTGAGTATTTTCGTTTCTTCAAACTACTACCGACCATGGTCAGAACGCCAGACCCAGCGTCCGTTCCCGAGCCGAAGGCATTTCTAGTTCTCCTGTCCTCTACTTCTTCTCTGCCCGAAACGTGACATTTTTTAGAGTCTTCGTCGTCCGCAGCATTCTGCTCCGTGTCGTCCGTCCCCGTCCGTCCGCCCCGTACCTCGTGGTGAACGGCCGAGTGTTTAGATCTTTAGATTGTCATTCTCCCATGGAATTTGTGTAGTATTGCAACTTTTCCAAACCGAAGAGGATATCTGGTGAAATGGATAGCAAACAACAGTACAAGAAAAATGCTTCCACAGCTCTCAAACATGCCGCGAAGAACACGAAGAAGCTTGTCGGCGTATGTTGTTGTTTACTTATTTCTAAATTTTATTGCTAACACCTAACAACATTTTTTGTGTATAGTATTTATGGCAGTTCAAAACTTTTGAACCTTTTAAACATGCCCACCTTGATGTCACATTTTGACGATTTTGTTTTGCTCTGGCCTGGTAACCTCTATGTCACATGTTTATGGGGTTTTATTCTCACCCAAGTTTTTAATAAATATTATGTCTTTTCTTTTTTCAGGCTGGTGGTATTAACTCGACAGAAACAATCTCAGACGAAATTAATGAACCCAAACTTTTTAAAGATATTGCCCTGAAAAAGAGAAGTTCAAATCTCAGAATACATCCTGACCGAGGTGTTGTATACCTTGCCCACATTCCTCATGGGTTTTACGAAGAAGAAATGAAAAGCTTCTTTAAACAGTTTGGTCACATTACGAGAATACGGCTGGTCCGTAGCAACAAGGTAGTAATATTTGTTTCAGTGTTGTTTCTGTTGCTATTTTATTGCAATTTTATTTCATATATTTTATTTTTCTAGACTGGAAGTAGTAAAGGGTATGCATTTATTGAGTTTCGATTCAAAGAAGTTGCCGAAGTTGTGGCTGAGACAATGAACAATTACTTGTTTGGAAATCGTGTACTGAAAGGTCAGTGGTGCCAAATTTCCTGATTAATGGCCTTGTGCATCACAATTTCAATTTTTTCTAAAGCACTGTAACGTGTCTTGCTTCTCTTGTAGCTGTATTCATACCTCCAGAAAAGCAGAATCCCAAGATGTTCTTGCACTCTATTGGATATTCCCCAGAGACTTGCATTGGTGTAAGGAGGCGACGTGAGGCGGTTGCTCAGCAGAACAAGCCATTAACTCCCCAAGCGGCCAAAGTTCGAATTGACAAAGGCAAGAATCACTTGCTTGAACTTCAGGAAAAGCTAAAGGCACAAGGAGTGGATTGTCTCTTTCAGGTATGCTTCTAATTTCATTTTGTGTTTCTCTCATTGGATCTTTAGCATTGTTTTAATTAAACCTAAATCGGCAGGTTAATTGTGACACAAGCAAACGTCTCTTAGAGACCAATTCCTTACCCCCTTCTAAGCGTGTTCGAACATCCTCACCTACACTCAAAGCAAAATCCAGCAAACCAACGGAGCAGACACAATCAAATCCAGTTTCCACTCTTAAGAAGAAATCTATCGCCAGCAAGGGACCCATGTCTGAGAAAACTGCCAAGAGTCTCAAAGGTGTGAAGGCAGTTGTTCAAGAGTTAAAAGCAAGTGGCAAAATTAAGGGGAAGGTAGAAAAGGTAACTGCTGAGAAAAATTCTGTGAAGAAACCTATTGTGAAAAAAGTTGTGAAGAAGGTAGTTACGAAACCGAGTGTAACAAAGGTAGTGACCAGTAAGAAAGATGTAAAGAAAACTGTCCTTAAGAAACAGGCTTCTAAGAAAAAGTAAGTCTGGACAATTCTTTTTTCTCTCTGAATGTTGGACTCATTTTTAAGTGAAATGTGACTTGTATATATTTTGGAAAATAAATTAATTTGTTGTATATTGCTCAGTAACTTTCAAATTGATTGTAATCAAGGGTTGATGTAAACATTGACCCTTTTCCCCATAAATGACAGGTGGAAAACAAAAGTAACATAACACATTGGGTCTCATAGTTTATTATGTAACAAGCTGATAACATCAGTCCCAAACATGAACAGTCAACATACATTCATCAGGGTCGATTTGGCTGAAATGTGGCGGTTTGATTCTATTCATCAAGCTATGAGAATTCATAAATTGTAAGAAAACAAAGCACTGTACACATCATTACTTTTACACAATTCAGGAAATGATAGAAAAGTATTTAACTAACTTTTAACTAGTTTGTTTAGAACAGAATCAAAATACTCATGCACTTGTGCATATCCTCCACCTAAAATGTGGTAAGGAACAGAAATAACTTTGAATTCTTCTTGCAGAAGCCTCATTTCAAATGATCTTACTCCACTTGGTTCCTTGGTGGGTTGACAGCATTCATGGTACGAATGAATCATCACAGCAATCCTTCAACATAAAAGAAGCATATGTTTTAAAAAAGAATCCAACTCAATGATTTTCAGATATGTTGCTCAAACCTACTTTGACCCAGCTGATAGATGCAATTGGGTTGCTTTCATCTTGTCATCCAAACAAAACAATATATCTGCAGAAAGTAACCATAAAATTAATTTAAAACATACTATTTTAGGCCGGCTAGAGGTTGACACAAATTCGCCCTTGAGCAGCACCAAAACCAACACCAAATGACTGCCAATGGTATACAAGTCAAAGTGCATTCTTGGTGTCTGCACTGCAATTCAAATGTGCTGTTGACAGCACATTTGCAGACATTTGGCCCAAGTCTCTTGGGCATTTTAAAGGAGATGGGGCATTTACGGTGCTTCACAGGAAAGAGTGACTTCAATTAATCACAGTACTAGTCTGTTAGTTCTTACCTATAGGAAAGCCCATTCCTGAGGGTACATCTCTGGTATATAGATTACTATCCAAGTCACTAAAAAGAAGTTGCAGAACTTCCGACACTAGTTGGTCTTTATGCTGGCTTTTAGCGGACATCAGAGTTTTTATATCATCTGGGATTGCAAAAGTATCTACAGAAAGAAAAGAAGAATGAGAGGACAGATCAAAATCAAATAATATTCAGGCAACTTATAGCACTCACATAGAACATAAAGATTTCCAATAAAAAGTTATTTTTTAAATTAGCAAATTTAGAAGTTTGACGGTGATTGAGTTGTCAAGAAACTTGTCGAGAGAAGTCTGAATGACTTCATGAAGAACAAGACATTTTTTTATGTCCTACCAGTGCCATCACTTACCAGTCAAACCTGATGTGGACTTGGCAACAGCATGCAAGTTGCACAATTTACGCCAAACAGGAAGTGATTGAGGTCCTTCAAGGGAAAGTTTGAGCAGTGATTAAAAATGTTGAGAGAACTAGATTTTATTTCATTTAACAGGTATTACTTACTTGAATCAAGCGTTCTCAAAAATCTGTTCTCAAGAAATAGATTTATAATCTGTCTCATCTTTTCATTTTCAAACTGGGAGTTCAACGCTTGGACAGCCCAAACAAAGTTGACTGTATCTACTGGAGAACATCTCCTCATTTCAATCCATTCACTCCATGTGAGCTGCAATGTTTATAAAAACATTTTTAATTAAGAAAGGCAAGGTGTTTTAATTTTATAATAACATACTATTTTCAACAAACCTTTAATAACTCCTCCAGGTTAGGAGGGGAATGGTTCTGCAAAGCTAAGGTCAGTATAAATGATGATGGGTTGGAGAACTTCTCAAAGTTTCTCTCAATCCAGATACTGAACTGGTCCAAAAGTTCTACAAATGGAAAAGAAAGATAGGGAATTCTTCAAACACATGTGTAATTTAACTATCCTTTGACACTATGAACAGGACACTTAAACATTACCTGGATCTTTCCATTTAAAATATCTTAGACTTGCGATAGATGAACCCACTACAGCGGCAGTTTTAGTTTTGTCTAGTTTTGTTTTGATAGCTTCACAAGTTTTTGAGAGAATGTCCTTGAAGAGAAAAACAGAATTCAATAGACATCCATTATAACGAATGAATGAATGATTAAAAATAATATCTCACCTCATTCATGTAGTTGAGTTTTCCCATGAGGAAAAGTAGATCACTAAGCTGCTTCATATCGAGTTCATCAGCTGATGTTATTAAACCCTCAGTAATACTCTGAATTAAAGGTAAAGGGCGGGTTTTTATCGCAACAAAATTCCTCAAAGCCTAGAGAAATGGAACCAAAACACTAAAATAAGAGCTTACACCAAGGAAAAAAAATTCGTCACACTAAAATTGAATGGCTTCTTACTTCAAAACGCTGATGTGAGTTAAAGTTGGCACAAAGTTCTAAAGCTGAGGCCACTTCCTTCACCTTCATTATGACAGCAACTTCTTTCAAATGTTCTGCAGGAGCAGTAGTATCTGCCGCACTGGTTTGGACTTTAAGAGAGTCATTATTCTTTTCAGTTTCATTGGCTGGTGGAGTTTGGATTTGTGCCAGAGTTGATGTGCAGCTGTAGGGTAATATTGAAACCTGGCCATTCATAAATGATGGCCTCAGAGCTTTGGAGACACCGCGTAATAGAGCTGGCCATGGTACCATTTTCATGGTACCAAGGCATAATTTAGTCTGCTGTTGGATCATGAGGAACAAGACCACTCCTGAAAAAAAAAAAGGCACACAGATTGAATTTTACCATCAAAAGTAGATGACACACAAGTGAAACCTTGGTAAGAATGAAATGAATCTACCAAGTGACATAACTCTCTTATAAGATAACAAACCAGAACACAATGATGTTTCAAGCAAAGGAAATATTTAAAACACAAATATAGAGACAGAACAAATGAAAATTAACTGTACAATGTGTTAAAAGACAAAGAATGAGAATAAAAACAGAAAAGAATGATCTTCTTTATCAATTAGTCCCATTGCCAAATTCCCGATTTTGTCTCATAACCCCTTGAGTTGAAAGTCATATAAGTTAGGAAAAGTAAATAGTATGGATATAATGAAAATGAACATGTAGATACTAACCAAATGATCAACCCTATTTCAAGAAAATTAAAAACTGCCCCATCGAAATACAGGTTAGGCGTCCATGCTTCTTCCTTCTGCTCTGATCCCACAGCCCACTGCCACTTGGTGGTTCTTGATCGACAGCATAAAAGAAGAACAAGAATCCGGGGGCGCGACGCGACAGGCGCGAGGGGGGAGGAGAGGTAAGGAGCCTTTGGCCATGGAAAAGGTCCTACTCTCATGCTTTGGCACCCCCTCGTTAGGATTCAGGATGGAAGGCGGCTGGCGGTGGTGCCAGGAGAATTATAAATGCCTTCGGCTCGGGAACGGACGCTGGGCCTGGCGTTCTGACCATGGTCGGTAGGAATTCGGAGAAACGAAAATACTCAGAATTAAAGGATATGTAAGCAAACATATATATTGAGGCGCACTCAGTAAGACATTTTTGAGTAAATCGAACCCCTTTTATCACGGATTAGCCGGTTTTAAACCTTAAAATGACAAAAAAGGAAGCAGCGGCGGGGGTCGACTGCAGTGTCTGGCGAAGATCCGCGTCGGGCGCTATCTGCAGGGCCGCTTTGTGGGCTCATTTGCAGCCTTGTTAAGCTCTAGAGGGGCAAAAGTTTGGGCTTGGATTAAAGCTAGAGGCTTGAACTGTGACCACGTGCATTTATTTTAAAACATTAGGGTAGAAATTATTTGCATTCTCCTTACAAAGTCGGACTTCTTTAAGCCGTTAGCAGGCGGTGACTTCGAATCACCGACCATGGTCAGAAAGGTGTTGTGACGACTTTGTAAGGAGAGTGCAAATATTTTCTACCCTAATGTTTTAAAATAAATCCACATGGGCATAGTTCAAGCCTCTAGCTTTAATCCAAGCCCAAGTTTTTGCCTCTCTAGAGCTTAACAAGGCTGAAAATAAGCCCACAAAGCGGCCCTGCATTTAGAGCCCACCTCGGGCCTCTACTCCCCCTCGCCTGGTGGTGCGGTGGTAGATGACGGCCGGCTACCTGACTCTGGCCCGAAGTCCGGGCGAGGGTGGTGTGGGTCCAGAGTCCCCGCCTTTTGTCTCTTTGCATTTATAATGACCGTTCAAAAGTCTCAGAAATTTTAAAAATTTCTACAAACTGAGCGTTTATTTGGACTCACGAGAAAAAACCGACTTGATTTGAAAAAAAGTTGAAGGTTGTGTCATTATTTTAAGTCAATTTAAGTTTTGGATGGTCTTTCCCTAAAATCCGTCAAAATTGTCGTAGCGACATGCCGTTTGCACAACCCTCCATAAAATGTTATTAACGTTTTACAACAAGCATTAGTTTTAATTTGAGTTCAAAATTTAAGTTTCGATTTGGTGCAGCAGTTAAAAGGCCATTATTATTCCTCTGCCTTTTGTCCCGACTGCGAGGGTCGCGCTCCACCCGCACAAAGGGGCGGGGTCCGGGGGCCCGTGTCGAAGGGTCCAGGACGGGCCAGGTCAGAAATGTTGTTGCGGTAGCTGGGGAGGCGTAGCAAGGCGACAAAGATTGCCGAGCCGCCTTCCATCCTGAATCCTAGTATAGGATATGTTCTTTCAAATAACTCTAATTCGTATGAATAATGCATCTTGAAATTCGACACGAGACTCGTCTTGACTCTGAGAACATTCACTTTATCCTGCAGACTACCAGGGCTTAGTATCAGCGCAAGAACCTTTCTCATTGTGTCACGCAGAGTCAAAGAACAGAAATTGACAGTGAATTCATGTGTACAGTGAGAACCAACTTCAGTTCTAATGTAGTAGTGTTAAGCTGAACAGCTTGCCGGACAAAATGCACCAAGGCATTGGAAGTCTCAATTTTTCATGTGTGTGCATTGCAGAAAGGGATTAAGTACCAGAAAAATCAAATTTTGTTGTCATCAGCATTTATTGGCAAAGGATGAACTCCAGTCGCACATGACTTCATACATACATGGGTAAGGTATATAGCCTAGGAAGTCAACTAGTCTAAATTTTGAATACCTGAAGTTGCAACTTTGAGTCTGTCATATCAAAAAATCTCCCATTCACCTTACAACACCACCTAATAAATAGTACCACTCAAAGTGAAAACATTGAAAAAATAAAAAAAATTTGGCTATCACATAATCTCCATGATAATATAAACACAAAGTTAACTACCACCAGGCTTTCCTCCTTAACTCTTTACGATGGAAACAATGTTTCAGGACCCCTTTGACAGGGCGTTTCCACAATAAGTGTGTATGCGGCAGCTTAGAGGTGACGGACTGGATGTGCCGAGATGTTGCCAGTCCACAGAACTTGATTGCATCCAACACGCCTAGTTATTTCTTCTTCTGGGCCTTCTCAGCAGCCTTGGTGACCTTGCCGGAGGAAGGATCCTTGAAGTTCACGCTCTGAAAAGATAAGAAGGCTCATTTAAGTATGATCACTGGCAAACAGGTGTACAACAAACTGAAGTAAGCTAGCAAGTGGGAGGCGTATGACTCCCAATTCTGGATTAAGACAGAAACTCACCTTGATAACACCGACAGCGACGGTCTGTCTCATGTCACGGACGGCGAAGCGACCAAGGGGAGGGAACTCCTGGAAGGACTCGACACACATGGGCTTGGAGGGCACCAGGATGACGATGGCAGCATCACCAGACTTGATGGCCTTAGGGTTCTCCTCGGTGGTTTTGCCTGTAACAGAAGATGGGTGGTCAAGAAACAGCAAATACAAGAATACACTGCGAAAAGTCAAACCAAAGACATCAGATGAATAAGGGGGTCAATTCAATAAAATTCATATTGGTGCATGGCCATGCGAGTATCATCATTTCAAATCTAGAATCTCAAGCACGTGAAAAGATAGATGCTTACCGGTACGACGGTCGCACTTCTCCTTGATCTCGGAGAACTTGCAGGCAATGTGGGCGGTGTGGCAATCCAGCACAGGGGTGTAGCCGTTGGAGATCTGACCAGGGTGGTTCAGCACGATGACCTGGGCGGTGAAGTCAGCAGCTCCCTTGGGGGGGTTGGCCTTGGAGTCACCAGCGACGTAACCACGACGAAGTTCCTTGACGGAGACGTTCTTGATGTTGAAGCCGACGTTGTCGCCGGGAACAGCCTCGACGAGGGCTTCGTGGTGCATCTCCACAGACTTGACTTCAGTGGTGATGTTGGCGGGGGCGAAGGTGACAACCATACCGGGCTTCAGGAGACCAGTCTCCACACGGCCGACGGGGACGGTTCCAATACCACCAATCTTGTACACGTCCTGCAGGGGCAGACGCAGGGCCTTGTCTGTGGGGCGGCTGGGGGGGAGGATGGCGTCAAGAGCCTCAATCAGGCACTTGCCGTCAGCCTTGCCTTCCTTGCGCTCGACAGCCCATCCCTTGTACCAGCCCATCTTGGCAGAGGGCTCCAACATGTTGTCGCCGTGCCAGCCGGAGATGGGCACGAAGGCGACAGCAGCGGGGTTGTAACCGATCTTCTTGATGTAGGAGGAGACTTCCTTCTTGATTTCCTCGAAACGAGCTTCGCTGAAGGGGGGCTCGGTGGAGTCCATCTTGTTCACACCAACGATCAGCTGCTTGACACCAAGGGTGAAGGCAAGCAGAGCGTGCTCGCGGGTCTGGCCGTTCTTGGAGATACCGGCTTCGAATTCACCAGTACCGGCAGCAACGATCAGGACAGCGCAGTCAGCCTGTTGGCAAACAAAAGCAACATTAAAGCAAAGGAAATGAAAAAACTAAGAAACAAAAGAAACATCAGGTGAAAATAATTACTTGAAACACAATTAACGAAACTTACCTGAGAAGTACCAGTGATCATGTTCTTGATGAAATCCCTGTGGCCAGGGGCATCAATGATGGTGACGTAATACTTGGCGGTCTCGAACTTCCACAGAGCAATGTCGATGGTGATACCACGTTCACGCTCGGCCTTGAGCTTGTCCAGCACCCAGGCGTACTTGAAGGAGCCCTTGCCCATCTCCTGAGCTTCCTTCTCGAACTTCTCGATGGTACGCTTGTCGATACCACCGCACTTGTAGATCAAGTGTCCGGTGGTGGTGGACTTGCCGGAGTCGACATGGCCGATGACGACGATGTTAATGTGAACCTTCTCCTTACCCATTGTGAGCGATTAAGTTTGCTGATGAACTGCAACAGAAAAACCAAAACAACAGTTAGAAAGGCAGGAGAAAGAGCAAAAACGCGAGCTTAAGCTAGAACAGATTGCTGGAACACTAGTCTTAGGAAGACCAATGATAAAAACAACAGCAATAACTGAGTGAAGGAAAGCATGACTGTAGAAATAATTTCGTGACTGGATACCAAAGTGGAGTCCAGTTATAGCGTTAAATCATTTAATTTTACAGCTAGGGAACGACTAGAACAACAACAACTGTTGCCCAGAAGCTTGTGCTGTAAGAATAGTCATATATATTGAAGCATCGAAGTAAATTTGACAACCGCGAAAGAACTTGCTCTGGTTTGACCCGCCAACAAAGAAAAATAATATGACAAGCCAGCAACAGCATGCTGAGCAAGGTGAAAGAAAAGCTAGTTAATACAAAACAGAAAAATCTAGACTGTCGATGCCAATCATGATCGGAGTTCAATAGTGAGTCCCCAACTAGTATAACATCTCTTGATATCACAGTCATGGGAAGGACCGATCAACCATACGGGTTGATAAGTGGCAAAGACTGTGGCATAAATACAAGACAAAATAACAATGCAATGAGTGTCAATGCATTACAATGACGGGAGACCAAAGCGAGCTCCAGTTATAGCGATGCATTTTTTAATATTACAGCTAGGGAACGACTAGAACGACAGCAACTGTTGCCTAGAAGCTAGTGCTGTGAGAATGGCCCAAATAATAATTTAAGTGTCTCTAAAGCTAAATTTAACAGCCAATTAACAGCTGCAAAAAAAAGCTCGCTCAGATTTCTCTCTCCCACAGTTATAACGACATTAACAGCTATGCAAGACTGAAATGAAGCTGGACTGTGGCAACCCAAAAATTTGACAAGTCAGCAACAAGCTAGCTGGCCGGGCGACCCGATTCTAACCCATCGCGAGCCCCTACAAGTTGACCTTGGCAGCCATGCCGGCAAAGCACGCCGGCCGGCACCTAGCAACGCGAGAAAAAGGCACTGCAAACGCAATGCCAGCACCCCACTAGTCGCCGAGAGCGACGGCACCGAAAGAATGCCACCAACGCAAAGGGCAGCGCGAGACGACGCGACCAAAGCCGCCAGGTTAGACGCCATGTGTCCGGCCAGCGACACGACATTGGTCGCTTTCAACTAGCAGGTACTAACAGAGCGCGGAGGGAAATAAAATTTACCGAAATTAAAAACGCGAACAGAAAAACATTAAGGTAATGAAAGTCACATCTAACAGCGAACTGGCAAGTGGAACCCAAAGCCCAAGCCGGGCCGCCCCGCCACTCCCAGGATCCAATATGGCGACCTCGTCCGGTGCCAGTTAACGGTCAGTGCCACATGGTACACTCGAAATTAATTTACGCAAACAATACGAAGCCCGCAAAGTCAATCACTAGCCCCGGATAAAAAGAGCACTCCAGGCACACTCGGAAAATTAAGAACGGCACAACAAATAACCCTAGACACTCAAAATGTGAAAAGACCGCCCGGCACTTTAGCCTAAGAATGACTCACTACACCGACACTTGTGCAACACCAGTAGACCAGAAATGAAAATAAATTGGCGGACACTTAAAAATATTCTAATAAAAGAAACAAACGCTCGACTCGCGAGCGGGTAGAAAGCGATGCTATCACAAGATGGCGAGGCCGGCCAGGTTGCACCACGCGGCAACGGCATGCCGCATCAGGCAAATCAGCCAAATTAAATTCAAAAGTGGACACTTGGACTCATTGTCTACATAAAAACTCAGAATAATCAAAAACTCCAACATCAAAGAAGAACTTGGAGCAAAAGCAGCATGTCCAGCCACTGCCACGTGGACGTCCTCAAGCGGCACTGAGTTTAAGTTGTAAAACTTGAGATTTAACAAGAATATTAACAAATCCTGGCTCCTGGCGATGCACACGAGTCTCATGAACACTTGCACTGATGTTTCCACACTAAACTCGGGGCACGCATGGCGAAGAAACTCACCTTTTGAGTTTAAATTGGTAGCTCCCGACACGGAGAACTACTACAAGTCAGCTCACACGACGAAGTGGATGAAGCGACGGACGAATGCGGTGAGCCTGGGTCCTGCCCCCTCTCTTATGAAGGTCACGTGAGCGGCCGTAGTTCCAAAACTCGCCTGTTGAGCGCTGTTTCCAAAACTGCCAACAACCAAACCTTGAATAGCTGGAAAACTGACTGGAGCCGTAGCTAATGTTATGATAAATAACCAATCAATACAATCTACACACTCAAGAAGAATACTTTAAATGAAAAATGTACTTACTTTCCGAGGATTTTCTATTCACCGATACCAATCATGGTCGGATAGTCAATTTTCGTTAGGTTGTCAGACGGATGTGAAAAAATTGGCTGAAGGGGTAAGACTGCACTGGTCGCAACATCATTTATCAAAGATTGATATTATTTTTAAATGGAGTATAGATTCTTTTTGAATACAGTTTAATCTAATTTTAGTTTTAATCAATTGAATGAATATCAATGCAGCTTATGAGTTGTCTTCAATGAATTTCGTCAACGTTATTCCGACAGGAAGTTAGCAGAGCTTAGCGTTGTAGTACGCTTCGCGCCTCATCACGCACACTAACGCAAGTAATTTGAATTTGCACTTTGTATTTTTCTACATCGTGCATGAGGCTAGGCAAAATAGATTCGTGAAGCAAGTTCGATTAACTCTGATTCAGCCAAACAGAAACACAAAGATTGTTGTCTAATGGTCACAATTGAAAGAAAAAGAAGAAGTAGTCATGGGCCGTCATCATTTATCATTTTCACCACATTCTACTGAGAAACAACATGCCAGTGTAAATAACGGTTTTAGAAAGAAAAAAAAAATTTAAGAGGAAGCAAAGGCAACAAAGAGAACAATAACATTTTTTTTTCATCAATTCTGGTTTAATGGAATTGTATGGTAACAAAAAAAGAAAAAAGTGCCAGGTGGCGGTTCATGAGGGTATGATTCAATATAATGACACTTGGCATGTTCCAACTACTTCCTTGCACTGGAGCAACACGGCATCTCAACCTACATGATTTGTTACAAATCATCAACTCACCACAATTTGAAACATTAACATAATTAAAAAACTATCATTATATGAAACAAACTAAAATAATAAATATTTTACAAAAAGATTATTCAGCACATCTCTACTGTAATGTGAACTACTTGGGTAAAAGTGGTATGAAAACAAGGATAAATGGTAAATTAGTCATCTGCCACGAATTTTGTGAATTACAATACATCATTTGTAATACATTGCAATACAATACGATTGTAATTCCAAAAAAAGAAATATTTCCCTCTTATGATAAGAAAGTCATATCTCTCATGTGCAAATTACCATTTTTACCCTACCACAATCTAGAAACGTTGAAACACAATCTTTCCACTCCCCGTACAGAGGAGACATAAAGAACAAATTAATCTTTTTTAAAGATGGAAACAATTTCAAGACATCCGAGCTAAAGAACTGTGAAGTTTTTCCGGCGTAGTTCTTTCCGATGAAAACAATGCCGTAACAACCCCTTACCTATGCTGCGCAGGTGACAGAAACTCAAGCCGTGTTGCTGTGTAATATGTGCTGTGTACTCTGACACCACTCTCAGAGTCTTTTCAGAAGTCCAAATTTGTACCCGCGCAGCACTCTCACCCCCTGGACCCATTTCACAGGCCTTGTAGCCTATCACACCTAGTTATTTCTTCTTCTGTGCCTTCTCTGCAGCCTTTGTGACCTTACCAGAAGTAGCCTCCTTAAATGTCACTTGCTGAAAAAAAAATGGGGAAAAAAGATATAATGTTAAAAATGATTTATCTTCAGTGTGATACATTAAGACTTGTGTAAAATAAATCTTCAAAGTTCAATGAGAATTATTATGAAAAAAATCTTGTTTTACCTTGATCACACCGACAGCAACAGTTTGCCGCATGTCTCGTACAGCAAAGCGTCCAAGTGGAGGGAATTCTTGGAAGGATTCAACACACATGGGTTTGGATGGGATGAGTACAATAATAGCAGCATCTCCAGATTTGATTGCCTTAGGATTTTCCTCAGTGGTTTTGCCTGTATGGAAAATAAGAAGCAAATAAGAAGTGTGGTCTGCCTATTTTTCACATGTGGCATTAGTTAATTTTTAAAATATTTATTCTACTTACCAGTACGGCGGTCACACTTCTCCTTAATCTCAGCAAATTTACAGGCAATGTGAGCAGTGTGGCAGTCCAGCACAGGGGTATAGCCGTTGGAGATCTGCCCAGGATGGTTCAGGACAATGACCTGGGCAGTGAAGTCAGCGGCTCCTCTTGGTGGGGCATTTTTGGAGTCGCCCGCAACATAGCCACGACGAAGCTCCTTGACTGACACGTTCTTGATGTTGAATCCCACATTGTCACCGGGAACAGCCTCAGTGAGAGCCTCGTGATGCATCTCAACTGATTTGACTTCAGTGGTGATGTTGGCTGGAGCAAAAGTGACAACTGTGCCTGGTTTCAAAACACCAGTTTCCACTCGTCCAACGGGCACAGTACCAATGCCACCAATCTTGTACACATCCTGAAAAAAAACAAACAAATTAATGACTAAGAATATTTTTAATTTTATCATAAACTTTCAGAAAATAAAATGTCAAGCGTACCTGAAGGGGCAGTCGAAGGGGCTTGTCAGTGGGTCGGCTAGGAGGCAGGATAGCATCTAAAGCCTCAATCAGACATTTTCCCTCAGCTTTGCCTTCCTTGCGCTCAACAGCCCACCCCTTGAACCAGGGCATCTTCTCGGATGGCTCCAGCATGTTGTCTCCGTGCCAGCCAGAAATGGGTACAAAGGCAACAGCAGCAGGGTTGTAACCAATCTTCTTAATGTATGATGACACTTCCTTCTTAATTTCCTCAAAGCGAGGCTGGAAAATTATTAAATTTTGTTATTATACACTGCGATAATTTCAAAAGAAGAAAGCAAGACTTTGCAGTGTACTCACCTCACTGAAGGGTGGCTCAGTTGAGTCCATTTTGTTGACACCCACAATGAGCTGCTTCACACCCAAGGTGAAGGCGAGCAGGGCGTGCTCACGCGTCTGTCCGTTCTTCGAGATGCCCGCCTCGAATTCTCCGGTACCGGCAGCCACAATGAGCACGGCGCAGTCGGCCTGGCAGGGGCAAGCAGAGACCAATGAACAAGGGGCAAGCCGGGCAAGCAGCGCGAGGCCGCGAGGCAGAGACAACCGACTCAGGGACTCGCTGTCCAGCTCCAGCTTCCAATCCGATTGGGTCGGACAGAGGGAAGGCGCTTACCTGGGATGTACCGGTGATCATGTTCTTGATGAAATCCCTGTGCCCAGGGGCATCAATGATGGTGACGTAATACTTGGCGGTCTCGAACTTCCACAGAGCAATGTCGATGGTGATACCACGTTCACGCTCGGCCTTGAGCTTGTCCAGCACCCAGGCGTACTTGAAGGAGCCCTTGCCCATCTCCTGAGCCTCCTTCTCGAACTTCTCGATGGTACGCTTGTCGATACCACCGCACTTGTAGATCAAGTGCCCGGTGGTGGTGGACTTGCCGGAGTCGACATGGCCGATGACGACGATGTTAATGTGAACCTTCTCCTTACCCATGGTGGAGGTTGGTCAAAGACGTTGAACAACCGGGCGAGATATCTGAGGGAAGAAAAAGAAACAGTGTTATTCCAGGTCTGCGTTCAAGGACGTTTCCGCGCGAAGGGAATGCCACGGAACCGGCGGAGCGTGGCGGAGCGCCACCCAACTGACAGCGGTGTACGAAGGGTTGCCTACCCGCCCGGGAGTCTGGGTCAGCGACCCGGCGCTGGGGCAGCCGGCGCCGCGCCGGCCAGTGCGGCGACTAGCGACGCGTTCGGAAATAGATTTCGTCTCTAGCCCACGTGCAGGAAGACACGCGGAGCGCGAGGGAGACTGGGGCTTCTAGAACGCAGCCCACAGCCTAAGGCTTGTCTCCATGATGGCAGCGCGGGTGGCCGCCGTGGCCGCGAGCCAAAGGAGCAGGACGACCCAGGCCATAAAGAAGTTCACGAGCACCGAGTTGCCCCTCTGCGGACTTTATATCGGTTATTACCGAAGAAAATCCGAGCTTTACTATTGTTTTACTGCTCTAAAATTGGTGGCAGAAATTAGGGAGAAACCTTCCGTCCCGTCGGACTGCACGAAAGGGCCGGTTCGCGTCTGGCCTCGTCGTAGCTCGTTGGCGGACAGGAAAGCACCAGAAGTTGAGCCCGAAGAACGAAGTCACGGGTATTTCACATTCGAACAGTGCCGTGATGCAGAGACGCCGCCACGTGGCGTGACGTCACTGACGTGCCGCGTCACGGAGCGCCACGTCACGCCGCGGCGTCGCGGCGGTCACGGGGGGTTGTGGGACTGCGGGCGGGGCGCCGGGCCGGGGGTAGCCGGGGGGTTGGCCGCGAGCCCTGACTCTCGCCGTCTCTCTCGCTCCCCCGCAGCGCGCGTGCCAGCCGCGGCGTGCCCACGGGGCAGACAAAGACAGCGCGATCGAGGGGCCGCTAACCTCAATTCCTAGCATCCGCGGGGCCCCGCGAGACGCGAGGGAGGCAGGTGCTGGAGCAGCGACCGCGGAGCGTTGCGGAGCGTCGCGTATCCCCGCGGAGTATAGGCCGGTCCAACAAAACGCCGCGGAACAACGCTCAAGGTCACCGGCGTCGTAGGCTGGGACGGCTGGGCCCCGTGGCCGGGCCTCAGGCCGGGCCGGACCAAGGCCGCGCTGTCCCGGACAGCCTGCCCCGCGCAACGACCCACCCTAAGCTCGCACAAGGGCGGCACTACACTACCCTAAGGGCGGAAGGGGGCCGCGGCCCGAGCGGCCTGAGGCCCTCCACCGCCGCATTGATCCGGGCGGCCATTGGACCAGGCCGTGCGCCCGTGCGGGGGGTGGCCCTGTTCGCCCTGCTCGGCCTGCTCGGCCAACCGGCCTCAACGCGGACAACACCGTCAAAACGAAGAGTGCACCACACCGCAAACCGGGCCTCCAGCGGGTCAAGCACCCGTTGAACGCCTTCGAACGGTACCAGGGAGTCGGCCTAACCGGCCTGCCCGCCCGGCCTGCAGCGCCACGCGGCAGGCGGCCGCTGGCCCCGACACGTCAGGCCCAGGCCAGAGACCCAGGGTATCCCCATCGCCCGGATTACTATTTCGCACTAGGTCTCCGCGGTTCCTGGAACGGGGGCCTGTGACTCGGCCTACGGGACTCGAGGAATCCAGAGCGCTGGGCTCGCGGCTCGAACGTGGCATAGGCCTCGCCGTCACGCCCGGCCCGGCCGGACCGCGAGCGCCCTGACTCGCCGACGAGCGAAAAGTCGTAAAACGATGGTCGTTTGGCGAAAACGGCCGCAAATATCACCACCACAGATTGCCTACGGGCCGCGGATCGGCCTGGAACGGTACCTGCGGGCCGATGGCGAGGTTGGACCGGGTGGCGAACGGATTTCTTGAAGCTCGCTGCAAGCGCACTCACCTCCTGGCTGAGGCCTGGCTGAAAGAGACCGACGCCGAGGGCCGAGGGCTGGGGCGGCTGGGGCTGGGGCGTCGCATGCGCAAAGCGAGCAAAGCGTCGCACGGCGCCGGGCTGCGTTCGAAGGCGCCGCCCGGGGGGCTCGGCGTCCCGCTCCAGCGCACGGCGCCGCGACCAGCGCAACGAGGACGCCGCGCCGCGGGCAGCCGCCCCCCGAACGCCCCCCGGGCGGCGCTGCGCGGCGCTGCCGACGCCGGTGGAGCTGGCGGCGCCCCTAGCCGACGTCGCCACGGCCAGCAAGGCCTTCTTTGCCGGCCATAGAGATGTCGAGAGGCTGCATCTCGCCGCGCCCCATGCACCCGTCGTCTTCATTTCCCCGTAAAATGCCCGCCGTGGCGGATCCGCGGGGTTCCGTTTTTCGCGACCGCGACGAGGGGTAGTTGTCGGAATCGGGACAGCCGGGACAGCCATTCAGCGACCAGGAATAGGCCCCTCGATTGCGCGTGCGCCGCCCGCGCCGCGTTCGAATGCGGTGCTGCTGCACTGCGCGGTGGCGCGGCCGGCACCTGCGGCATTGTCGCGAGGGCGGAGGCAGGCGGAGGCCGCGGCCGCCGTGACGGGCGCGGCGCCGTCCCGCGTTTCGAGTTTACGAGCGGCCGGTAACGGCGGCAGCATAAACGGGCAAAACGGATCGGCTTTTAGTGGCAGGTGAAAGGCAGTGACAGGTTGGACGCCACCCTCGTCTTGCTGCTGTTGGTTGTGTCTTTCGTCGCCCCAACCTCGACGACCCAACAACCTCATGCCCTCATGCTTCATGGGCCCGTGCAGGGCATGCCTTGCCTTCCCGCGGCTTTCCGGTGTGTTGCTGTCAAAGGAACAACCTTGCTATAATAGCACTAGCAGCGACGGCGCGGTGCTTTGCGGTGGCAGCGTTACAGGGCGAAAGGCTTGGCGAGGTTGGCAGGGCCGAAAGCATTGTTCAGTTGAGCACGGGCTTGGGCGGCCTGGCCAAGGCCCTGGCTGCCCTGGCGGTGGCTGGCACTGCGCGCACTGCGACGGCGCGGGGGCCGCGTCCGAGAGGGGTGGCTCGACGCGAGGGTGGCGGCTTGGCAAACGCCGCCAGCGCCACCCCCGGCCGCGCTCGCGCCTCGCACGCAGCCCGCGAGGCACCGCGAGGACCGCGAGGACCGCGAGGACCGCGAGGCCGGCCCGCGCATGCGCAATGCGCCGCGGTGCGCCGCGATGGGCTGCCAGGACCTAGTCGTAAATCCTAAAACCTCAAAACAATCCCGCTGTGTCGCTACATCGTCGCTTTCGCTGCGATTTCATCACGCGGTGCATCGAAAGACCGAAACCGGCAAAGGCGGTGTTCACGGCCACTTCGACGCCGCGGCTGTTTGAGAGTGCTGCGCTCGCCTCGGCCAAGGGGTCATGCTCGCCCTCCCCGCGGCGTCGCGGCGTACAGCACCGCAGTGAACGTTTGTTCGCAGTCAAAAATAAATGCGACCGTCCCGAGACGCCGCGCGCCGTCGCCGGTGTCGCGACGGTGGTGCCGTCTCTGTCGCACTCGCAAGGGGGCGTCCCGACGCCGAGCTGAAAAATGAGGGGGGCCGGGGCTAGGCCGGGGCACGCGGGGGGACACGTGTTGGCGCACACCATGTTTACCATGTGCGCGGTGGGCGCTGCGATCCACGCGAGGGCCGCCGTTTTGGTGTGCATTCTTTGGGGTCTGGATTTTTGGCGAAAGTCGTCTTTGGTTTCCCCATCGGCCTTGCCCTTATAAGGGCCTTGCCCGCGCAAGGAAAAGGCCGTCCGGTTGTCCCGGACTAATCGCGGACTAATCCGGACAATTCTTTGGAAGAAAGGGAAAGGGCTCCGGTGTCTGCGCACACCTCCAGGGAGGACACTGTTAAAATGGGCTTTCGCCCATCACGTGAGACAGCGTGGCAAAATTTCCCTTGGGCGGGGCAGCGGGGAACGACCCACGGACCCACGGCCAGGATCCACGTCCTTTGGATCATCCGGCAAATGACGGTACAGTCAGATCCGAAGCCGGCCACCACAAATGGAGCCGCCTCGGCAGCGCGACGCACACTGGGCCAGAAGACCGGTGGAGGCGGCCAAAATTCCAGACGCTTTTGAGCTCCAGAGTCGCTAAATGGGACTCAAACCGAACGTGTGACCCCAACAGTAGATTCCTCGTTCGGAGAGTAATCCATTAGTGGGGTCATTAAGGCCGCCGGCGCCGCCGGTCCTCTGGCTCTGGCCCACTACGCTACGTCCTCCACCCCACGATAGATGGCGGTGGCGTCGGCGCAGCGGCGCGCGAGTTGCCCCAGCTGCTTGCCGCACCCCCCGCCAGGTGGCGTCCCCGTCGAAGGGGGGTCACTTGGGGGAGGCTCCACTAGGCTCCACGCCGCTCGTCTCCGTCGCACGCGCGCCTCGACGCCCAGCCAGACAAGGACGCCCTCCCAAACAAGGGGCTGTTTTCGAACGGTGGCGGGGTGGGGCGGGGCGCAGGCAGAGCAGTGCGGCGTACACCTCGGTCCTGCACGGTGCACGGTGCGCTGCTGCCTGGCGCCTGGTCTCCGCCCAGCCCGCGACCCGCGCCCTCCGCCGACGATAACAAGAACAGCTGATAAAGGCCAGCTTTGGCCTCCGCGGCGCCCCCGAGACCCCCGGCACGCCTGCAGCTGCGACCCCGCAGCCTTCACCTTGACCAGCACAGCCTGCACAGCCTGCATCTCGGCCGGCGTAGAGGGCCACGGCGGAGCCGGAAGGACCACAAGGACGCCGTGATGTAAGCCCTTCGCCGTCCCTTTGGGGCCCTTCGGGGCCCCAGAGCCCTTTAGGAGTGCACGGCCGCACCGCAGGGCCCGAACAAGTGCCGCAGCCGGCCGGGGTTGTTATGATCGGCGACCTGAGGGCCGCCAGCACGCCGCCAGGCTGAGTGAAAGGCGGAAATGGATGAGTCCTGCGGGGCCTGCACTGCGAGGCCGGGCTACAATACGTATGCGGCAGCGGTCAAATAGTAGTCTGCGTAGAGGCATAGGGGCGCGTCGGCCGGCCACATGAATACACGCCACTGCTAGTGCAGTGTTCAGGAAGGGGAGGACGGATAGACACAGAGTTGCGGCGTGACGCTGCAGCACGCGTGTACTCGTGGTTTGCCCCGGCCTATGGCCCCGGCCCCCGCGCCACGGCCGATACTAGTATGTGACCGAGGTACAGAAGCGGGTGACGTCCATCCTCCCCTGCCTCACGCCTCGTGGGGCACACCCGCCGGATAGAACCATTCCACACTTTTCGGCAAAGTGTGCGAAGCAAGCGGGGCTTCAAGAAACTTCTTTATTCGTAGCCGAGTTTTCAATACTTTCAATCGGCAGAAACTTTGCAGGGGATGGGCGAGTTTGTCGCCCCAGGCTGGACGGGCACTGCCCTGGCCGAACGAGAGCGAGAGGCATGGGACAGGAGTAGGCAGGAGGCCTTTCTTCCAGTGAGGCTCTGAGCCTGCCCACGAGTGGTGTGCCGAGCGCCCGACAGGCAGGCACCCCATCGTACTTCCAGTTCCAAAGCCTCGGGCATCCTCGCAGTCAGGCAACCCATCTGGCTCGGCAGGCACGTCCTCTGTCTCTCTCGCACTGTGGGGCGTCCCATATAGGTCCGAGAGGGACAGAGAGCGACAACAGTCCGCAGTGCTTCTGAAATGCGTGCCGGATGACGGATGACGTCGGCGGGCCCGGAGGCTCGGATCACTGGGACGTTTGGTCGATACGCTTCGGGCGCGCGGCCGCGCCTGCACGGCCTGAACGTCGTTGTGGTGAAGGTACAGCCTCCAGCCAAGAAAGAAGTAAACCTGACAAGGTGACTCGCAGCCTTGCTGGCTGAGGGTCGCGCCCGCGCCTGCACGGCCTGAACGTCGTTGTGGTGAAGGTACAGCCTCCAGCCAAGAAAGAAGTAAACCTGACAAGGTGACTCGCAGCCTTGCTGGCTGAGGGTCGCGCCCGCGCCCGTTGTGACGAGGAAGGCAACCAACACCGGCAGTGTTTTCGTGCCGGGCTTGGCAGGGCTTGCCCTCTCGCCCGGCCGCCGTCGGCGCCGTCCCTGGGGCTGATGGCTTTGTTTGGCTACGCCCCCGCCACGCCTCCCCCTGTGGAAGCGACGATTCAACGAAGGACCTTCCGTTCCGAGGCCGCCGCCCTCCAGGGCGCCCTTTTTCTGCTGGCAGCGCTCCCGTCGCTCTGCTCTCTCTCGCACTCGCGGCGCGCCCCGTCGCCCGAAGGGGTGCGAGAGAGGCAGAGACTGTTCGCAACCAGCCGCGGGGTGGCATTCCATGGGGCGGGCCGGCCGGCCTCACCTGGACGGCGCACTTGGTGGAGCGGCGCAGCGCTCCATTATGAATAGCGGCGGGCAGGCAAGCGTGCGCGTGGCAGATCGTTATAGAGGGCTGGCAGCACGGGGCAGCACGCAGCACAGGGGGCGTCTAGCCTCCAGCCCGTCTAGCCAAGCAGCAAGCCGAGGGGGAGGTCGACGACCGCGGCGTGTTGCCCCCTGATTGCCCCCGCGGCCCCCGAGGCGCCGTCCAGGGGAGGGGACGGCCCGCAACGCCCTTTGCGTACATCGCACACACGCACAGTGTCGGGGAACGACGGGAAATGGAAACGCTGATTGGCTGCCCCCACCAATCCGCACGCGAGAGGCTTCTCCCTGCCTTTTGAATTCGAATGCACGCCGCGGCGACCCCTGGAACGGCGGGGGCGCCACGCAGGGGGCGGGACTAGGGGGCGCGGACAAAGTAATCACCCACCAAGCCCTTCCGGTATGAAAAGTAACGCGCGCAGGCAGTCCCTTTGTTATAACCACTTCCCTCTTTCCCTCATCCCCCTGTAGGGTGGGCTGGCGAGGGGCCCTATGAGGTCGTACACGCCCAACCATTTCGAACAGACTGCCTCTCCCTGTGCGGGGGACGCAATGCATAGGAAGGTAGGCACGCGGAGGCCCTGTCGAGGTGTGGCTGTGGTGGCAGCTGGGTAGGCAGGGCACAGCGCAAACTCCGGCACTATGAATTCATCACAGCGCCGGAGTTTGCATACGCCCCCCGGGCACACGGTGCAGCAGCCCCCTCCCTCCTCTCCCAGTGTCCTGACATGGTTCCCTTGTATGCTTTGTCCCGCACCGGGCGAAACTCAAACAACGGCAAACGGTACACTAACTCGTTCTTTTTTTTCCGCCCTCCTTTTTCACTGACATTGCCGCGCCGCGCGTTCCCTCCGGACACAGCGCGAGTCCCGCCAAAAAAATTGTTTCTCGCGGTTCCGTTGGTGGAAAGCGGAGAGCGCTTTTTCATGGAGGTCGCCGCTTCGCCGCTGCCCCATAATTTTGGGGGTCGTTTGGGGCTTTTCCCGGCGTCACTCGCCATCACGGGCAGTCGCCAGCGCACGCACCTGGCTGACTAGACAGAGACAGTCGGCCAGTGGAGTGGCGAGGCCGCGAGGCGAGGTGACCTTGAAACAGCGCCCCGGCCGCGCCGGTCCCTCATGGGGGCCTGCCGCGGGCCGGGGCGCGAACCGCAGTGGCCAGCGGAAACAATTTCCATCTCCAGCAGAAAGCGCTTTTTGCTTCGTTCTCGTTTTGTTTTGGAAGGCCGGCGCTTCGCTGTCTGGCCGTGACGGCGCCGCTTAATGAGACTGCAGCGCGCCACCATGTCCCACCATGTCCCGCCACGGCTGACCCGACAACTTCCTTCTTGGGCGTCGCGGCGTCGCGGCGTCGCAATGGGCGCTCATCAGAAAGTTGGGCGTTCGCGCTGTCGCGCTCGCCGCTTCGCCTCATTCCGCCGAAATGTCACCAAGGAATGCACCAGCGCGCCGCGCAAGGCGCCGCACCTCCCCGCGCCTCCACTGCAGCAGTGCTGAGGGGTGAAGGGTGAAGCACGCGGCCGCCGCGGTCTTTTGCAGCAACGTTCTCGCACTGGAATATTCCAGGACATCGCTGAGTGCCCGCGTTATGTGCTAGAGGCTGCACGCGGCTACCAACCCTATCCCTGCCGCAGCGCTGGGCCACGCTGGGCCGCTGGGCTGTCCGGTTGGCTGCACGGCAGCTACCGCAGTCCGCTGGCCCGCGGCGGGGCGGGACGGGGCGCCCGCGCAAAAACGGGTACAACGAGCCCGGGCCCAGGGCCCCGCTCTTCGGCTCGTGGGGTGCGGGCGCGCGGTGCTCGCTCGCCCGTCTCTCGCTGCTCGTATTAGCATTATTGGATAGAGGAGGCCGGGCGAGGCGAGGCGAGGCGCTCAGGCTTCGCGGCGAAGCGCTTCGCGACCAGGATGGCAAGCAAGGCCAGGCCAGATGACATTGAAGCGATAAGGCTGAGGGCTCCAAGGGCTCGACCTCGTCGGGGTCGCCATGCCGTCTAGTCTTGATGCGCTCTCCGGCAACGCTTCCATCGTTTGCCTGGAAGAAATGGGCTGTCGTCACGACACGCCATCCGCCCGGCCCGTACTTTTCGCCTTTTCTATCCATCTGCACCTGTTGCGGGCCGTCGTCGGGCACGTCATGCATGCCACCATTCCGAATTAGCAAAGTGCCGTCCTTGTCCTCGGCGTCGACGCGGCGTCGACGGGGAGGCACGGCACGCACGCCGAGCGGGCCAGAGGGCCAACTGGCTAACTTTGTGATGATATGAATGGCATGAATGGCGTAGGCAGAGAGGAAGAATACCCCCTGGGAGGCAGTTGCACCTTCCAACAGCTGGCCTCGCAGTGCTCGCCGTCTCCACGGCAACGCCACCACGGCCCACCCCCGCGCGGTGCCGCCCGTCCCACCCCCGCCCCGCAGCCAGCACGTGTAGGCCCACGTGCACGCGGTGCACGCCCACCCCGTCGCCATGGCGGCACGTGGAGAGCAGCGCGGCGGGGCCTAACCTGCGCGTTTTTGTGCCGACAGGGTGGGCTAGCTGCTGGAAGCCCTGCTCCGCCGCCCCGCCATGAAGGCCGTGCTGCACAAGAACGCCGCCGCGGCGCCGGCCTCGCCCCTCGGACACCCCGGCAGCCCCAGCGGCCCCAGCGGCAGCCCCATGCACGCCGCGGGGCCCCTGGGGGCGGGGGCGCCGGCCGTGGAGGAGGAGGAGGTCAGCGACTACACGGACGCCGACGAGTCCATCTCTGCGCCCACCGAGTTCCTCGCGGAGGTAAGTTGAGACGGGGAGCTGCCGTTTCTTCTTGTTGGGCCGTACGTGAGTGAGCTTCGCTGCTTCGCTCGAACTGCAGTTGCTGGCTCGCATCCGCATCTCGATCACGTCTCGCATCTTCGCTCCTCCCTCCCTTTCTTCCTTTCACCATTTTTACGGCTGCGTCTCGGCGAGGCCAGCAAGGCCGGCGAGGCCAGCAAAGCCGTTGTCGCCTCCACTCGCTGCCCATCACGCCGCCCCCTCCCCCTCCCCCTTTCAGCCAGCCAGAGACAGCGAAGCTCCTCAAGTCCGAGCCGCCGCCCCACTTTCAGCCAGAATTTCGCAGTGCGACCTCCTTAATCTCCTTTCCTTCCTGTTTCAGTTCCTGTCGGCCATCATGGGGAAGGACTACCCGACGGCGCTCAAGTACTGCAAGCTGAGTAAGTGTCCCCTCGGCGTGGCGGTGCAGGGCGGGGCGCGCGGCCACAGGGCGGAAAAGTGTCCCTGATTGGCGACGTGGCGGGGCGGGGGCGGGGGCGGGGGCTGCTGTCCCCTGCCTCGCCCCGCAGCGCCCGGCCAGCCCTGGGGACGTGCGTCGCCTTTCAAACGGCCGGCCCGGGCCAATATCGCCAGCTTTACATGCAACAGTCTGTGGGCGTGGCGTGGCGTGGCGTGGCCAAAGCGCCGTGCGGGTAGGCACCCGCAGGCCGTGGGTGTGCTGCTCGACGGCGGTTGCCTACCCGCACGGCGCTTCAAGCCCGGAGCCCGGAGCCCAGGCCCCGCGCGGCACTGCGCGGCCCCAGCTGTGTCTCCCTCCCAGGGCGGAAGTAGCGGAAGCAGCGGGCGGTGGGGCGGGACGACGCGGGATGCCCCAGTTCCATGCGAGACTTCCTGACCCCGGCCCGGCCCGGCCGAGCCGCAACCCACATGGCACATGGCAATGGCACATCGGCGCATATTTCTCCGCTTGAATCTATTTATGGCGCTGCGATGCCCCGGGGCCTGCGGGCCGGGGCCGTCCGGGGACTCTGGGCCTGGAGTAATGGAACGAAAGCCGGGGGGAGCGACAGCGGATAACCCCATTAACTGCGCCAAATGCCCGCCATACGGGCAGCGAGGCAGCGAGGCAGCGCCACCTCGGCCACCAGCCAACGCCGGCCCGGCCGCCCGGCCGTCCGGCTGGAGTCTGGAGTCCGACTGGCTGGACTGGCCGACGGCGGATGGATCGACGGGTGGCTCTGGCTGGACTCCAGGGCAAACGGCGGGCAGCCCTTCCTGCACCTCCAGTCTCTCCCTCTGGCTCTGTCTGGCTCGGCCGCTTTGTGGCGGGGCCGTTTCATTTTGCAGTGTCTGCCCGACAGCCCGTCGCGCTGATTCGCTGATTCGACAGCGGTTGGCGGGGCGCTGGGAGAGTGGCGGCCTCCGCATGCATGGCATGCATGGCCCGGGCAATCAATGCAAATGGAGGATGGGGCCAGTCCCTCCAAAGCCGCGCTGTCAGTGCTGGCGTGGCTGGTCCACGCAGGCAGTGGCGTGCGCAGGGGGGGGGGGGGTGTCATGACCCCCCCCCTTTGGCCACTAGACAGCCGCCTGGAAGGTAGGCAAATTGCGGTACTTTCCCCATGTAAGTAGGCAAAAAGCATGGCCCGACCCCCCCCTTTCAAAATTTCTGCGCACGCCACTGCACGCAGGCTGCACGGCAGCGCCTCGTTGTTGACCCTGCCTGACCTCGAGTCCTGAGTGGCAGGCGGTGGCAGCCACGCAGTTCCCCCAGGGAAATACGGTGTGCTGGCCGCGAGTGTGCGCAGAGATTCGCCCAGAGAAGCAGGGCCGCGAAACGCAGCACGGTCTCGGCCACGCGCGGCCGCCACCAGCGCCATTTCGGACAAGCGTTTTGTCGCTCCGTCTCTCTCGCACCCATACGGGACGCCCCATGAGTGCGAGAGAGAAAGAGCGCCGAAAGTGATACGCCACGACCGCGGCCGCGGCAGGGCCTGCTTAAGACGCCGCTGCGCCTGGCACCGCCACGCCCGGCCAAGGAGAGAGATTTATGGGAGGACCCGGTAGATCTCGCAGCGCGCGAGGCGGTGCGAGGGGGGAGGCGAACCGCAGCCCTGCGGCATTTGAACCAAGGGCGGCGGGGGCGGGCCCCGCGGGTAGTGAGTCTTCCAGGCGTCGGTCGGTGCACCGCGTGCGGGAACCAAATGGCAAACATCAGTGTGGCACCTGTTATGCAGCTGGGGGCTGCCTGGCCCACTTGTGGAGTGCATACCGTGTTGCAAAGCCCCGCCAGCCCGCCGCGGCACGTACTGCAGCCTTCAGCATCTCACGGCAGTTCGTCACGCGAAGCGCTTCGGCCAGGTTCGGCCCCTCAGCGGGCCACCACCGTCTCGTCTCGTCACGTGGCGGGGTCGTACCTGACCCGCGAGCTCGAGCTCGGCGAGGCTGCCAGTAAGAGCGGCCCACGCTTTCGGCCTCGGTTTCACGTTTCGCCTAAAGGCGGTCTTCGGTGTTCGGTCTTGGGGGTGGATACGGAGCAGCCCGGCAGTGGAGAACAAAGCGCGAAGGCTTCAAACAAGCGTCGCGGGGCCAGAGTCGCTTTCCGTGTTTCGGTCGTCCCTTTCGACTGCAAATGGAGGCAGAGTTCCGGCGCGCCTCTTGCACCGTCGCGCTGTAGACACTCCTCTCCTTGAAGGCAATCAAGACCAAAGGCCTGCAGGAGACCCGGCACAATCCTTCGCGCTCCCGAAAGAGACGGAGACAGAGACACAGAGAGGGGCACTATGCAACGGTGGCACGGCGCGGCTCACGGCTCACAGCACTCTTTGTTGCAGTCCTGCAGTACGAGCCCAACAACAGGACGGCCCGGGAGTTCTACCCGCTGATCGTCGAGAAGCTGGTGCAGAGTGAGTAGTAATCAGTGAGCGCTATTGGTAGAAAGAGAGAGAGAGGAAGGCGGCGGGGTGCAGCCGTGCGGATGGCCTGTTCCAACGAGCACGGTTCGTAACCTAATTTCGAGCAAATGCCATTTGACCTTCTCCGCGGCGTGGCGGCGTGGCAAAGAGAAATCGAGGAATGCTGCACAACGGCGGCAACGGCGCGACGAGGCGGAAAGGGCGGAGGGGGTGGGGGAGGGGAGGAGGAGGAGGAGGAGGCCTCATACCCAGAGAGCAACGCGGAGCGCCGCCGTGGGACCATCCTGCAGGATTTGGAGCAGTTATCGAGCGGTACTCGACTCGAGGCTACGGCCTAGTGCCTAGTGGGGCTGGCAGGGCCGGCAGGGCCGGCAGGGCACTGGAGGGGCGCTCCAGGGGGGCGATCTGTCGAACCGTACCGCGCGGTGCCGCCACACTGGACACTTGTTCCAGGCACGATTGACGAGGCGAGGACTGACAGCGAGGACGACAGCAGCAGCGGCGGCAGCGGCAGTCTCACGGGCAGCGGCTCCGACGACGAGGACTCCAGCAGCGACCTCAGCGAGGACGAGGACGACGGGGACGACGAGGATGACGGGCTGGAGCCGCGGCGCGGCCAGGAGCACAACGACAACTCGTCGGTGGAGTACGGCGACACGGACGGCACCACGGCGTCGTACTCGAGCCTGGAGGACGAGGAGGCCGACCCCGCCGACTCCACCGACACGACGGGCATGGCCAACGACAACGAGGACGTGGAGAACGGCAACCAGGTCAGCGATAGCCAGTCAAAGGCAGGCCGAGCGCCTGTCAAGTACCGGGCAGGCACCCGGACGACCGGCGCGTCGTGCGGGCCTGCCTACCCGCCCCTGTGGGCCTCTAGCGTGGCCCGCGGAAAGCGCCTCTGCTAATCCACCTGTCCGCCCCTTTCCCTTGCGCAGGAACACCTGCAGGTGCCGTACGTGCCGTACGACTCGCACGACGCCCAGCTGGCCAACAAAGTCAACAAGCTGACCCTGACGGCCCCCGCGACCGGGACCACCGGGACGGCGGCTCGCTGCTCAGACTCCGAGTCCCCGACGGAGCCGGTCTCCCAGCAGCTCGTCACGGAGCTCCGCGCCCGCGTGCTGCCCGCCGCCATGCTGCCCGCGCCATGGTGCCTGCGTCGCCCAAGGCGTCGCCAGCCCGCGCGGGCCTGGCTAGCCTGGCCGGCCGGCGATGAGCACGAGGCATCCGCATCAATCACTCTCGGTGCTAGTCTTTCCCAAAAATCAAATCGAGAGCAAATTTTTAAAAATGCTTTTTTGGTAATATGAATTGAAGCCAAGCGGGTTTCTGTCGAGTTTCGCATAGTTTCGAAACCTAGTCGAGAGCACACTGTTTGTGAATCGTAAAATTCAATCGAAAATTGTGATTTATTACATAATTTCACTGGCTCTAACTAATAATCCTCACTTTCTTTCCATTATATATCGACTAGTTAGCGCGATTTTCTCATTAAATAGGTTTAAAAAGTGCTAATAAATCAGCCTATAATAACAAAGGGTAAATCAGAGAAATGCTGTGATTATTGCACTCGTTCTTCAAATTTTTGACATCCAACATCATTTTAACCAGTAGAAAATGGGGTTTCACATCAGCATGATGGTTTAGTGGGAGGAGAGGGAGAATGATACAAATGCTTGCTGTGGGCAGCGTGAAATGTTTTAGACTGACGGTAGGCATATACACTTGTACGAGAATGATTATCACTGGAGTTATAGTGAACTCAGAAACTAGGTGTCCTGGTCTGTTTAGCATGAGACTTCTTTAGTGTTAGTGTTTCATTCAAATGTAGATGGTGACGTATACTACACATAAGAATCTCTCCCATAATCAGAGAGAAGGTGTATCATTGTATTTTTCTAATTAGATATAAAAGTTTGAATGTCGAACATGTGATCTGCAACTTCAGAGAACTCTTTCAGAATTATACTAATAGGAAGCAGAAATTTTTCTTCAAGATTTCTCACAAACTTAGAGAGTAGATGTAAGTTCTGCACTAGTGTAGAGGAAACTTGGGTTTTACTTTGTAAAATTATCAGGCAATTTTTACCTGCAGTCAAAAAGAGTGTTATCATGTTTGTTTTGGTTGCTTTTTTAAAAAAGTTTTCACTATTTCTACTAGTTCTGTAGTTTGTTTTGTAACATTTGTAACTGCAGATGAGATGTGCTTGAGATGTTGTGTGAAGACTGAGATGTTTGTATTAGATTGTTATCGTTAACTTTAATTTGACTGATTTACTTAGTTTCATTGGACCACTTAGGTATCACTGTAAAATACTTCTTTTGAGGATTTGATCATTGAACCTTGTATCTCATGTCTTGGCCTGAGCAGAGTTTTTTTTTGTGTCAGTTTTAATTTTTCTGGGTTTTAAAACAATGGAGGTTTTGGCCTAGCATTATCATCTGAAGCAGTTTTTATAGAATTTAATGTGCATTTCAGCACACCATATCATGTGCTTTGTAATGTCCTAGTTGAAATTTTTGTTCTAGGATCATTCTTACACAATAAATTAATTACTTCAAACTAACTAACATAGCAATTTTTGTACTTGCTTAGAATGGTAAGTAAGGGAGAAAACAAATGGATAGCCAATGTAAATGATAAACTTTGCTTTATATATTTCAATACATGAGATCTCAAAGAACATTATTGACTGGCACTATATAAACTGGACTCTATTATCACAAACATAAAATACCCTTTAGTATTTTGAAGACCTTACCAAAGCACACAAAATAACAGAGCAAAATTGTCCAATTCATAGTGCATGCCAATAATGGGTCATCCAAATAGCTCATTGCATGGATCTAACAATCATGCTTTAGCTTTGAGCGATGTGAAAGTATTGTCACAAGTACAAAATTGGACTCTTTGACAACAATACAAAGCATACAACCAGTTAAAATTAAACCAAACCACAATTTGGATAAGATTTAACAATCGGTTAGTTAAGTTCTATTACTTCAACATAGATACAAACAAGATTTATTTCCAAAGATATGCCCTGATAACAAGACGAAAATATCTAAAAATTACTGATAAAAAAAATTTACAAAATTTAAGGCTGGTTTTGATCCTACTTGTAGAACACTTTCACATTATAGCAAAGCATGAGCGTTTACCTACTTAGCTTACTAAGGAATCACAGAAAATCGGCCTACTTTACAGTAGACACAATATTAGCCCTAACAAAGATAAGATACAAATGTGAAGTTCAACATAGCTACACCTCACAAAAATCACATGCATACACCGATCATTACAAGTACACCATCCAATTAAGGCAAACACCTTGCTGGAACAACAAGGGAATGTCAATTGTGTCACAAGATAGCCACTGATGGAAACACTACTTCTAACAGACTACAGGCAAACAAGAACAAAGCCAAAGTCATCCCTGAGTAGAGCCATCAGTTAAAACTTAACACCTAATAGGAAATTGAGGGCAAGACCAATGGCTGGGAGCCGAAAGGTGCAGTATGAAGAGAATTATAAAAACGCAAATAAAAGCAAGAAGTGACTTGATAACACCCTACTTGATGGGTAAGTATCCAAGCTGTAGGTTTGCCTGATAGGCGAGCAAGTTCAAACAATCACTAAACATTACGAGAGAGAAAGATTGCGATGAATCTTAGTAAGGAAATCCAAAGCTCAAGTTGTGTGCACTCCAAATGTTCCGTTCTAACATTAGTAAGAGGACTACTACTCATGCACTCATTACACAGTTAATCCAATGTGTGTTCCACATCACCAACCTTACTGAAGTTATGTTATATTCTTAATTTCTCTAGTAATACATTTTACTTTTACAAAAATAAAAAAAAGGTAAACTCTGTGGCACATTATTAGTACCAGCACAAGACACCATCCTAACAAAAGTTAATGAAAACAAGAAAAATAATTCAGTTTTGAATTTTTAAAAATTTATGACTACATTAATTGCATTTAGATGGGATAGAGTTTAATATTGCTAGTCAGTGAGCTAAAAAGTAACTACAAAATAACAGCATAAGTATGAATGAAAATACTAGAAACTATTGGTCTCCATGAGGTTCAACATTGAAGGCAGCTCTTAAATCTCATGGCATAATGACCTCGAAAAATTGTGTCAGTCTAAGTTAAGTGGCTCGTTGGAAAACTTGGTCTCAAAAGCACCTGAGAAATACATGGACAATCAGAATATACGTACTTTTACTTATATACCTCTGGACAGATTCCAATCTTCGAGTCGCTTCAGCACAGAAATAATAGACTAATAATTGGAACATTTACATTAAACCTGTGATGCTTAGAGGCAGAATTTACTCAGCATCAGCAATTAACAGGGTGACAACACTACCAGTATGAACACAGTATCAGCCCCTTTGCTCAATAGCTTTAAACACAGTTTGTAATTTGGCATCTCTTAAATACCTTAGCTACAATACTTAAACTAAGCTGGAAACCTACCTAAATTTATAGGAAGTACCACATCTTTTCTCACTTTAAAATTACAAACAATAATTTGTAACAGCTTTTGATTATAACAGTCTTGATCCCATTCATTTTTTTCTTTAGACATTCATTTTATTTGATTTGCTCTGCTTCTAGCTGCCTTCTAATGGAGTTAACAATTTAAATTTTGGAGGAAAATAATAGTAGGAAGCATCTTTATTGTCACAAGTTTATGTATGAAGCAGGTTTAGTTTCAGACATCTTGTAAGTGAAATGCTATTTTTTATCAACAAACTATTGATTTAGGACATAGGATTGGAGCCAGCTAGAATTACTATACAGAAAAGATCTAAACACTACTTTCCCGTTTGTTGACTGGGGTAGAAGGATATGAATTTTGACAAGGAAGAAAGGAAGAAACTGACTCATTGTCCCCAGTACCAGTTACTCCTATATTTTTTAAAAGTGGAAGAGCATCAGGCACAATACTTCTAGCACCGCTAGCACTAGCTGGAGGTGATATAGAACTAATACCCTCTGAACACGTCTGCCGATGAGTACTCCAAGGTCCACAAAGTGAATCACCAGAGCATTCACTAGTAGCCAGACTTTCAGTGCCACATTGGTAGTTTCCAGAGTCGGCTGACATTTGACAAATAGGCCCCTTATGACTTCCTAAATTAATGCTATTTGTTCGTTCAGCAGCTAATTGTTCTTGGCAGTTTATGGGGACATTCTCATTAGGTGTAACTTGTTCCTGACAAGGGGAAAGAGGCTGGCAGTCTACTTCAGAGCAATCTAAACTACCCTGGTCAACAACCCTTGAGAGTGGTGATGGTCTTCTAAGAGGTAAATCTACATCACTAGGACGATTTAAAGGTCTATTGCCAGAAAATGATTCCAAACTAACATCTTCATCTTCCGAAGAATTTGTGAGTGTATTTGAGTCTTCTAGAGGAACAGGCAAATTCCTACGCACAGCTATAGAGGCAAGATTTATATTTGTCATAGCAAACTTCAGATTGCTGCTCGCATCTTCTGCAGCAGTAGACAGATTTCCATTAATTTTGGGAGTCCTACGCAACACTCGGGGTGTGCGAGGGCTAGAGTGAAGGAGGACAGGAAAGGCAGGGCTTTCTCCAGGTCCTTGAACTAGGACCACATCCTGATTACCACTTGCTCCAAGTTTAGCTCGACCACAAATAGAGAAGTATTCCTTATTACGATCAATGTGAACACTGCTTGTGCGAGAGCTTATACTGGAAACTTCAGATAAACTTTCTGGGGTGGCTAATGGAGCTAGCCCAAACCAGTCGTCATGAATTAAATCTATTTTCTTTTGGCTCCCAGTTCCATGCCCACTGCTTGAAGGACGACTGGTTAGTCTACCTTCCACAGATGATGAATACTCCCATGGGATGCCACTGAGCGCAGCAGGTGGAGTCTGGACAGGAGGTCCAGCTGACCACTTGAAACCTCCCGTAGAGGAGGACGTTAATCTTGCTTGGCTGCCATTCGATGAGTTGATACTGCCAGTAACATGGCGAACCTCAGTACAAGGGCTTTGCAATGATGTGAAACTTGTTTCCAATAGTAGGCGGTGTGGAGGAGTTGGAGCCTTGGGGGAACCAAGATTAGTGCTGCCTGCAGTAAGGAGATGGCAACGTTCAGAATCCAAAAGTGTTCCAATCCCAGAAGTGGGGGATGTGGTAATTGTTGAAACTGTTCGTTGAGGCTTGGCGGGACCAACAGATGTTATAACCTGGAAGATACAAACACACAGTCAATATCAAGAAAAGACAATAACACTATAGATTAGGACAGATTCTCTCTTCATAGTGCAGTGGTTTGGGGTGTTAACTGATATAATTACGATAAAATTGTTAAGGTATTTAAAATATTTCCTTTTTTGAAAAGCAAAAACGTGGTCCAACATAACAATCAATGATTTGAAGATGCATACAAGATAATAAGTCTAGTTAAATTTTGTGGGTGGCAGAAAAATAATAATAAGTGCTTTTTGAAATGCACAAAAGCAATACAATTGCACAAAATAAAGAAAATAAAATTAATACTGCAGATACAGTATGAACATGATGAGAAGTACCACTAGTGGTTAGTCACTCACTACACATCTAAGTCACACTACAAAATGCTACTGAAGCAGGCTGCTAAACTGTGGCATCGACTGACATGGGAGTGAGGTTTTGCACTAAGTATTGGAATTCTCTTGTAAATGCACTGAGTAAAGCACCCACAAATACTTGGATATTTTAAGCAGACTTTCAGAACAATGTGGATGTTGGTAAAGTTTACTCAATATTTTGAAGGGTGTTATTTTACTTTACTTACCAAATAGGTAAATTCTAAGAAAGGGTCATAACTAGGCAGTGTTCCCACTTGGGCCAGCGGATAACAAATGATCTATGGCCGTGTCACCAACTGCACCAATTGATGAGTCGGTGGTAAGGTCGTCAGGGGTTGAGAGGGGATTTTCATTCGAATTACACGTAAGGTAGACTTCAAGTACCTAGCAAAAAAAAAAACAAACACACACAATGCTATTGTACAAAAATAATAGCTCACACAACAACAACAAAAAAAGAAAAAATTTAGCAAAATCAACAAATAAAACGGGGTGCCCAAGGACTCACTAATGAACCTACAGTACCATGGTTATTGATGCATTACGGTTTCAAGGAGGTCTGTCCGACCCAGAATAAGCATGCAACAATTAGTAATGACATGAAATTGATGAATGCAGAACTACAGCGGTCTAAAACCCCACATCCCTAGAACAAAAATAAAATAAAAAAAATAACATGCTTAAAGCTCTTGCTGTTTTAATAGATCACTGATCACAATTCCTGCAATACAGTTAAGTAAAGAAGAGGTGCCTACTAACAATGAGACAAATACAAGAATAAGAACCAGTACAGCAGAGGTTTATAAAGTGAGGATTTGTAGTGAACAGGGACACAAAATACAGACACCCTTAGAAACAAATCAGAACATGAGCAATGTCTGGAATATTAAAATAAACCTGTATTCAAACACAAATTAATTAATTGGAACGCTTCTCCTCAAAAGGATAATGGACTGGACATGTAACATAAAGATGAAAAACACACCAAACACCATAAATACATATAAATACATAAAAATTGTTGAGGAAGTTGTGCAAAAACTTTGATGAGGGGCTCAAATAGGGAACAGCTTGAAATGAAAGGAAAAGTGGGCACAGGTTGCTAACTCAACTCAAGCACTCCTTCACCCTACGCCATAAACTGATCCAGAACTTCTACTCATACATAAGTGAATATTTACACAAATATTATGAATTCTTCTAAAACCAAAACATCTTGTCCTTAATGATGAAAATTAACCAATCCAAGTTGCAGAAAGGAATGGCAGATAGCAGGATCAGCAGCATGTCTACTCCCAGATAATTAGGAAGCATGCTGGGAAAAACGCATCTACAGTAGCTTCAATAAATTCATTCACCAATGGATGTTGGGCGATAACAAATGCCTTGTAAGCTTAATTCCCAAATTGATGAAGTGGCAGATAAAACGAACACTCTAGAAGAAACTAAATGCACATGGCTTGCTCAAGACCAATGGCACTGGTTTTACCTGGTATCATTGCAATGTGGCACATAAGAACTTTTGTTGCTTTGAACACTATTTTGGCGGTGGTGGGGATTTGTAGCTTTCATTTGCTTCTCATGAGAAGTCATAACCTGGGAGAGACGAACAGTAAATAAAGTATCTAAGAAACAAAAGTAAAATGAAGAAAGGCCTGATACACCGGAACAAGTGAAATCAAATTTAAGGGCGTACGGGTGGCAAAAAAAATTTTTTGGCATTTGATAGTGCTGGGTGTGTTCTCTAATCCTGCCGAGCGGTTTTTCCCTGCGACGCATAGTTAAAGCGTGGCGATGCTTACAAGTTCGAAAATTTAGCGTTTTTAGCCCTTTTCGGAAAAGTATCCCGGGAGAACCAATGGAAGAAGCTCAATAAAATTTTGCACCCAGGTTAATGAAGGTTGTAGGTATGTTGCGAAGAATTTTCACGGCGATCGGGTTCAAGGGAAAGCTCCTGGAACGCCTTGAAAAAGGCCATTTTTCCAAAGTGCGCAGCGACAAAAGTGCAAGAGTGAGGAGGTTGAAAAACCTTTACCACACAGCCAGGACCTTCCTCAATTGATTGCAAAAAGTTCCGTGTCGCTAGAACAAACGGTTTATCCAGGAGGTTTTTCCGAAAGGCGGCTAGTTTTGCAGGTCCTTCAACAGAAGAGAGAGACAAGCGATGTCTTGTCTTTCTCGCGCCGAGTTGTTTCCGAAGCAGCCCCCGCTGCAGGTAGCCGGGTGAGGCCCTCGCCGGGGAACAATGCGAGCCCCAGACCCTTGCCGCCGCGCGTCGTCTGGGACCGGACTGCAGCCAGTGCGGAGCCATCTCCAACTTTTGCAAAACGGAAGGTCGAAGCTTCGGTCAAAATTGTCGCAGGACTATTTTTCAAAGTATCATTGGAACCGCGATTTTGCGAGGAGACCATTTCTGTCCGATTAGACGCTGAAAAACGGGCCGTTCAAAAAATTTCTGTTTGGGGTTGAGGGGCAATAAATCCTCCTGTCACCATCCTCGCTTCGGTGCGACGAGCCGCCGGCAGTGAATGAGGCCCTCGACACAATAGACAGGGGGCGACTACCTGGCCTAGTTCAGAGAGTCAAATTTCTAACGCGTCGCTTGACATGTTTGCAACGATGACCAATGCACGCGGGACAAAATTCTGGATCTATTCATGCAAAATTTGAATTCGAGCGATCATTTTGACGAAGCAGGACAAACTGCATTTCACACCTACACTGAAATGTGAACCGTTTCGTGACAACCATTTTGGTAGCGTTGTCAAAAATTGCCATTTTACTATGAACACGGACTTAGAAAAATTCCAGCCGATTGGCGGGACAAGCAAAACTGCTCGGCTGTTCATCGGAGCCCAGCTCCGGAGGCGAGGTGCCGTTGCCCCTCCCCGGTCGGGGGGCAATAAAAGCTTTTGTGCTAGTGTCTGCGTGGCTCTGCCTGACCTGGCTGCAGTCTGGCGACGCCTGACGGGGCCAACGCTTATTCGGAAAAGCCTTCTCGAAATGGACCGCCACCCTTACGTCCTTAAGCAAATGAATTCTTCACATAGTTTCCTCACCGCTAGGAAAAAAAAACAGAATAAAAAACTATAATTCATACATAAAATTTTCAGCTTGTAGAAAAACGGGATGAAGTGAAAACTTTCTTCAAGAACAAAAAATATTATCTATTTAAAAGAATCATGCATTCCTATGGCATGCCTGCCTACTCAGCAATCTAGACGCATGTCTTGTCTACCATTCACTTAATTTGAAGGTTTACAAAAAAGAAAATCTACACATACTCACCTGGTAACAAAAAGAAAAAAAAAAATCAGAAAGATTGAAATAAAGTTTTTTTTTAAAAAAGGAAATGAGGCATGTAAACCACCCACAAATAGATTAAGAATAGGAAATGAAAAAAGGAATTTAAAAAGAAGTGCAGTTGTATGGAGAATAGTATGGAGAATTTAATTTGGAATGTTGCCACCGTCCACTCGCAGAAACTTTTGGTGGACTTGAGGTTTAAAAGTAAGGATACAAGTCAATGTTGCATGTGAGGAATCTCTGGAAAAGAATTTTATATCCAAGTGCACACAAACTGAAGAAAAAGGGGGAGTTAAGTTTTTAGTCTTTCATGTATCTTAAAAGAAAGCTAAGCATCATTTATCCAAAATTGTGAGTCATTGTTAAAAATGGAAAAGCTAGTAAGTTTGTGTAAGTGTGGTACATGCAATATCACAAATGTGCAGTGACAAAATGTAAGATAAGATTGCCAGACAGAGAGAGAGAGAAACAAGGGAGAACGTAACTTCCCCCAAGGATGCTTTTGACAAAACATTGGAAGTAGGCAATATTAGGTGGATAAGACTACTTGAGTAAAGCTCTCTTCTGGAGTTTCAAAGCTTCATGCACATCTCGTTCAGATAGGGCCTCTCATTTGAAATTTCGAAGTTTAATTGAATTACTCTTAACATAACAAGGGCAGAATAATGAAAACTCACCTTTTTAAGGGCATTTAATACGGTATCAGGCATGTGGTCTTGAATCATGACGGGACTTATTAATACTTCATCAAAATCTGTATTGTTGGCCCACAAAGCTTGGTATACAGGCTCACGTTTGCCTAGGACTTGCCTGCAAGAAGAAAGAGAGAGGCATAAGCAGATGTTACGAGGGAATATATTCACCAGGGTATAGTGTGATTACAGAAAAACAACAATTAACAATCTACAAGATGTTCAATTTCAGTCATCTTCTTTAAGATTACTGAGTCTCTGTTTTTGGACGAAACAATTTGTCTAACATGCAGTCCTACATAGTAATCATCACACCCCTGGGTCACTTTTGTATCTATCATGTAACATCAACAACAGAAAGAAAATCTTTTAGAAAAATACAAAAAATACAGGAACAAGAGAGTGATGCAGAGAGGAACCTACATTAAACCAAATTCCAGCAGCTACTTTCACCATGCAGTTTGAACAACAAGAAACACTGCACTGACTAATATCAATTTTTCATGTAACTAGGCTAGATAGATAATAAGCAGGTGACAGATGGACACACTATGGTTGGTTGAGGACGGGGGAACTGAAGAAAAGGGCCCAATATTTATGATAGAAGAGGCACAGCAGGAGAAGACATCACGGTTATTGGAAAAATTGGTAAATAATTGTTGACTACCGGTATTTAGCATCTAAAGGAGTCAGAAAAGTACCTGGCATTCTTATGTTTCGCTCCAAGTGAGACAGATTATAGTTAATAAAGGAAATCTGTTAATGTTTTATGATAATGATGGCTGGAGATTTTATAGTGAGGTATTGGGTCTAGAGAGACAGTATGTTCAAATTCTCTTATAATGTTAGTGGATACATTTTAAGTCTCGGACTAAAGTTGACAAGATAAAAATACAAGTACTTTTGACTCCTAGGTAATGAAGACATCACACACATCAGAGCAACTTTACATTTCAACTTAAAACTGCATACTCTGATCATTCGTTTGAAGTACTTTTACATACCTCCACTTTTTTTTCTCATACTTATTCCTATAAAGGAAAAAAAAAGTTCAATTTGAGAAGTTTTTAGGAATTAATTATACCTCTTATTTGTGGTTTTACATGCGTGTAACAGGACATAAGATAATAAACCAAAAAGAAATGATTTTGGACAAACAAAGTTTTCAAATTGGATTTCCTCTTTTCACACAAATTTTTGAATATTATTGCTGAGAATCGTAAAATTTATGACCTACATCTAGTGACAATTCCCTCAGGTAAAGGTGCAAGGTGCCATTAGTTAAAAATAAATATTAATTTTCGTTAAGTCTATTCAGAAGAGCAACGAGCAATACCCAGAAAATAAAATAGATGAATAGACAACTCGTGTTTAAGTGCAAAGTGAATCATGATTTAAAAACCCAATGAAACCTAAGCTGGTGCTCTTGCCAAAGCTGTCCTCCATACTCCAGATATAACTCTAAATTATTATGCATCATCCTGAAGTTGCATGCTCAATATGGTTGCATTTGCAGTGACAGCCGAAAGAACCAGGTGACAATGTGGTTAGATCAAACAAAGTAAAAAAATCTTCAGTATTGCATTAATTTTTTTAAACATTCAATAAAATAGGCTTGTGCCAAAAATAAATAACAAATCGAGGTAACAGTGGTGAAACAATGATTTACTTACTCTCCTTTCTTTGGGTGATGTCTCACTACATGAATGATGCGGCCTGGTGGATATAGAGGTTGGTGAACAGTGAGAGCTATGCTGGAATCGTTTGGATGGTAAGCCACTTCTCTTGCTATGTCTTTTTCCTTCTGGTACTCAACAATATTTGAGTCATCAGCACTCAGTTCAACTGCTGATGTAGGCATGGGTGCACAACCGCAACAACACACATTGCACATTATGGTTTTCCACTGAAACAAAACAAAACAAAAGTAAGAATGGGGAAAACAAGAAGAGACAAAGAAAAATTTGAATACAGTAATGCACCTTTGGGTCTTTGCTGCGCTTAATAGCATTTATGAGATCAGCACGAAGAGATTCCATCTGATGTAATCCTATTCTGGGCACAACGTCTTTACCAACCACAACAGATGTAATAAATTGTTTGGAATACTCCACTGCTGGCAGGCTGCAATCAGATTAAAAGAACCTCTGCAATCAACCATCATCAATAAATCATAACCATTGAGTAGTTTAATGTTTTACCTAAGCAAACCTCCAGGTGGGGAATAGGCAAAACATTGGAGATCGGGATATTGCTGCCTCATCATAATTGCAAGTATTGCAGCAGCTCCTGCTCCCAAGGAATGTCCAACCAGCACAAGACCGAAGTCTTGAGTGCCTCTCTCTGCACAGTGATTGAAAGCGCGGACAAGCACATTTTCACTTTCTAATTTTTCTCGGATGTAAACAGCTGCATGCACCATACCCTACAAAGGGAAAGAACAGCAACAATGAATCAGAAAGGCTTGACAGAACATTTATATTTATATTGGGTCATATTACCTTGTGACCACTCCAGTCCTCTCTTGGTGGATCCAGGGGGAGAGTCTCTGACTCGGCATTAAGATCAGTTATGACATCCTTAACAGAAAAATAAGTTGGGATAACAATAATTCAGCACAATCTACTTAAAATTGAATGACCTACAGTTCAGGACACAATATCTCACTCACCTTCATGGATAAAGTGCCGCGAATACTTATAACAACTTTCTGGCGCCCATAGTCTACAGAAACAAAGAATGGGGTCTCTCCGACATCAACATGGTATGTTGCATACACAACATCTACATCTCCATCTTCAACCATTCTTTGCAATGCAGCGTAGTTACATCGACAGCAGTTGTCTTCTACTATTATAGCAGTATCTTTTTGCCTCATACACGGAATGCAAAGACAACAGCTGCAAATAACAAAGTGGACATGAAATTATTGTTTAATACAATAAACCAAGGGTTACAATCAATCAATCAATCAATCAATCAATCAATCAATCAATCAATCAATCCAGTTTGCAGCACCCACCTTAACTTTGAACAAATATGACACAATCCGCAACCAGAATGTGTCATTAAATACATTGGCCACCCATAGGCACCAAGAGCAAAATTCATATAACGGATAACATCTTGGAAATGCTGATAATGTTGAGGATCATGCAAAGCAAAAAACCTCGTTTGTGATGTTACTGCTACTCCAGAAAGAAACTCGTATGTTTCATTCTTTCGCTGAAAAAATGAAAAACAAAATAGAATGTTAGGAGACTAAATTATGATAATGTTAGAGCACCAAATTAAGGTAATGGTACAGAAGTATTGATTTATATAGCAGCAAACTATAATACCTGAGACACAATGGACTCGCGCTCAATTTTTTGAAACTTTCTTAAGAGCACCAGGCCAGCTACTACATCAGAAGGAACAACATCAAGGTCCCGAAAAAAATCAGAAAGAAGCCTTGCAATTTCTGTAAATGAATTCTGGAAGAAGAAAAATTTAATATCTTACAACAGTGGCTCACCAAATTTAAAGGATACTTTCGCTAAAAATCTTACTCTGTTTCTATCGCTGCCCTGAATGCAGCAAAACAAAAGTCTGCATCGAGAATTCCAGCTCTCTTGATACGCTCTCATGACTTTTCTGTAATCAGGCAGATGAAGGAAAGGACATTTTAGACACAAAAATTAAAATTCCATGAATGGTCGTCATGAAAACAACAGTGGAATGGCCCAAAGCACAATTTGTGCTACTGACCTTTGCCGCCAGTTGCGGTTCCTGGAGCCCGACCTCTTGTACTGGAAGCGACTTTCCGCCTCGCGCATCGAGCGCTGGTACTTCTTCATCTTGACCCACGAGCGGCCCGCCGCGTCGTAGGAGCACCAGACAGTCAGCACCACGATCAGGAACACAATCCAGTTGCTCATCACCATGCCTGCCAATCACACGGGTCACTTCAAGTAAACAAATTCGCAAGGAAGGTGCACCAAGGCAACAACATACCCATCATGACATTTTTAGGGAGGCCCACTGGGCAGTCGTAGTAATGAAAGCCGAGCCACACGGAGCCCAGAATCAGCCAAACCAGCTCAAATACCAAAACACCTGCAAAAGAAATGGGACAGTCAGTCGAACTGCACATCTTCAAAAACAAAGTTGAAGCTGAAAAGAGAGACACGCACCGAGCCTGCAGTAGAGCTGGTATTTGATGCCGGACCGGCGTTCCACCTCCAGGATGCCGCCGCGCATGGCCGTGAAGGCCATCATGGCCTCCAGCACCACCGTCACGCCCAGGATGCAGAGGTAGCCCACCAAGTGTCGCCACAGCTGTCGCGAGCACCACACCGACTCGTGGTCCATGTCTGTCGTGGTCAACAAGGCTACCAGCGCCCCCAGCCTGCAACAAAACAACCACCGCCTTTACAAAACAAGAAGGGGGAGCCAGTATTCGAACCAAGGTCGGGAGACGCTCGTAGGGTCTCTCTCCCGCAGGAAAAAAGGGGGGAAGAGGCGGCAGTTTGCCCACGTCTCGGTAGCAGCGTGGCAGCCCGGCCAACAACACGCCTGGCAGCGTCTAGCAGGCAGGTGTGCGAGGCCTGGCGAGGCCGGGGGCGAAAGGGGGTGGGGAGGCACTGATATGTCAGACCCAGTTGCACAGCCATTCCGGGACGCGCGTCTTCCAATACAGTCCACAACACACAATCGTGCGGGAGGGGGCGGCGGCTATTTCCTTGGCACACTCTTTACACCCCAACCCCCAGCCCAGCCCAGCCCTCCTCAGTCCTCGGGGCCTAGACGCCATTTCCTGCTCTCGCCTACTTCCGCCCGCCACCCCCCGCCCTGGACAAGCCAGTGCTGGAGCGCCGGCTAGAAAGGGCCAGTGGGCCAGCACCACTTCCCCGTGGGCAACCCCATGCATCCACTTGGAATCCACCCCGCGCGTTAGAAGGCCCAAGTTTCGCTGGAACGGGCTGAGCTGCGCTGGGCTGGGCAGGGCGTCGGTGCGGTCGGCGCCCCAAACCCCTCACCTGGCTTTCCGCGGCTCCAAACTTGGGAGCGCCAAGTTGAAATCATAAAATTCATTTACCTTGAATGCAACGAAAAGACAAAACGGCCCGCCGGGGTCGGGGAAGGAGCGCGAGCAGCGAGCAGAGCGGCAACCGCCGGGAAAGCGGGAAAGGGACCCGGAGCCGGGGCAGAGCGCGACATTAAAGTTATTCCGAAAATTAAGAGGGGTTCGCGGGGCGGAGAACAGTCGCCGCCCCAGCCGGGCGCAGCGCGGCGCAGTGGCGCAGCCGGGAGGCAAAAGGGGGAGGGGCACGGCACACGTCCGCGTGCGAGCATCCCCCAGCCCAGCCTGCAGCCCAGCCCCCACACGGCAATAAAGAACACCTTCAAAATCCCTCTTTGGCGTTCCCTAAGCATTCGGCCGCACGTAATGGATGGCCGTGGCGGGCGGCCGCGGAGCCCTACACTACAGGAGCGCGAGCCGCGAGCACGCAGGCAGGGCGCCGCTCGACCGCGTCCTGGCGCCTCCCCGATCCCCGCCCCGACCGTGGGGATACCGACACATGCCGCCGCACCCACGCCACCGCCACCCCCGCGCCGCTGCAGCCGGAATTAAGAGAAATGGTCCAATCCGAGTCCATCCGGCAACCAATCACAGGTAGGGCACTTTACGAGGGGAAGGAAAGTGGACGCAGCGAGCGAGGGGCCGCGCAACCTCGCAACACCACTCTTGGAGTGGCGCGTGGCCGCGTGGCGCCCCGCAGCCCCCGCAGCGACGTCAGCCCGATAGGTTCCGAGCGCGTCAAACGACCGTCGCCTCCTCGCCGTGCAGTCACGGATCCGGACTCGCCCCTCGGCGGGGATAAAAAGAAAGGTCCCGAGCCGACTAACCGACTGGGGACTTGCCGACTTGCCACGGCCATTCATTCGGATAGGCCCCATCCTATCCAGACCGGCCCGCACAATGCTTTCCACCTTGCGACCGGCCCGGCCCGGCCCGCCCCGCCCCGCCACGTGAGCGGACGGGCAAAGAGCGCGCCACTCGGCCAGCAGCGCCAGCAGTGCTCACGTCCCCGCCAGCAGCACGCCAGCACTTCTCCTCAATGAATCGGATGAATGGGGAGGGGACGGCAGGGGAGGGCGCCGAGATGCCATTTGCTTGAGGACCGCCATTTGCCGTATCGACCCCGACTTGACGCGTCGAGCAAGGCAGTGAGCGTCCAGCAATCAGGGGTATCGCCGCGCCCTGCCTCGCCCCGACCCATCCCGCAGAGAGTCTCGCAGAGCAGAGGCTGGCCTGTGCGAGGAGGCTCATCCCATCAAGAGGCTCGACTCGCCCCCTCCAAGTCGGCGCTCGTATGAGCACTGCCAAAACCTTGGCCAAAACCCCACCAAGTGTTCGGAGCACACGCGCAAGCTACAAACTTTAAAAATGGTTTAAAAATGAAGAATAATTATACGTGGCATTTCTTAGCTCAGAATACTTGGTAAAAATACAGCATTTACTTGAGAGGCTTAGTGAGTCCCAGTCCAGTGAAGCCAGTGCAGAAAGGGGTCTCATCTCATCCAGATCCAGGCCAGAGGACTCATCCCTTCTCATGTCGGACGATGCCGGGCTGCACTGAGCCCCGGGCCCATTCTACAGCCGGCCTCCAGAGGAATGTCATTCGAGCAAAGCCAGCCGCCGCCGCGCACCGGCCATCGGTCACTCCACTACGAGGGAGGAGAGGCAGGACTGCTGGAGGACTCCTGGCGCCGCCGAGGCCCCAAACGCCATGCGGGGGCCGGGGGGAGGGGGAGGGCGAAGGCGAGCAACAGCAGAGAAACTTTGCGGCAGCTTTGCGGCCACACCGCAGCGAGTCAAAAGTTTCCCCGGGGCAGGGCAGGGCTGGGCAAGGCGACGTAGTGTATCGGGTGGGGCGTCCCGTCCGCGTCCCGTCCGCGTCAAGGCGACGACGGGCGGCACCGCGTTAGCGCCGCCGAGTCAGGCCAGACGTAACGCCCAACGCCACCGCGGGGCACCGCGGGGCCCGGCTAGCGTCTTCTTATACGAGATGCACTTGAGCACAGCCATAAATAACAGCGGCCGCCGCGCGCCGCGCCGCCAGCACCACCCTCCCGGAGCACGCCGCCGAGCCCCGGGGGATCGTTTCAACGCACGCCAGTGGCGCGGCACGACGCGACTCGACGCGGCACGACGCACGCGTGTCGGCCGGGAGGCCGCGACGTGACAGCCCCGCCGTGGCGCCGTGGGCAGGAAGACCCAGCAGGCAAGCTCGAAGGGCGCCTCGCCTCGAGAGCGAAGGCGGCCGAATGGTATCAATACACGAGGCTGGCCGGAATAGTGGCGCCGCCCCGGCCGCCCACGCCAGCGCGCTCGTCCAGCCCGTCTCTCTCGCACCGATGGGGCGTCGCGCCGCGTCGCGCGGGGGTGCGAGAGAGGCAGCGCGACGAAGCCCCGCGCGGAATCGGCCGCCAGCCGCCCGCTGGAGTTATTTTTGACAACGTGGCAACAGGGTCCAGGCTGCTGAGCCTGCGGAGCCTGCGGGGGTGGCGCTGCTCGGCCCGTAAAAAGAGAGAGAGAGAGTCGAGGCACCACGGCGTGCGGCGGGGTGGCGCGTGGCTTAGGGGTGGCTGCGGGGTGGGGGCGGAGTGTTTGTTAAGGGAGGTTGGCCCACTGGCTGCTGCAAAACGGTACAGAGTACAGCAATGCGGCCCTGCGAGGGGTGGCGGGGCTAGAGGGCCGGGCCACGGCCGAGACACCCTCCACGACCCCAAGCCCGTCCTAATCCGCCACGGCGCCGTCCGTGCGCAGGGTGCGCCGGCCACCTACACCACCCCAACCAAGCCAACCCCAGCTGCAGCGACGCTGAGACGCGGAGACGCACAGACAGGGCTGCAAGGAAGCCGCCGACAGACAGACGGACAGACGCGAAGCAGTGGCACCCTTTATCTCCCGACGACCCCCATAAAGAATGCAATAGGTCTTGCGCTACCCTGCCACCGCCGGTGCAGCGGGGCTCTGCCTCGGTGGCTCGGCGCCGCCCTACGCGCCGCCCCGCGCCACCCTCCGCGCGGAAGACGCGGGCGGACCCAGAGGGGCTCCATCCACGACCCTCGCTGCGGGGAGGCCGGGAGGCCCCCGTCGGGGAGGGCCGCGCCAGCCCCGCCATCCGCGCCCTGGGCCGCCAAACAGGGTTGCGCCGGGTTGGGGCTCATCTGTGTCACGGGGCCACGGGGCCAGGCGGCCCTGGCGGCGGATCAGCCCTCGCCGCGAGCCCCGTCTTCCTTTGCCTGCAAAGCCCACCGCCAAGCCGCCAAGCGTCAGGCGTGGCGGTCCGGGCAGGACTCCGTCAGCACACAGCGCAGCCAGCGCTCACATTTGCGGTTGTGCTGCCGCCACCGCCGCCCGCATGTGTGTGTGTGTGTGTGCGTGAGTGGGTGTGTTTCCGCTTCGGTTTGGACAGCTGCGCGCTGCGGTGCCGCTGCTGGCCGGTATGTCACTGTGTGTGTGTGTGTGTGTGTGTGTGAGCGCGCGGCCAGGGTGCTAAATACGCGGCGGACGACATGACTCACATTCGCAAGCTTTGTGTGCCCGCCATAATAATGCCAGCGCAGCCAGCCAGCCAGCCAGCCGCATCACCGCGGCCACTGCCGCTTTCCGCTTCTTTTGCTTCAGACCGTAATAAGCGGGCAAGATAGGCGAAAGCCGCAACACTGCTGCGGTGCGACAACCCCCGACTGATCCACCCTCCGTCCGTTTGTTCCCTTGTTTTTGTTTTTTGCTTTTTTGCAGTGTGCACATTCCGACACGCTGTTTCCTCCGGTTTCCTCCCTCCCGCTACGGCGCGCCACGGCGGCCCCGGACGTGAGCGCCACGCTCCAGGCAGGATGATGTGCTGCACTGTCCGAAGAAAGGGGAGAAAGAGGCAGAGAGAAAGAGAAAGATAAAGAGAACGCGTCGGAGGTTTAGCTAGCCCTTTGCGAATCCAAAAGGGCCTCCTAGAGAGACACTTACGCGCCGGGCCGCCGCGCGCCGCAGCGCCCTGAAAACCTGAAGCGCTTTTCGCAGTCCAGCAACGAAGCACCATGTAAAGAGGGCCCCAGACGGAACGGATTAAACAGAATGAGGGAGAAGGGAGGAAAGGGAGGGGGCAGAATATTCCAGCGCCAACAACAAGCGCCAAACCATGGCAGCCATGGCCGAGCCAGCCGAGCCAGGGCGCGGGCCGTGCCAAGTCGAGCAGGCCGTCGTGCGCAGCAGCGCCAGGCCTTCCAAAATTCATGCAACACACTGCGCGCCGCGTCGCGCCGCGCCCCAACAAGGACCCCGTCAAGGGCCTCGACACGCTCCAGCAGTTCCAGTGGGCCCGCCCGCACCACGGCATC